AGACATACCTCGAGCACAATCGAGCACGGTAGAAACATACCTCGAGCACGATCGAAACATACCTCGAGCCTGATCGTGCACGGTAGAAATATACATCGAGCACGGTCGAAACATACTTCAACCACGGTCGAAACATTACTCGAGCGCGGTCGAAACATACCTCAAGCACGGTAAAAACATACCTCGAGCACGGTCGAAACATACCTCAACCACGATCGAAGCATACCTCGAGCATGATCGAAACATACCTCGAGCGCGGTCGAAACATACCTCGAGCACGGTCGAGCACGGTAGAAACATACCTCGAGCACGATCTGAACATACTTCAACCACGGTCGAAACATACTTCGAGCGCGGTCGAAACATACTTCAACCACGGTCGAAACATACCTCGACTTTCTCGAGCACTGTTAAAAAAGACCGATTGTTCCGCTGTAATTCTGAGTCAAAAAAGAAAAAATCTCAAATATCAACAAATTTTTAAACATTTTCGACCCCAATTCCAAACCAGTGTTCCAAAAGATAGAAAAACATAACTAAGAATTAGTTCAACTCTTCAAAGCAGTAAGACTGCGAACAACTCACTCTTATCATTTCATTTTGATTAAAAAACATCAAAACATGTTAAACGAAACGTTATTCATATTATAACGTTTAAATTTGGGTAACTCATAATGTTTGAAAGTCGAAACAAACCTGATTTGGTCTAGCACGGTAAAAACATATCTTGCTTGGGTCAAGCACGGTCGACCATAATTTTTCGGTCGATTAAGATCAAAGCATATCTTGCAAGGGCCAAGCACACATTTTTCGGTCGAGCACAGTCGAAACATATCTTGTTTGGGTCGAGAACGTTCGAGCACATTTTTCTTCGGTCAAATTCGGTCAAAAATTATCTTGCTTGGGTCGAGCTTTTTTTTTTGGTCGATTACGGTCGAAACATACCAGATCAAGCGCGGACGAAATTTTTTTTACTTTTTAGTGCACATTTTTTTTACGAGTACGGTCGAGCACATTTTTTTTCGGTCGAGTACGTTCGAAAAAAATCTTGCTTATGTCGAGTACGGTCAAGCACATTTTTTGGTCGATTAAGGTCAAAACATACCGAGCTTTGGTCGAGCACGGTCAAAACATATCGAATTTTGGTCGAGATGATCGAAAAAAATCAATTTTTGGTTGTGACGGTGTTAAAAAACAAGAAAAACACTTCGACCAGGAAGTTGATCATATAAAAAAAATCGATGAATCAGTGCCTTATGCTCCTTAACTGATTTAGCACTAATTTTTTTCTGATAGTACAAGAAACTAACTTTTTCAGAAGTGCTTTAAAAAATGATTTTAATTAGTTTTTCAACAGATTTAGCTCTTTCTGTATTCAGTGAAGTTAGTAAATTTTGTGTCTGTAATTTCATGAAAATTATGATAACTCTGCAAACCACAAAAGTATCCAATCGTTTTCTGCTTTTGCAGCCTAAAAATGTGTATGGATGTTAAAATAATTTTCTGGCTTAAAATTGAATGTGTGTGAGAACATGGTGTTCAGATAAACTTATTCAGAAAATCGTCGCATGAAACCACGTATTTGATTGAATGATTATTTAGACACAAAATATTATACAGCCAGCATCATCATCATCATCATCGTCATCGTTTCTTCTTGATACACTTTTTCTCGATACTCAAGTGTTCCTAGTGTTTCTCTGATAAAATTTCTTGCCGTAAATTAGTTGAGAATTAGCCCCAACTCTAAAGTGAGTTAGGATTAATGTAAAAATTTATTTGCGTTGACTTCGTCCAGAGAATAGTCGACATGAATACTTCCGCAACTCTGAAGTGAGCTTCAATGGTTAAGGAATTCATACACAAGGAATTGTTCGTACTTTTTCAAACTCAAGTGCTGCGAACGAAATTGCTGACGTTGCGTGAGTGAAGATATTATGTTTAAGCCTATTTAGTGCACAAAGCTGATTTAAACTATCCGGGCACAAAAAATTAAAATTGAAGTTTTAATTGCGTTTTCTTTAAAGTGGAATAACTTAGGGTGAAAAATTATGAGATCAAAACTTGCTCAGAATTTCAACAAAATTAAATGGTGCAATTTGTTTGCGAAATGAGGGAAAACAATTTTATCCAAAAAAGAGCGTTTTTGGTTTTTTATTCGAAACTACGCCAAAACTATTGAGCCAATCACTGACATAATTATATCAAAATGAGCCTCTAACGTAGCCCAACAAACTTTAAGAAAATTATAATCTCCAAACATTGTATAATCTAATTTTTTTCGTTTTATCGTCAAAAAGACGTTTTTATTACATTTTTGAATAGAGTATAACCTTCTTAAAATTTGTTGAGCTAGGTGAGAAGCTCACTTTGATAATTTTGAGTTAGGGATTGACTCGGTAGTTTTGGCGTAAATTTTGTTTAACTAAAAAACTTAAATTAATCAACTTCTGGGTTACATTTTACCCTAATTTCGCAAAATACAATGCACCATAACATTTTGCTGCAATTCTAAGCAAACTTTGTCTTTTCACCTGAAATCCACCCAATTTCAAGAAAACGCGTTCCGAATTTCAAGGTTATTGCGTTTTGTCCGGATAGTTTAAATCAGCACTGTAATAAAGGCAAAATTTTATTTTAGGGAACTTTCTAGTGTCGTGTAAAACTATTTACAAAAATATTTTAGTTCAAAATTTTTATAGAAAACTATAAGGATTACCTATTTGCCCGTTGTCAGAAATGAAGGGAAAAAGAAACTTCGGGGTGACTACGTTCTCATTTTTCAAGTAAAATTTGCAAAAATGAACTAAAATAAGCTGCAGCATAACAAACCAAACAACTTATTGTGACTGAATTGAGATTTAGCGAAGCTACAGTCTTTTTTTAATTTAATCAGCCTCTATAGATTTGAAGTTTTGGAAAAAAAATAATAAAGTTGAATCCCAAAAAACTACTCAGCAAATAGTAATCAAATTTTACCGGTTCCTTGATCTTTTGAACTTGATTTGTTAAATAGTTATTTCAGATGACGAATTGCCCATTTGAATGAAAATCGAAACATCTGCACAACTCACAATTTACAGTAAAAAATTTACAGAATCTATCTTGTGCGGTCCGTACCGCACTGAATTTTTATGAATCATAATCAACTTTTTTGGAGTTGCATTGTCAATCTTTTTATTATTCAAAAACATCTACTTACAATCAATTGCAAATCAAATACAATCCAAATTAATAGCAAGGATAACTGGTTGCTGTGCACGTGCCAGAGAATGTTCCGACCATAGTCTTAAAAAATATATATATATATATATTTCAAATTACAGTAGCTTTTTTTGCGTTGTGTGATTAAGGGTCGGAAAGAAAAACTAGATTTCAAGCATATTCGAGAGTCATAGTGATAGTAAATTAACCATATTGGAAAAATGGCTAGAAAAACAAAAAAAAACAAAAAAATCAAAGTAAGCTTTTAAGCTATTCAAATAAACTGTTGTAAGCTTGCTCACTCAAAATTAGACAGAAATCAAAAATTCTAAAGCAGTTTTCCTCAATACTGGGACATTTTTTGGAACATTTTTGAAGTCAATCGAATGACGACTAAAATGGCTTTAAAATGATATTTCAGTCAACCCTCTCCGCTGATTTTTTCCAGTAGATGATTTTGCATGGAAAAAACTAAAAAACACCCGAATACAAAGTTCTTCCCCATTTTTCAATGGTCGGAAAAATAATCGATGACAAGCATTTAATTCAAAAATTAGTCTGATATTTTCAAAAATTGAGTTGCCTCTGGCTTAACACACGTTGCATTAAATAAATTGCTATTTACTTTGTTTTTTGTCTCTCCAGTATATGAAGTCCATTATCATCGCAATCATACCACGGATATGGGGAAGGGGGGAGTGGGGAAGTTCACGGGCGATGATGATTGACGAATGCTGCAAAAAGCAGTTTTCCCTGTGGCTTTGCCGAACGCAGCAAAAGCTTTTTTTAACCATCGATTTTACTGACGGTTTTTACAAACTAAAATTATAATAACAAATTTCTTGGCTTTTACGAACAAACAAAAACTGATTTTAGAATACAAAAAAAAAGATCGAAATCGAATATAATGGATTATAATGGATTTTTGAATATTGGAAATATCGATTAAAATCTTTTAGAAATCCATTCTCATGGTTAAATGGATCATCAAAATTGATTATATAGGGTAAGTTGTTGATGAAATAATCTATTCAAACCGCTTCTTTCCCACAAAAATCTAGTGATGGTCAACAAGATGATAACAAAAAAAAATAAATCGAATTTGATGTTTTTCTGGAGCATTTTTTATATTCAACCTTCTTTTGCTATTTTAAACCATCAAAAATGATGGGCATTGGATCCCATAGAACACATTATGTATGACTATTAACTGTTCATAGACCCCAAATGTGGAACTGTATGAGTAGCATTTTCTGTATGTAGCGACACGCACATTTCATATATGTGATGAATTGATGTCTGTCATTAACCGAGCAAAAAACAAAAAGGAGAATCGTTAACCCATTTGTTTCTCGATTGTGGGTAAAACTTTCAGTTACCTTTTCTGACACATTAAATTACAAGTAAAATGACTTATTGTAGTATTTTCCTTGTCTTCAAGTGATGGGAAGCTTTTTTGCGGTTTCCGATTTGAAAACAAAAACAGCCGAACTGAAACCTCTTCCTCACTTGCAGTTTTCACGTGTCGGAACCGCATTAAAAGCTTGAAATTTATCTGATGAAGAAATTGAGCGGATCTTTTCAATGAGGAAAGGGATGTCTTTTTAGGTGCAAATGTGCATATACTTACACACTGATTTAGTTCTTCATAGAGGTGGTTTTTTTCATGATAACATAGAGGGTGAATAATTAGAGTGATCTGTCATACTGCTAGGGCCAGCACAACAGTATCCAATTGAACTCAATTATCTTAAAAATGTATTTTTACTGTTTCAGTCACTACTCTTTAATAAAACTGCAAAATCAATATTAAATGATACAAATTGGTACTTACATAATTTTATTTGATCTGCGTTAGAAGTTATGATATAAAAATATAATTCAAAGATATTATTGATATGCGATGAAACCTCACACAAATGATGTTTTTCAATAATGCTTTTCAATTTACACGTACTCAGTTCCAAACTGAACCAATAACCGACTCAATTTTCATTACTATTGACCAGCACTTTTTTCTTCAACATGAGTTTGTAAAGAATTTATCAAGATCGGATTTTTGTACAATTTTGTAAAAAAGAATTACAAATTTACTTAAGCGCTGTTCAACTGAATTTTTCGGCCAAGTCGATAAAAGCTGTCGGCGTATTCATCTCTTCCGCCTTCTTCTTCCTCGGCCTTCTGACCAAAACCTCTTCTTCCTGTTCGGCCTCTGGTTGTCGGTTCGAATCCTGACCGGGCCCTCCTTGCCCACTTTTGTCGACCTGGTCTGCGGGTGACGTCATAGGTGACACCGGGAGCAGCATGGCATTTCTGAATCCGTAAGGAAGTTTGAGATGAGGTGGGGGCTGTTGGGGTTTAGGGGGGAATCGGGTCATGCCGGGGTTGGTCATGGGAGTGCGTGGGTCTGAGTTGGGGTTCGTGTTGAAGGTGGGGGGAGCGAGGGCAATCAAATGAGATGAAGGGTTTGACATATCTAGATGCATTGGTCTCCTAAACACACTTCAGCATTTAATTTTGAATTTCAGCATATATTGTTTCTCTGAATGTTGCTTTGGAAATCTTAGTTTTGGAGTGCTCTTGTTTTGACATAGCCAGAAAAGTTTTCAGAAGTAATTGAAAATGGTTTAAAAATTTCATTAAAAATTAAGCCTTGTCAAAAATTCACAGCAATTAGCTTGATAATTTGATAATTCTCACTATATCATATTATTGCTAAAATTATTTTCTATCAAAGTAAAAAAGCCCATGAAATCACTACAAGCATATAGTTGTTCCATAGTTTGACTAACAGACTGGGAGGATATGGATGTGTGGGGTTGTCCACAAAGTCTGGCTGTCTTGCGGCCAGAATAGACAGGCTGAAACAGACCAAAAATGAGACACTAGTAGATCGCATAGTCTGCAGTGTGCAATGTGTTTAGTTTTCATTTTGGTTCACCCAGTTTCAAGCCTCTGTTTATTATTACAATGAAGATGCATAAAATTTGCAGTGGTCATTTTTAATCTAAACCTTAAATTTTTTTCAGGCCATCAAATTTTAAATCGGAATGTTTTTTTTCAAAAAGAAACTTTAAGTGAGCAAATTGAAAAAAAAGCAGTTTTGATGGCCGATTCAATTGAAAGTTTTGTTCCGCCTTTTGGATTTGAATTTGGGTGAAGTTGAGTCAATTTAGTTGAGTGAACCGTCTATTTAATTGTGACACCAAGCAGCAAACAATCAGAGGTGAAATGTGAAGACACCATTTCAGATGAGTCATGAACATTGAGTCAGACGTGCAAGAAATTCATGCAATTATTAAACAACTTTTATTAGATTTTTTAAAAAAATTTTCACTATTATTTTGACTATTATCAAGGAAACAGACAAAATTGTGCTAAAACCAGAGTCGAAACTTCACGTTGACATTATGAAACAAAAAATTGAAAGTTTTTCAAACTTTTTGTGACCTCTTGTAATATGTGATATGAAAGCAAAAAAAAAATCTTTTTTTTTTACATCAGAGGCAGAGCCCATCATTCCTAATCTCATTTTAGAACCCATTTCCATGTTCAAAATGGTCGCACCTTTTTTATCCAATACCAGTTCAAAGCGGGACTGTGTAAATCACTTTTTCTGTCATTCTGAAAATCAAACCGCATAAAATTAGAGCTACAAATGATATTTTAACAAGATTTCGAAGCTGTAAAATAATTTAGTCTTGATTGCATACATTTGGCAACTAGTCAAGATAAGTCAGAGAAGAGTTAACGATTCAGCTTTTACTTTTGAAGCACAAATGAAATATTGAATCAAGTTTAGAATCGGAGAAAAACCGGCAATTCGTTCTACAGATTTGAGCTAACTCGCATCGCAGCTTAACAAACTATACTTCAAAACACGGTTAGTCAGGTCGAAATGGGAAATCATTTGGAGACATGGTTAGCACAGTTTGCAAACAACTGGATAACATGCTCACTCCTCTGCGGACACCGGTTCGAATCCCGGTGGGGCCGTCTGCGCACTAGGAGACGGCGTGTCTTCATCCCGCGGTAACTCGAGCTGCGGAACTACTGGGGAAGGTGAAACAGAACGGGATTGAGGTTGGTGTTGTTGTTGATTAGTGATCACGTGATTAATTGAGTTTTGGTTGGTTAGTGGACGCGGGGGTAATGGCCACACGACACACGAATCATTATTGGTAGGAGGGGGAGGCACTAACGCCTTATCCGCGGCCGAGATGGGCGGGGGAGGTGTGGACGTTGTGAGGGGGTGGGGGATGTTGGCTCCTCCGGCGTTGCTTCCGTTCACTGATGAGTCATCCTGCGAGTAGTGCTCGTAGGCATACAGGGTCTTCCTCGGGACGGGGGAGAAGTAACGCAGGAAGGGGTAGACTCTCGCTTTGCTATTCACAAATGATACAATATATCTAATTGGAAAACAAATCAAAGCAAGTCACCTTGTTTAAGGCTACTTTAAAAAAAAATCAGAAACGTACGTGAGTTCAAAGAACAATTTTTCGGAATATGATACGGATGAATGATGTTATGCTTTCTAAGTAAATGTGTTGAAACAAAATGAACTAATTTAACTACATGAAGAAACTTATTATATTTCTGCGTTTTGGTTTTACTTATATCCTTCATTGAGTTAGGAGGAGGTCAGTATTGCAGGGAAAGATCCCGGCAGTAGATCGATCTGGATCTTCGATTTCGATTGCTGGAAAGTTAAAATTCCTTCAACTCTGCCAGTCGCATAAATTATACATTCAATGGCGAAAAGTCACAGGATCTGAGTTATTAACTCAATCTCAAGCAGGGGCGGATCTAGGATCTAAGATTTTCTCGAGGGGGGGGGGCGGATTTTCAAAAAATGTTCGAAAATTTTGCCGACCTTTTTTTTAGGTCTACCAAATTGATTTGTCGAGCTCTCCGACAGCACTGTTTTTCCCCTATTTTGGGCCAAATTTTCAGCGGCGCAGGCAAATTTATGAAAAAACAGTAAAAAAAAACCGTTTTTGGGCACTTTTTGAAACAGAAGCAACACTTGGATAGTATGTCTTCAAAAGCAAATATCAAAATATTTTTGAGAAGGCATTTTTTGAGAATTTCCGAAAACAGAGTCAAAACATTATATGTTCAAGAATTTCACAAGTTCCACTTAAATTTCATCAAAAAGCTCATTTATTTCAAAAACCATAATCAAAACATCAGAAAGTATTTTCGAAAATTGTTCTGATCAATTCAAATTTTGAGCGTTTTTTCCCTTATATTCGTTTTTTTCCTTTTATCAGTCTCTGTGTGTTTTTAAGTATTGTAAAAGGAGAGTTGAGTGTGAATAAGTGATTGAGTGACTGACGCTTGGCCGGCCTTGCGGAGACAGCAGAGGAGGATGAGGAAGAGGAGGAGGACGACCACCACTGCCACTATGATGAAGATGGGGGTCAGACTGGCAGCCTGGAAGTCAGTCGCTTGCGGCTCAATCGCGGGCTCTAAACGCAACAACAAGCTATAGAAGAAAGAAAAAGTTAGAAACAGAAGAAGAAATTCATTCGAGTCAATCGAAAAGAGGCGATTTAAAAAGAGTAGATAACGAGACCAGTTGATCTGTTATATCATTATCTTTTTTTCTCAGATTATATCAAGAGTTGATTAATCTTCGGTAGAGCGACAATTCGTGCAACCTTCATGCTATAGTTTCATGGAGTTGCGGTTTCGATTTATTGAATTTATGTTTCACATTGGTTGTTGAAATTGGTAATCACAAATTTTTTCTCATCTTTGATTGCGCGCGTACAGATAGGCAAAACCAACGAGAATTCGGCTTGAAGTCCCGTCGGCTTGATTTCCGGCACCAAAAACTTACATGTCTGGAATTACGGAAAAGAATCCCGACCAAGTATCGCCCGTTAAAAATTATTCCAGACATTTGTGTTCAATGCAATAAGTCCGAGTATTTGGCGATTAAATAAGTTTTGAAAAAAAAGCTTAATGATATATATAAAATCAACTTGATTAAAAAAGAGATTGAAGCTTTAATTCTGGTATTTGCTCTGCAAGCTAAGTGCTCACGTGTTCATTGCTTAACGTTTTGTTCACAATTCATTTTAACACTTCCTGGAAAAAATAGTTCATACACAATATAAAAATCAGATCAAAAAACTTGTAGGTTAAATGCTCAATTTGTTAATGCGGAGGCAATCTCTAAGTACATTGCTTTATGCCAGACAAATGCCTTTGACAAATGACTTTCGTCAACCAGGCTCTTTTTCCTACCCCCCACCTGCAAATTTTTAGATTTGAAGTAACTGTTCACTTTGTCCGATTGTCGTGAAAATTGCCATGCAGACTAATAAGGCCATGACAAACATATTTGGTCTTCATAATTAACCTTGTAAAATCACTCGTTAGAGCATAAAAATCATGTTTGAGTGAGGTGGGGGGAAAGGAAAAAGAGCAGTCAACCAGGAAGATTTAAATTTGTATGGGAAGTAGTAAGATGAAAAAGTGACCTTCTGGTTGTGTGTAGAGTCCGCTGAATCCCTGGCTCATAATGTATCTCTTTACCGGCTCCCCGTTCACCACCCCCATGTCAATCTCCCCCACAAACCAGATGGTGTAGCCAGTGTCCGGATGCAGGGGTCCATTGCAGATTCTAAAAACACACTGCTGCTAACAGTATATGATATGACGGTAATAAACTATACTGTTGGTATATCTAAGTAAGTACAATCTATGTACACTAACTGAAAATTAAAAGAACAAGACTGCTCGTATCTGAGCAAAGCCCTGAATGTTCCGACTGCCTTTTAAGGTTTATGGAGCAGTAATAACATTAAAAAAATTAAATGAAATAAAATAAAGAAAAAAAATTTTTTTTTTTTAAATTTGAAATTTTTTTAATGAAAATTATCCTCCCACACGCCCTATTAAGTACAAAAGGATAGATTTCTTTCCTTGTAATAAACCAATTATGGCAAATAAGCTTCATTCAACCAATCTGGAACGATTTCTAAGACGGATTAAATCTCCGCTTACGCGTTAATATATCGAATTATATCGCGCGTTAATTGTCCCAAATTGGTCAAAATGGCCGAAATGGCCAACTTGAAACCCTCATAACTTTACAAAAAATGATCACAGGTGACATATCTTTTCAAATTTAAGCTCAGGACAACAAAACTTTTTGAATGATAAAAAAATTCAGTCAAAAATGGCTAGTTAAAAAGTCGAAATTTGTTTGAAGAAAAAAAACCCACCCCGGGCACAAATATTCCGTTACTTTCGTACCGAAAGCCGGAACAATAAAAATAACTAGACTGCTCGTATCAGGGCGAAGCCTTGAATGTTCCGACTGCCTCTTAAGGTTTATGGAGCAGTAATAACAATAAGAAATTAAATGTAACAAAAAAATGAAAAAAAAAAAAAATTTTCTAAAACTTAAATTATTTTTTATGAAAATCATCCCCCTACACGCCATATAAAGTACAAAAGGATAAATTTCGCTGCTTGTAACAAATCAATTATGGCAAATAAGCTTCTTTCAACCAATTTGGAACGATTTCTCAGACGGACTAACTCTCCGCTTGCGCTTTAGTAGCGCGAAATATATCGCGCGTTAATTGTCACAAATTGGCCAAAATGGCAACCTTCAAACCCCCATAACTTTCCGAAAAACAATCACAGGTGAAATATCTTTTCAAATTTGAGCTCAGGACAACAATACCTTTCGAATGATACAAAAAAGTTGCGTAAAAAATGGCTAGTTAAAAAGTCGAAATTTGACTGAAAAAAAACCCACCCCGAGCACAAATATTCCGTTACTTTCGTATCGAAAGTCGGAGCAATAATGTGCCAATTAAAATGTCTGTTCTCAAACTCACACGAACAGGAAAGTGATCGACCGTAGGTCGATTCTTAGCATAGTTGGCAGGCATGTAGTTAATACCGAAGGTCATAAGATTAAACAAAATGAACAACTCACATTAGAAGGTTCAAATGCAATACAAATAACTTTTAAAAAATCTATCGAATCGTTTAGTCAGCTCCCTGATATTGCAGACCCTGATTTACGTTCTGCTGATTTGTGAAAATGAAAATTAGAATGTTTGCGGATACCTATCCTAGTATAGAACAATATAACCCCCCCCCATAGTAGTACAAGAAGGGTCAGGTTTCCAGAAAGAACCAAACCGCTAGTTCGGACTGTTATCGTAAAAAAATTGTACAATATAATTTTGAGTAAGATTAAAATTTTTAAGCAAAAATGTTTTCGGGTCTTTTCGGTAATCCCCCCTTGCTCGAAAGTGAAAGCTTTGCAGAAATTTTGTGGCAAATTTGGATCGATATTACGGAGAAATGCTGGCTATCATTACTGCGAAGGCCCAAACGAAGGAATTTTATCTAATTTAGTTTCCAACAGATCCTTTCCGTGTTTTTTTTTTTCGTTTACTGCATATATGATCAGAAGTGATATATGATCTGCATATATGATCCAAAGGCGTTCTGAATTGCCGTTTAATTCTCCTTTTTGCAGTTTTCCGAGTTGGTTTCAGGCTCTTGCTATCCAATTTTGTAATTTTTCAATTTCATTTTTAATTTAGGGGGTATAACCGAAAAAAAAACATTTTCTTACACAGTCACAAGAGCGACTCAACACATTATTCCACGACCAACACTCAAGTTCAAGACTAATACACAATTTACCTATCAATTACTCAATTATATAATGTCTTTTTGGTGCTTTCAAGTGCTTTGCATTTTTTCGTGAATAAATTTTGAAAAACTCTAGAAAAAAAAATAAATTAAGTTATAAATCAATGCATAAATCACTACAATATAGGTGTACCTGGAACAGCTGTTGGGGTCTGTCTGTCCGATCAAGAGGAACCACTGATCTGTGCCCTCCTCAGTTGTCGGGGGGTAGGAGTCCATCTGGGCCAACTGGTGTGCATGCTGGTCCATGTCACGTGATGCGTACGGCTCCACGTCATCTGAACCAACAGTTTTTTTTAATTCCTCCGGCTCACAAAAAAATTCAAAACATTATTTGAAACTCACATTGTTTTGAAATTTTCATCGCTTTATATTTCGACCAACTATAGTTTGCATTAGCTCAATTTTCATTGCTTTTAGAGCTGATTTATACGGTGATATAATAAGCGCGTAATAATAAAAATTTTGGCCATAGCGGCAGTTTTCAAACGCACTACATTTCTATGAAATGCTCCCAGCTGATTTTGATCTTTTTAAACTTGAGCGTTGGAAATCAATACTTACTAATTGGAAAGAAAAAATTTCAAAATTTCCAACAAAAACTGTTTATTGGGTGAAAAAACGCCTTCAATCTTGAGGGGTCGAATTCTTAATTCACGGCGGATGTTTACCAAATCGTCATACATTTGAAGACAAAAAGTACATCAGAATTACGGAACACTTGCATAACAACAGTGGCAATCAGTTGCTGGCTTTTTTTCCTTATCCCCACATGCAAATTTTCAGTTCACATACTCCAATTGTTGCTTGAATTGGTATGCGGAACAATTAGGCTATGACAAACATATTTGATCTTTATACTTTACCTTGTAAAACCCCTCATTACTCCATAAAATTGATGCTTATGTGAGGTGGGGGAAAAGGAAAAAAAGCCCAGTTGTTATATATTGCATAACAAAGTTAATTGTCGGCTTGTTGAAATCGTAATCTTATTTTCGGCTTGTCGGCTTTCGGCTTGTCGGCCTATCGCCTTAATTCGTGTACCTGGGTAGACTGGAGGAGTCTGGTTGAAAGTGTGGTTGTTGGCTATTATGACAGCATACTGTGTGACAAAGGGGTCCCTTCCAAAGGGCAGTCCAGTGATGTTGGCCTCCAGCTGGGTGGTGATGTCCGTCACCCGATTACTCTCCTCCCACAACTCCACCGTGATGTTAGGAAGAACCCCTACAAAATTGGATTCAAAGTGAAAATCACAGTCGGGTCTACATTTTTCTAACGTGAGAGGGGATGGTTTGTCAAACAAAAAATAATACATTTTATTTGGTGAGGGCGTCGAATTCTGGAAACATCTCAAAATTGTCATTCATAAAATCATGCACAGCTTTCATGTATTTTGTAGGAATTTTTGGATGATGATTAGGTAGAAATCCTAATTAGGGCACACCACTCTCCAGGGGCGGATCTAGGATTTTCTCGAGGGGGAAGGCGGATTTTCAAAAAAATTTTGGAAACTTTGACGACCTTTTTTGGGTCGACCAAATTGATTTTCCCAGCTCTCCTAAAGCACTAAAAAGACGCTGTTTTGGCCAAATTTTCAGCGCCGCAGGCAAATTTAAAAAAAAACAACAGGTAAAAAAGCCGTTTTTGGGCACTTTTTGGAAAATTTTGTCAAAAAAATCGCTTTTTTTTTGGCGCGCGCTCCCCTTCAAACTTAGTATATATTGGCGCCAAAAGTGCCTTCAAAAAATTTTAGAGTGGGTCGGCCAAAAATGGATTTTTATAAAAAGTACCAAAGGGGGGCCCTTTGGGTCGGCAGGGGGTCGAATCCCTGAGAAAAACGTTCCCTCCCCCCCAAATCCGCCCCAGCCACTCTCCTCAGTCAGATCCCTGGCAGCTTTCAACTAAACAAACCGGTGGTGAATGTGTGCTGAAAAAGACCCATTTCAACCCCATTGACACTGGGTGTAATATTGACTGCATAGTTGACGCCCATGTCCAGGGTTGCCACAGTGATGACACAGTTGAAATCAATTTGGGTGGAATCAGTTGTTTCAGAGGACACTTCTTCACACACTTCTGTCCCAGTCAAGTTATACGAGGACTCTTCGCCTGTGTCTTCATTCCTCACCTTAGAAATGTCATAAAACTCAAATTTAAATCCATAACAGGGAAAACTATAGCACTTGTCTGGATTTTTTAAAACTATATCCCCCTTTTGCAAGAGGGTTATACTCGTTACTAGGTATGAAACTCTCATATGCTTAACCGTTGATTTATTTCTTTATAAGGAGATATCAGTACTAGGTACCCGAGAGGGAAAGTATATAGCTAAAGAGATCCATTTGGCTTAAGTGTGTTTAAACTGAGACCATAAAATAAGTCGGAGGGAACGGACCAGCATACAAGCTGTTCAGTTCTTCTAGAAGCATTGCTTTTGTTCAATGGTAAAGATGATTGAACTTTCAAGCTAGTGATTCACTCGTTTTAATTTTTTGTAAGTTATTTTGCAACGAAATGTGTAGGTTTATTTTATTAGGAAACAGATATGTCTTTCATGAAGGGAACCAAAAGTAAATGGTGCATTTCTACTTCTAACTTTTGCTGGAAATAAAATAGCTCATTTCATCGAAACAAAAATCACCCGAAAATTTTTTTCTCGAACTTCGTTAAGTTTAGACAAAAACTGATGAACATAAATGTGACTTAGAAGTTCACGGGAGCATTAAAATTGTACATTTCGAGCCTCGAAATGGGTGATTTTATCTGAAATAATTTGATCGAAACATAAGCTAAAAATTCAAGCTAAATATATCTAATTACGCATCTTTTTTTACCCAACAAAATTTCTGAGGATTGTTTGAGACGATTATTGTTCCGAGCTTCGTAACGAAAGTAACGGAATATTTGTGCTCGGGGTTGTTTTTTTTTCTTCAGAAAAAATTTGACTTGTCAACTAGCCATTTTTGACGGAACTTTTTTATATCAATCAAAAAGTATTGTTGCCTCAAGCTTACCAACGAAAAGATATCTCACCTGTGATTTTTAAAAGTTTTTCGTCAAGCTATGAGGGTTTGAAGATTGCCATTTTGACTAATTCGGGACAATTAACGCGCGCGATATATTTCGCGCTATTAACGCGTAAGCGGAGATTTAACCCCCCTAGAAATTGCTCCAAATTGGTTGAAGGAAGCTTATTCGTATAATTGATTTGTTACTAGGAGCAATCATTTTATTTTTGTTACATTTAATTTTTCATGTTAAAACACCGACCAAGTTATTGCAGCTTTCTATCAAACTGCCAATGCGATGCAGGAAAAACTCGACCAAAGAAACTGTAACTATTTCAATATTCCGGATTTGGATCTCCTTCAGGTTGTTTAGGATTTCCATTTCCTCGCAATCGCGCCACATTCGCTTCGACAAAAAAACTATGCTAGACTCACATGTTTTAATATTTTGAACAAATTTTGTACAGATACCAAAATGCGTAACTTTGAAAATTTCAACAATGGACTTAACGCGAAATCCTATTAATTTTTCTTGTTAAGTAGTGGATTAGCTGCATAATTTAAAAAAAAACTACTAATCAATCTTTCAACTGAACTCTTTATCTCAGATTTGGCTGGGTAGTTTTCGAAAAAAAAAGAAAAAGATTCCAAAAAAAGATCCAAATTCAAAAAGTTGACTTTTCCTAAATTCACAAATTTTTCTCTACTAAAGCGTGGGAATTGTCTCAGATGCAGGGAAGATTTCCACGCCCTCATTTTTAGAATGAATCCTCAATAACGGCGGCTTTAGCTAGTAGTCTTCTAGAACAGTGATGAAAATTCTTTAAAAAAATGGTAAAAATTTCAAAAAATGGATTTTTCTGATGTCCAAATCGGTTTTTCTGCAAAAAAAAAATTAAGCGAAACAGATCACACAGTTTGAATGAATTATCAAGCTCAGAATCAGCAGGTTAGTTTTTAAAGAAAAAAAAAAGTTTCCAAAAAACGGGCAAAATTTCAAAAATTGTACTTTTGCTATGGCTATATTTTTTTTAAAACGCAGGGCATAGCCGCTTGCGCAGGAAAGAATTTTTTCTTCCGGTTGAACTCTTACTTTCCGACTTGGCAGTTTAGTTTTTGAGAAAAGTTTAAAAAAAAGTTAACGAAAATGTCAAAAAACGGGCTTGTTTGAGGCCATAATTTTTTTCTTCCGAATTTAGGGAATAGCCGCTTGAGAAGGAGAGATCCCCCAAGGATTAGTTCTTCAGTTTAAACGTTCATCTCAGATTTATGTATTCATTATTAAAGAAAATGAACAAATTCAAAATCAAATAAGTCAAAAATTTCTCTACCGAAACTTTCGAAAGCCGTAGAACGAACGTGGTGTAAACTGAAAAGAGACTAGCAAAATATGCAGGCACATGGAATAGCAGCCAGTTTTTCCAATGACACCATTGTTTTGAAACTTGGTTTAGTAGTTTTTGGGACAAAAAAAAACGAAATTTTTGGGAAAAGTTAAAAAGTTTTCCAAAGGTTTGCAAAACAAAAACAAAAATAATTAAATCCCATACATTTTCATAACAACTATTGTTTTCAAACGGGACCAAACACTAGCCAAAAAAATACCAGCACTATATGCTATTAAATTACCTATGCTTAAGCACGCTTAAATCTGAAGAAATTGAAATATACCAAAAGTGCCACTAATGAGCACTTTTATTTGCGACATAGTTTGGAAAAAAATTGTTCGTAATAATTCTCTACGCTTGTGTAATAAAAAAAGTCTCGCTGTTCAAAAAAATTGTTGTGAATTTTCTTTTGTCAAACTAAAAGAAACAAAATTTTTTGCATGCAGTTTGTTTTGATTGACGGCGATGACTCCTAGCTTGCGTCTTATGCATTTTAAATGCTGTTATTACTTCCCATTTTTGCAATTTTTCACCCAATTAAATCGCTTTAAACTAAAAGAAAAAACTTTTTTTTGTGATAATGAAATCATTGTGATTGCAATTTTTTGTGCTAGTCGATGAAATTGCTATTAAAAGGTACCTGGACATGGAATGTGGTCTCTTCTGGTGGGAATGAGTCATTGAATGTGGCTTCTACAACGACTAAACCAGAATCGAATTCGGCAGACAGCTGGCCTGAAAAAGAAACACTCGTTGTAGTTAGCTCTTCTTACAGAAGAAAAGTTAATTGGATTTGGAAGATGAAATCGAGAAAACCGATTGCGGGCAAAAAATGTAATATTTCATTGACAAGAACACATCAAGAATGGGACCACTAAATTTAGAAGCTTGTAATCATTTTTACTCATCAAAATAACATCGAGGCAATTTATTGTCTTCTTTTTTGTCTAAAAAGGGCAAAAATTCAATTCAACATTGTTTTTGAATGATAGTTGCTACACGTTCAAGAGTTGAATTTCGAAAGATTTATTAGCGAGTTAATAATGTTTCAATAGTTTTTATTAACCGTTTACAATTGCTAACTCAGTCGTTAAACTAACTTGACTTGGTGGCGAACTCTTTGAATATGTCTGTGCTCACACTCCAGCCACTGTCCGTCATCCCAACAAACTTGATCTTGTAGTTGGACCCTGGATCCAGAGGTCCATTGCAGTATGTCTCATTCTCTGCACACGGGTACTCTTCTCCCAGAGTGATGGTCCAGTTCACTTCCGCGAACTGTCCTCCAGAAGTTGAGTTTGATTCCACGAACTCAGAAGGAGGGTAAGGGAGGGGGGTTGAGATGACGTAGGGTTCGAAGTCGTTTTTACTTGCAGTGGACCATGTCTCGTCTGAGCACACGAGCAATTAATCACACATTTTAAAGGCACCATAGATCCGAGGCACCTTGTCCATTATGGAAACGGTTGCTTCCGATTCCAAATTTTAGGCTTTTTGGTTATATGAAGCAAAAGTATTTCCATTAGACTCTTAGACTTAACAATTTTTGTTGAGATTGGAGCGCATGGCTGATGGACAAACTTGTTTTCGGATTTCGTCTGAATATATTTTCGTTGTCTTCAAAGAAGTGACTGTAAGCACATTCGACCTATTGTTTTAATGGAAATAACTGATTTTACTGACCAATTCTCACTTTATAATTGAACACACAAACAGAGGCGGATCTAGGATTTTCTCGAGGGGGAAAGGAGCATTTTCAAAAATTTGTCAAAAACTCTGTGGACCTTTTTTAGGTCGACCAAAATGATTTTCCGTTTTTGGGCACTTCTTGGAAAAATTTGACCAAAAAATTGCGTTTTTGCCGCACGCGTTTTCCTTCAAAATTATTATATATTGGCGACAAAGGTGCCTTTAGAAAAAATTTAGGGTTGTTCGGCCAAAAATGGATGTCATAAAGTAATATCAAAAGGGGATCCTTTGGTTGGTGAGGGGTCGAATCCCTGGGGATGGGGGGGGGGGGGGGGGGTTTGCTTCTACCAACTTTTCCCCCTATATCCGCCCCTGAACAGAAGTTTTCTGATAAGTTTCAAGCCAGTTCATTATTATGATTATTTTTTCGTTTTTAATGGGTTGATCATTTTTTTCAGCTCAGAATATTTTGTTCCCCGAACTTATTTTCAGTTTTTCATTCTTTTTGAATCTTCATTTGATTTCGATTCTGTTTCTCTTCTGCACTTTTGTTTTCGAGTTTTTGGCTCTGCAAATTTTAAATATTTTTGCACTGTTACTGTTCTCGTAGTATTTTTTTGTTTTACTTCTCAGGATACTTTTTGGTTCTGCGTTTTGAATGCTTTGTTTGTTTGCAGTTTGCATGGAATTCTACACTGCTACTAACTTGTCTGGTCCATCTGTTCATCCGTGTACCTCCTCTGTCTCCTGCTTCCATCCTCGTCCAGTGCTACCACAGTGTAATAAGAAGTGATGGAGGAGTCCACTCCGAAGGGGAGGCCAGTGATCTCGAGCAGCACTTCAGTGTATGGGTTCACAATGTCCTGGCTGGTTGTGACTTTAAACTCCGAATACTTTTCTGCAAACAACAACAAGAAACACTTTTTTTGAGAATGTGTTGTCGTTCGCTAACCATGCCACGTCAATTTCCTATAAAACTGATATTCACATTTTATCAATATTTTAACCACGGACAAAAGAATCCAATCAAAATTTTATGAAGTCTTTTGCAAACCTTCAAAATATTACTGATCCGATTTCTAATATTTTTGTTGGACTTTGTTGATAATATTTTGTTGTCTTGCATGAAATTGGTAAGTTAAATTAAAGTTTCTTGGAACCTTCAAATTAAATACGTTTTTTATGCGTGTTATTTTTCTGGCACAGGTACTGGCTCCAGCAGGGTTTCCAAGGATAAAAACATCAAAAAAATGAACACCTGATTGAAAGATATCGTCAATGTTGTATATTGGTGCAAAGCAAAAGTCTATTTTAAAATCTGATTTTGAGATCAATCAGAGTTTTAATTTGCCTCAAAATTAGTCAGTATTTATAGTCATTATTGCTGAAAAATATATCATAAAATCGAGATATATCATTAGAAATAAGAATCTAATTTGTTCACTTGTTCCCATTTTGGTAAATTTTACTTTCACTGCACTCGACATATATAGCATCGGCTTCATGGATAGGGTCGATTAAAAAAGAGAGAAAACTCTTTGGTTAACACATTTTGATATTTGGTTAAGACGGAACTGGTATAAACAGACAAAAAAGAATATTATCAGATTTAGTTCAACTTTGAGACATCATGGAAGTTTGTATATTTTTTCTATGTAAGTTTTACAGAAGAGTTTTCCATAATCCGGGGAAAATTTTGAAATTGTTAAGAAAAAGACATTTTTATTTTATTTTACTGTTGTTATTTTTCAGTACAACGCGACAGAATTAGATAGAACTGGTCTCTTTTATACAAGAGTTTTTAAAAGCTCTTTATCCTGTTCCCCCACCTGCCAATTTTTACAAGAAAATTAACCTTATCTGATTGTTATGAAATCATTATTGCGGAATGTTGCGGAATTGGATTGTTGCGGAAACGTTAGGCCATTACCAACATGTTTGATCTTCTTGACATACGACTCGTAACAGCATAACATTGATGCTCATGCAAGTTGGCCGGGGATAAAGAAAAACAGCCTTTTAGAAACTGACGGACGGTGGATCGAACAATGGAAAGGTAAGGAAACCAAGAACTACGTAAAAGTTGTAGCAGAATCTAATCAATGGTTCAGTCTGTCATCAAATTGGCTCTTTTAAATTTTTTACCCCAAATTCGATTTTCAATTATGAAATTTATTTTATTTTTATTTTTTGGGGGGGGGGGGGGGGGTTCCGAAAAAAGCCGTCAGATTTAGCTTTAAAACGTTAATATAGTGGGAAAACGGATAAAATCAAACCAATTCTTTTCGACGTTAAGAAAATGTTTTTGTGATAACTGCAGAAGAAAGTAAAAAATAACTATTGCTTCCAGTAACTGATTGAATCTAATTTGTCGTTCCAGCAAAATGTTTTGACTCGACTCGAGCCTTTCTTTTATGGTGATGAGTATACGATGAAATGCAATGTAAGAAAACATAGAAAAGAACAATCGGAACCCCACAAAATACGAGAAAGAGTCGACGAAACTACTCAAAAAAGAAACTTGAAGTTAAATCAACTAAAACCTCTGTCTAAAAACAGAGAGCATGATTATGCTGGTAAAAATTAAAAAAAAACTCACCCGAAGGAGTGGGTATGGACACAGTCTGGCATTGGTATGGTTCTTTGTTGTAGTTGGCGTACTCCACAAACAGACACACCTGGAAGTCTGGAGGAGAGGGGAGGGTCTCTCTCGACATCCAGACACACCACTGCGAGGAGCTTCCCCCACACGACTCCAGAGTGAGGGGCTGGGTGTCGTGCCGGCCACTGTCTTCCAAAGGCAGAGAGGAAATCTGAAAACGAAAAAAAAGAGTTCTTAAAAAAATTGGATCTATGATTTTTTGAAACGCGTTATCATATCGATTTATGCCATATTTGAGCAGATCTTTACCACAGATTTTAAAGAAAATAAGAGAAGACACGTGCAATTAATACACATGTAATTTGAAGTCTCAGTCTTTTTTTGTTTCATGAAGTTAGTTTTAACCAGATATAATTTCTGCGCTTTGGATAGTCTTCCATAGACATCTTCTGCCTTTTAACATCTTGTTATTTTTCAATGTTGAAATAAAGATAAATTGCTTTGCTCTAGATGAAACAAGTTTAACTTTTAGTGCAATGTTATTCGATTGATCTACTTCTAACTGCATTAGCTGGGGTGTGTAGCACAAAAACAATGTATCCTCTATCCCTGTTCATAATATGCCCCTCATTACTGTTCCAGTGTGTGGATGTGTACCAGTTCAGCTACTGTGGCATGTTCTTCGCCTACTGCGAGACTAACGGGGACTGTTGTGAGAGTATGTGGCCCACAGACATCAAGTGCCACTGCGACACCAAAATGAGACGATGTCTCTGTCCACAGAACGCCATGGACGGCAAGTAACTCAGAACTAGGCTCTTTTTCCTTCCCCCCCCCCCCCCACCTCACATGAGCTTCAATATATAAGTGTAACGAGTGGTTTTACGAGGTTGAGTATGAAGACCAAATATGTTTGTCGTGGCCTTATTAGTCTGTATGTAAATTTTCATAACAATCGGACAATGTGGTCTTTAAATTTAAATGTAAAAAATTGCAGGTGGGGGGGAAAGGAAAAAGAGCCCAGAACTACTAGGCTCCTCTGTTACCCCCACCCCTTCCCACACACACACACACACACACACACACGCACACACACACGCACAACCACACACACACAGACACGAGAGAGAGAGAGAGAGCCGTACAACTGGCTCGATTCCAGTTTCCCAACACCCTCGTAAAATTGCAAAATTAGGCTGTTCAAAAATTGTTCACACGGCTTTTTGCATGTAAGAAATGCTCTAAGAACTTGCCGTGAGCTGACACGTTTTGATGCAGTTTATATCAAAAAAAAAATAATTTTAAACAGACTTTGACATATTCAATTTCAGAAAAAATCAAAGAACTTGAAAGAGCGTTTAGTTAAAGAGCCAGCCCACAATCAGTAAAAAGAAAAAAGTATATAATCAGTTTTATTTTTAGTTTTTTGTGTTCTGTCTCTAAAAAACTCGATTAATACGACCGATTGAAATTGGATATAATTTTACTACTGTTTAAAGCAAGAAAGCTTTTTATTCACGTTTTGAAGTATAATGGTTGAATATAGTTGAACTATTGATTTAGAAAAATTTGGAAATTTGGAAACTAAGGATATCTCCAATAAATCTCCCCCAATTTTCAATTTTGGATTTAAAAAACTATTTTTACGCGCGAGGCGACAGTTCGTAAAAGGCGACAAGCCCTAACAGTAGATTAAGCAGGAAGCACTGACCACTTCCCGCTTAATCTATTGTTTAGCCAGTATCAGCGTGATTAGGTGAACAGTTTTTTTCGACTCTTTTCCAGTTCCCCCCTTTCAAATTCAACTTTGAAAAACTTTTTTAACGTTGTCATAATGCAAGGAAATTTGGCGTGGTTAACAAATCGACAACTGTGAACAGATTTGGGCTCTTTTTCCTCTTCCCCCCCCCCCACCTGACGCCAGTTTCAACTTATTAGTGTAACGAGTGGTTTTACGAGGTTGAGTATGAAGACCAAATATGTTTGTCGTGGCCTTATTAGTCTGTATGTAAAATTTCATTACAATCGGACAATGTGGTCAACAAATTTACATGTAAAAATTTGCTGGTGGGGGGAAAAGGAAAAAGAGCCCAGATTTGTTCTTCATACTTTACAGCGTAACATCACGCATTTAGTCGTAATAACACGTAAAATAAACATAAATTTCGGTATTTTGAAAGGGGGAACTGGAAAAGAGCCATTTTTTCAATACTTTTTCATAGCTTACATCGTAACAATATTCCTCTCGGTGTAAGCGCAGCGGATCAAGCGTATTCTTCTTACAATGCCTTGCTACGAATTGTCGCTTGTTAAGAATTGTCGCTTGTTACGAATTGTCGCCAGTTACAAATTGTCGCCTGTTAAGAATTGTCACCTGTCTGTTACGAATTGTCACCTGTTACGAATTGTCGCCCAAAAATTTTATGTTGTCATAATGTAATGAAGCTTTGCATGGTAAACAATTCAAAAAATTGTGAACACATATTTTTCATAGCTTACATCGTAACATCACGCATTCACCAAAATAATACGTAAGACATGTAAAAAAACGGAAAAAATTGGTGGAAAGCGGAAAAGAAGTCTTTTCCAGTTTCCCCCACTTTTGAATTTTGAATAAAAGAAAGTTAAGTTGAAATGATTTTTCAAGTTATGAACTGCATTGAAACGTGTCAGCGTGAATAGGTGATCAAATTTTTACAATATTTTTTACACGCGAAATGCCTGATCGAGTAAGCAAGTAATTACTTTCTCGAGTAAGCGAAATTACTTTCTCCAACTAATTGCTTATTAGGGTAATAACAGATAATATGACTTGGAGAGGAGAGATAACGGGATCCTAGGATCCACCAAGCGTCTGCCCTAAAAGGTCATAAATTAGTTTAAAAGCAAGGCATAAGCCGACAAGCAGGTGGGAAAAAGTATATGAACGCAAGTAAACAAAAAATTACCGAACTATTCGTCAAAAAAATATATTTTTGAATTTCCAAGAACAAATAAATAGCCTTAGAGCTCTTTGACTTTCTCGAACAATTTTTGATACTTTTTTGATGAAATTAACCAAATTTGAGAAGTGGATCATTAAATGAAATTTTTATTACGCTGGGAAATCTGATCAAAAATTTTGAAACTTGAAGTCAATAATCTTTTCGTGGTCTTAACATTTTTGCTGTTTGATTTTGTCTTCCTTTTAACAAAGGAAATGAATTGTATTTTAAAAAATCAAAATTGAAACTACGAAAAAGTAGTTGAAACAACAAATTAAGACTGTTCCCGAAAGAAAAACTGCGAAAAAAAATCGCGACCTATGTAAGAATCTGAAGTTTGTTTTTCAGACAAAATTAACCCTTGTTGAAAAAACTCGACGTTGAACACTCGACGCGAGATTTTGAACAGCCTTATTTTGTATTTTACGAGGGGGTTGGGAAACTCGAAAAGAGCTCAAATATAACGAAAAAGTTTTTCATTTTTTCGCTGTTGAGTTATGTTCATGATGCTTACTTTTTTCAAATTTGTTTTTAATGGCTACAGAACAGTTTAAAAAATCAGTAGATTTTTTTTTCTCATTTGGCCAATATTTATTAGAATTTAGATATTTGTTTTAGAAGAGGGAAATGCCAACCCCGCAAGCAACGCGTCATCGTTGACCGGGGGAACAATATCTCCCAATCAGACGCAGAATACGACAGCAATTACCATTCCATGATATTGCAAACGAGTAAGAGGAAAAATGCAACTGGAAGCAATAAAAACAAAATCGATGATTTTGAAAACAAACAGTTGAGATTTTGATGCTTTCAAGGATAATCAAAATGAGAAATTAAACGTAAAAGTTTCAGACTTGGAGAGCGGTGGTGAAGTGGTTACCTTACATCTCCGCCTATCAAGCGAAAGGTCGGATGTTCGAGGCGTGCCATGATCGATGCTCATTGTTTAAGGGTGAGGCAACCTTACCCAACCCAGAAAAAATGGTTGAGAAAATTTCAAAATTGACCAAAAACTTGCATATAGTTCTTAAGCAAGAGCACGACAGCGGTTCGCCGTGATGAGCTGTACGGCTTGTATGTTGGTCCTTTCCCTCGTGGATAAAATGTCGTATAAGAAATTGCTTTTGCTCGCAATTTTAGTCCAATTTGAATACTACACCTAAGCAAAACTGTTCTGCATTTCATTGTACATTTTTAGTTGGGTTCACTTTTTAGCATCATTTTGTCAAATCACAACATTTCCAAAAGTACAAAAATTGATGATAACAAAAACTTTGATTTTATTCCGACTTTCATAACGAAAGTAACTGAGTATTTGTGCTCGAGTGCTTGTTTTTTTTCAGACAAACTTCGACTTTTTATTAAAAACTTTGACCGAATTTATTATATCCGCCAAAAATTATTGTTGTCCTGAGCTCAAATTTTAAAAGATATTCTACCTATGATCATTTTTTATAAAGTTGCGAGGCTTTAAGGATTGCCAATATGGCCAACAATTGATAAAACGAAGATTTGATTTTGTTTCGACTTTTCGACTTTCGTAACGAAAGTGACGGAGTATTTGTGCTGTTTTTTTTGAAAAAAATCTTCAATTTTTATAGGGTTAACTTTGCTTCATAGACCTTAAAAGACAATCGCAACATTCAGGGTTTTGCCTGATACAAGCAAATTTGTTTATCTACCTTTTTGATGGATATTTCAAAATTTTTAGGGTTATTAGTTAAAAAAACAAAGAGAAACAAATTAAAGCAACCAGCTGAAATGATTATGGGCTCGATTTTGAAACTTGTTAAAAAACTAATCGTAACATGACAAAACCCTGAAAGATCTGACGGCTCTTTAATTGAGGTCTCAATTAAAATTAAGTAGAAAAAAATATGATTAACATTAATTTTGAGATTTTTAGCTTATTTGTTTTTCCTCGCCAGCAAAACAACCAATAACAAATAGTGAGTATGAATGTTTCAGCCGTATGGAGAGCTAAAATAATCAGACTTCATTTTAATTTTTTTTCCGAATTTTGAAGAAAACGGAATAATTATGCTTGGTGTGGTCAATTTTTATGCACTCAATTTTCGGCGATCGAAATAATAGTTTATAACAAAATTTTTGATGCCACATTGAAGATATCGACTCCCTGAAATCAATTTTCAAAAAGCTATAGTTTACTTCCGATTGCTTTTTGAAAAGTTTTGGGAGTTTAAAAATAGCCTATTTGGCCAGGCTATTGACTAACTTATGCGCACTTTGTAGATTTAATCCATGATACTGAAAGCGTTACGCGAATTATTTATGCGTGGTGAGTTGTCCCGCACAACAAATGGTTGTAAAATAAAATGGAGGAGTCCACTCCGAAGGGGAGGCCAGTGATCTCGAGCAGCACTTCAGTGTATGGGTTCACAATGTCCTGGCTGGTTGTGACTTTAAACTCCGAATACTTTTCTGCAAACAACAACAAGAAACACTTTTTTTGAGAATGTGTTGTCGTTCGCTAACCATGCCACGTCAATTTCCTATAAAACTGATATTCACATTTTATCAATATTTTAACCACGGACAAAAGAATCCAATCAAAATTTTATGAAGTCTTTTGCAAACCTTCAAAATATTACTGATCCGATTTCTAATATTTTTGTTGGACTTTGTTGATAATATTTTGTTGTCTTGCATGAAATTGGTAAGTTAAATTAAAGTTTCTTGGAACCTTCAAATTAAATACGTTTTTTATGCGTGTTATTTTTCTGGCACAGGTACTGGCTCCAGCAGGGTTTCCAAGGATAAAAACATCAAAAAAATGAACACCTGATTGAAAGATATCGTCAATGTTGTATATTGGTGCAAAGCAAAAGTCTATTTTAAAATCTGATTTTGAGATCAATCAGGGTTTTAATTTGCCTCAAAATTAGTCAGTATTTATAGTCGTTATTGCTGAAAAATATATCATAAAATCGAGATATATCATTAGAAATAAGAATCTAATTTGTTCACTTGTTCCCATTTTGGTAAATTTTTTTTTCACTGCACTCGACATATATAGCATCGGCTTCATGGATAGGGTCGATTAAAAAAGAGAGAAAACTCTTTGGTTAACACATTTTGATATTTGGTTAAGACGGAACTGGTATAAACAGACAAAAAAGAATATTATCAGATTTAGTTCAACTTTGAGACATCATGGAAGTTTGTATATTTTTTCTATGTAAGTTTTACAGAAGAGTTTTCCATAATCCGGGGAAAATTTTGAAATTGTTAAGAAAAAGACATTTTTATTTTATTTTACTGTTGTTATTTTTCAGTACAACGCGACAGAATTAGATAGAACTGGTCTCTTTTATACAAGAGTTTTTAAAAGCTCTTTATCCTGTTCCCCCACCTGCCAATTTTTACAAGAAAATTAACCTTATCTGATTGTTATGAAATCATTATTGCGGAATGTTGCGGAATTGGATTGTTGCGGAAACGTTAGGCCATTACCAACATGTTTGATCTTCTTGACATACGACTCGTAACAGCATAACATTGATGCTCATGCAAGTTGGCCGGGGATAAAGAAAAACAGCCTTTTAGAAACTGACGGACGGTGGATCGAACAATGGAAAGGTAAGGAAACCAAGAACTACGTAAAAGTTGTAGCAGAATCTAATCAATGGTTCAGTCTGTCATCAAATTGGCTCTTTTAAATTTTTTAACCCAAATTCGATTTTCAATTATGAAATTTATTTAATTTTTATTTTTGGGGGGGGGGGGGGGGGGGGGTTCCGAAAAAAGCCGTCAGATTTAGCTTTAAAACGTTAATTTAGTGGGAAAACGGATAAAATCAAACCAATTCGTTTCGACATTAAGAAAATGTTTTTGTGATAACTGCAGAAGAAAGTAAAAAATAACTATTGCTTCAAGTAACTGATTGAATCTAATTTGTCGTTCCAGCAAAATGTTTTGACTCGACTCGAGCCTTTCTTTTATGGTGATGAGTATACGATGAAATGCAATGTAAGAAAACATAGAAAAGAACAATCGGAACCCCACAAAATACGAGAAAGAGTCGACGAAACTACTCAAAAAAGAAACTTGAAGTTAAATCAACTAAAACCTCTGTCTAAAAACAGAGAGCATGATTATGCTGGTAAAAATTAAAAAAAAACTCACCCGAAGGAGTGGGTATGGACACAGTCTGGCATTGGTATGGTTCTTTGTTGTAGTTGGCGTACTCCACAAACAGACACACCTGGAAGTCTGGAGGAGAGGGGAGGGTCTCTCTCGACATCCAGACACACCACTGCGAGGAGCTTCCCCCACACGACTCCAGAGTGAGGGGCTGGGTGTCGTGCCGGCCACTGTCTTCCAAAGGCAGAGAGGAAATCTGAAAACGAAAAAAAAGAGTTCTTAAAAAAATTGGATCTATGATTTTTTGAAACGCGTTATCATATCGATTTATGCCATATTTGAGCAGATCTTTACCACAGATTTTAAAGAAAATAAGAGAAGACACGTGCAATTAATACACATGTAATTTGAAGTCTCAGTCTTTTTTTGTTTCATGAAGTTAGTTTTAACCAGATATAATTTCTGCGCTTTGGATAGTCTTCCATAGACATCTTCTGCCTTTTAACATCTTGTTATTTTTCAATGTTGAAATAAAGATAAATTGCTTTGCTCTAGATGAAACAAGTTTAACTTTTAGTGCAATGTTATTCGATTGATCTACTTCTAACTGCATTAGCTGGGGTGTGTAGCACAAAAACAATGTATTCTCTATCCCTGTTCATAATATGCCCCTCATTACTGTTCCAGTGTGTGGATGTGTACCAGTTCAGCTACTGTGGCATGTTCTTCGCCTACTGCGAGACTAACGGGGACTGTTGTGAGAGTATGTGGCCCACAGACATCAAGTGCCACTGCGACACCAAAATGAGACGATGTCTCTGTCCACAGAACGCCATGGACGGCAAGTAACTCAGAACTAGGCTCTTTTTCCTTCCCCCCCCCCACCTCACATGAGCTTCAATATATAAGTGTAACGAGTGGTTTTACGAGGTTGAGTATGAAGACCAAATATGTTTGTCGTGGCCTTATTAGTCTGTATGTAAATTTTCATAACAATCGGACAATGTGGTCTTTAAATTTAAATGTAAAAAATTGCAGGTGGGGGGGAAAGGAAAAAGAGCCCAGAACTACTAGGCTCCTCTGTTACCCCCACCCCTTCCCACACACACACACACACACACACACACGCACACACACACGCACAACCACACACACACAGACACGAGAGAGAGAGAGAGCCGTACAACTGGCTCGATTCCAGTTTCCCAACACCCTCGTAAAATTGCAAAATTAGGCTGTTCAAAAATTGTTCACACGGCTTTTTGCATGTAAGAAATGCTCTAAGAACTTGCCGTGAGCTGACACGTTTTGATGCAGTTTATATCAAAAAAAAAATAATTTTAAACAGACTTTGACATATTCAATTTCAGAAAAAATCAAAGAACTTGAAAGAGCGTTTAGTTAAAGAGCCAGCCCACAATCAGTAAAAAGAAAAAAGTATATAATCAGTTTTATTTTTAGTTTTTTGTGGTCTGTCTCTAAAAAACTCGATTAATACGACCGATTGAAATTGGATATAATTTTACTACTGTTTAAAGCAAGAAAGCTTTTTATTCACGTTTTGAAGTATAATGGTTGAATATAGTTGAACTATTGATTTAGAAAAATTTGGAAATTTGGAAACTAAGGATATCTCCAATAAATCTCCCCCAATTTTCAATTTTGGATTTAAAAAACTATTTTTACGCGCGAGGCGACAGTTCGTAAAAGGCGACAAGCCCTAACAGTAGATTAAGCAGGAAGCACTGACCACTTCCCGCTTAATCTATTGTTTAGCCAGTATCAGCGTGATTAGGTGAACAGTTTTTTTCGACTCTTTTCCAGTTCCCCCCTTTCAAATTCAACTTTGAAAAACTTTTTTAACGTTGTCATAATGCAAGGAAATTTGGCGTGGTTAACAAATCGACAACTGTGAACAGATTTGGGCTCTTTTTCCTCTTCCCCCCCCCCCCCACCTGACGCCAGTTTCAACTTATTAGTGTAACGAGTGGTTTTACGAGGTTGAGTATGAAGACCAAATATGTTTGTCGTGGCCTTATTAGTCTTTTTGTAAAATTTCATTACAATCGGACAATGTGGTCAACAAATTTACATGTAAAAATTTGCTGGTGGGGGGAAAAGGAAAAAGAGCCCAGATTTGTTCTTCATACTTTACAGCGTAACATCACGCATTTAGTCGTAATAACACGTAAAATAAACATAAATTTCGGTATTTTGAAAGGGGGAACTGGAAAAGAGCCATTTTTTCAATACTTTTTCATAGCTTACATCGTAACAATATTCCTCTCGGTGTAAGCGCAGCGGATCAAGCGTATTCTTCTTACAATGCCTTGCTACGAATTGTCGCTTGTTAAGAATTGTCGCTTGTTACGAATTGTCGCCAGTTACAAATTGTCGCCTGTTAAGAATTGTCACCTGTCTGTTACGAATTGTCACCTGTTACGAATTGTCGCCCAAAAATTTTATGTTGTCATAATGTAATGAAGCTTTGCATGGTAAACAATTCAAAAAATTGTGAACACATATTTTTCATAGCTTACATCGTAACATCACGCATTCACCAAAATAATACGTAAGACATGTAAAAAAACGGAAAAAATTGGTGGAAAGCGGAAAAGAAGTCTTTTCCAGTTTCCCCCACTTTTGAATTTTGAATAAAAGAAAGTTAAGTTGAAATGATTTTTCAAGTTATGAACTGCATTGAAACGTGTCAGCGTGAATAGGTGATCAAATTTTTACAATATTTTTTACACGCGAAATGCCTGATCGAGTAAGCAAGTAATTACTTTCTCGAGTAAGCGAAATTACTTTCTCCAACTAATTGCTTATTAGGGTAATAACAGATAATATGACTTGGAGAGGAGAGATAACGGGATCCTAGGATCCACCAAGCGTCTGCCCTAAAAGGTCATAAATTAGTTTAAAAGCAAGGCATAAGCCGACAAGCAGGTGGGAAAAAGTATATGAACGCAAGTAAACAAAAAATTACCGAACTATTCGTCAAAAAAATATATTTTTGAATTTCCAAGAACAAATAAATAGCCTTAGAGCTCTTTGACTTTCTCGAACAATTTTTGATACTTTTTTGATGAAATTAACCAAATTTGAGAAGTGGATCATTAAATGAAATTTTTATTACGCTGGGAAATCTGATCAAAAATTTTGAAACTTGAAGTCAATAATCTTTTCGTGGTCTTAACATTTTTGCTGTTTGATTTTGTCTTCCTTTTAACAAAGGAAATGAATTGTATTTTAAAAAATCAAAATTGAAACTACGAAAAAGTAGTTGAAACAACAAATTAAGACTGTTCCCGAAAGAAAAACTGCGAAAAAAAATCGCGACCTATGTAAGAATCTGAAGTTTGTTTTTCAGACAAAATTAACCCTTGTTGAAAAAACTCGACGTTGAACACTCGACGCGAGATTTTGAACAGCCTTATTTTGTATTTTACGAGGGGGTTGGGAAACTCGAAAAGAGCTCAAATATAACAAAAAAGTTTTTCATTTTTTCGCTGTTGAGTTATGTTCATGATGCTTACTTTTTTCAAATTTGTTTTTAATGGCTACAGAACAGTTTAAAAAATCAGTAGATTTTTTTTTCTCATTTGGCCAATATTTATTAGAATTTAGATATTTGTTTTAGAAGAGGGAAATGCCAACCCCGCAAGCAACGCGTCATCGTTGACCGGGGGAACAATATCTCCCAATCAGACGCAGAATACGACAGCAATTACCATTCCATGATATTGCAAACGAGTAAGAGGAAAAATGCAACTGGAAGCAATAAAAACAAAATCGATGATTTTGAAAACAAACAGTTGAGATTTTGATGCTTTCAAGGATAATCAAAATGAGAAATTAAACGTAAAAGTTTCAGACTTGGAGAGCGGTGGTGAAGTGGTTACCTTACATCTCCGCCTATCAAGCGAAAGGTCGGATGTTCGAGGCGTGCCATGATCGATGCTCATTGTTTAAGGGTGAGGCAACCTTACCCAACCCAGAAAAAATGGTTGAGAAAATTTCAAAATTGACCAAAAACTTGCATATAGTTCTTAAGCAAGAGCACGACAGCGGTTCGCCGTGATGAGCTGTACGGCTTGTATGTTGGTCCTTTCCCTCGTGGATAAAATGTCGTATAAGAAATTGCTTTTGCTCGCAATTTTAGTCCAATTTGAATACTACACCTAAGCAAAACTGTTCTGCATTTCATTGTACATTTTTAGTTGGGTTCACTTTTTAGCATCATTTTGTCAAATCACAACATTTCCAAAAGTACAAAAATTGATGATAACAAAAACTTTGATTTTATTCCGACTTTCATAACGAAAGTAACTGAGTATTTGTGCTCGAGTGCTTGTTTTTTTCAGACAAACTTCGACTTTTTATTAAAAACTTTGACCGAATTTATTATATCCGCCAAAAATTATTGTTGTCCTGAGCTCAAATTTTAAAAGATATTCTACCTATGATCATTTTTTATAAAGTTGCGAGGCTTTAAGGATTGCCAATATGGCCAACAATTGATAAAACGAAGATTTGATTTTGTTTCGACTTTTCGACTTTCGTAACGAAAGTGACGGAGTATTTGTGCTGTTTTTTTTGAAAAAAATCTTCAATTTTTATAGGGTTAACTTTGCTTCATAGACCTTAAAAGACAATCGCAACATTCAGGGTTTTGCCTGATACAAGCAAATTTGTTTATCTACCTTTTTGATGGATATTTCAAAATTTTTAGGGTTATTAGTTAAAAAAACAAAGAGAAACAAATTAAAGCAACCAGCTGAAATGATTATGGGCTCGATTTTGAAACTTTTTAAAAAACTAATCGTAACATGACAAAACCCTGAAAGATCTGACGGCTCTTTAATTGAGGTCTCAATTAAAATTAAGTAGAAAAAAATATGATTAACATTAATTTTGAGATTTTTAGCTTATTTGTTTTTCCTCGCCAGCAAAACAACCAATAACAAATAGTGAGTATGAATGTTTCAGCCGTATGGAGAGCTAAAATAATCAGACTTCATTTTAAATTTTTTTCCGAATTTTGAAGAAAACGGAATAATTATGCTTGGTGTGGTCAATTTTTATGCACTCAATTTTCGGCGATCGAAATAATAGTTTATAACAAAATTTTTGATGCCACATTGAAGATATCGACTCCCTGAAATCAATTTTCAAAAAGCTATAGTTTACTTCCGATTGCTTTTTGAAAAGTTTTGGGAGTTTAAAAATAGCCTATTTGGCCAGGCTATTGACTAACTTATGCGCACTTTGTAGATTTAATCCATGATACTGAAAGCGTTACGCGAATTATTTATGCGTGGTGAGTTGTCCCGCACAACAAATGGTTGTAAAATAAATTGAGGCTAGCTAATGGGTCGTATTAAATTGATACGACTCAAGTTTTCACACTTGATCTTTGATGCTGTCCAAAACTTATAGTTTTTCAATTTAATCTTTTCCCAAAAAAGTAAAATCGAAAATTGGAAGAATGGTTTTTCGTATAAGTATAACATCGCAAAAATCCGTAGACAAGGCCGCCATAAATTTCAGTTTGTTCTTCAGTTTCCTTGAATTGAAAAAAAATGATGAAGTTTGTATTTGATAAAAACAACTGATACTACTGTTTATCACTATGTTTATTACTAATGGCTTTCAAAAAGTTTTTTCGAATAAAACGTGTTCACTAGATTTCAAAACGACACATTTTCAGCCAGGAAGAACACTTTTGATAGAAAATCGGATCCGCAACTTTGAAAAAAAAATTTGAAAATTCAAAAACTTTGAAATATTCTTCAAGACAAAACTAGTGATGATTGCTTTGCCGGAAAAAAACCAGGCCATAAAAAAATAGTAAAATACAATAAATATTACTTCTACTTAAAAAAATGACAAAAATGTACGAAGACCTGCGTTGATTTGTCGCTAACTTTTAACCAAGTTATAATAAAACTCAGGAAACTTCAATTGCAGCTTTTGAGAAACGTAGACTTTCACGTTTACTTCATAAAAAGTTGTATTAGATAGAGTCAAATGCTGCTAATACAAACACAAAAAATTTAGTTAAAAATCAAAATTTCAATAAAAACGAAGTACATTGATTAAAATTTTAATAATTTCTGAAAGCCTCTTTTTTTTGCAAAGAAAAACTAAAACTAAAAATAGAGAAAATTCTTTCAAAAGCATTAACAACGAAGTACATTGATTAAAATTTTAATAATTTCTTTTCAGAAATTATTAAAATTTTAATAAATGTACTTCGTTGTTAATGATTTTGAAAGAATTTTCTCTATTTTTAGTTTTAGTTTTTCTTTGCAAAAAAAGAGGCTTTCAGAAATTATTAAAATTTTAATCAATGTACTTCGTTTTTATTGAAATTTTGAATTTTAACTAAACTTCTTTGTTAAGAACAAAAAGAAAAACCAAAACTAAAAATAGAGAAAATTCTTTCAAAATCATTAAAAAAAACAATAGAACGACCAAAAAACCTCTAAAAATACTCAAGAAACAAAAACCATTACAACAAAAAACCCTCTGAAAAATTGTTTTTTTTTGACGTTGGAAGTAATATGTCATTAGATTATGCCATGAACAGCATAAATAAACAAAATAACAAAAGAATTAAGGAAAAAGTTGTAAAACCGAAAAACTGTTTAAATTTCGAGCATCATAATTAACTAAAGATACACTACTGTAGTGCACTATACTGCACAGGGATCTTTCGAGAGTGTGACGCCGCTGTTTCTTGATGTTTCAAAATCAGCATTTGACTCTATCCAATACGCTTTTTATGAAGTAAACGTGAAAGTCTACGTTTCTCAAAAACTGCAATTGAAATTTTTGCAGGCAACAGAAAACAAAAAACTCCGAGTTGTATTAGATCGATATTTGAAGGAGTTTCGTAGGTAAAAAACTTGGGATCATTTCTTTCCAAAATATAAAAATTGATCTGTATGCGAAAACATGATGCGAAATACTTTAACTGAAAAAAAACTAGAAAAATTTATGCGAAAACATAAAGATTGCGCTAAAAAATGTTCCAAAAACTGGGATAGTTTACCTATACACCTGAAAACTATCAAAAAGAAATCAAACTATAAAACGAAAGTTATAAATAATTATAACATTAATCGATCAAGTACCTGGTAACATGAATATTGGGGGTTTTAAAGTATGCAGGTATATATAACTCAATTTACCATATTCTACTCTTCTAATTTGGTGTAGAAGCCAGTCCGGAATGGGTTAATCTTATTTGTTTAATATAAAAATTCAATCAAACAACAAGCATTTTTTGACCTCCGGGTTGTGTTAAAACAAATTACACGATTATCGAAAAAAACTTTCATTTTAACTGGGTAAAAACTGTGTAACGTGTCAAGAAAGAGATTTCGATAGTGTAAATTTCAGGACGGAAGATGTAAACTGTAATTCATAAAGTTAGTCGGCGACAATGAAATAGAGGTCAACCAAAGGTGACAGACACCTCCGAAGGTTAAATACCAGTTAGCACCAGACAGGTATATTAAATAGATTGCATTAAATAGGATAGAACTGAAATGGACTGTGAACTAATTTAATTTAATCACTATGACAGTTTTTAATTCATCTGATTGACTATAAATAGAATAAGACTGACCTCAATCCTATAAGTGATTTGATTCGAATCAAGAAGGGAGAAGTTGGACACAATCTGAACCAGAGTGGCTTCCACCACGAACTCCACCTCAACTGAAACAATATCTTCTTCACAGTCATAAGTGTTCCAAGCAAAAAAAGTGTGATTCCTTTTTATCAAGTTCTGTATCATTTGATCTTTTTCATCAAAACGACTTGAAATTAATTTGAAAAGTGAAAAAAAAAGTTTTTTTTTTGTTTTAATGACAAATTTAGTGCTATATTTCTCAGAATTTCCTTGAATGGTTAACAATTTTGATTTTCGATCAGATTAAGTATTGAAAGAATAATAAAAGTTCATAGCAATTAAAACAAACAATAAATAGAATTTTGCTACAAAGAATTTGTCCAGGTACTTGGCAAAGTGGAAAATGTCTGGAAAATGCCAGTTGTGATCTCGTGTCCTGTTTGCGTCACCCCCACTATTTTGATTGCATACTCAGTTCCAGGGTGAAGGGGTCCATTGCAGGCCCCAGAGGACGGACAGGAAGACTCCTCCCCCAATAGGAACTCCCACTGGCCCTAAAAGCAGTACAAGTTTACAACAATGCTGTTATAGTTTTTAGCCCATAATTTTAGCCCATAACAGTTATTTCGAATTAAAGGGGATTTTTATCTGAAAAGCGTGAAAATGATATATCACTCTATGCCATCTAACTTAATCTGATTATCTTCGCGACGCCAAGCTCGCAAACCTTTTGGTAATGATCTGGATTGCAGATAATTACTTGTGTAACTCTACTACAAGTAATTTTATGCAATGAAATTGAAGTAGAAAAAAGCTCCGTGGGATTTGGAATCCCAATTTTGTACCTTGGCTGAAACAAGCTTCAGCGAGGGAAATGATAATATGCATTTTTAAAAACTTTTTATAAGATAATAATATCAACAATGACAGCATATTTAGAATTCAAAAAGACTGATCGTTTACCAGCGGCAAGCCCGGAATTTTCTGGCTGTACTTTAAGGACAAATTAAAAAATTCTGTTTTTTGTCCTTTTCGAACTTTTTTCCATTTTTTAAAAATTTTATGCCTAAAAACGCTATAAAAAACTAAAGAGTACAGTTGGAGTTTTGTATAAGACTAAAATGCTGGCCCCACTTCAAGTTCGAATTTTTTACTCTGCCGCAAACGAGTGTTATGAAAACGCTGTGTCGATGTGAACGCAATGTGTTAATTATGCCAAATAAACCAAATTAGCTAAATTCAAACCCCATAGTTTAACAAAAAATGATTAAAGAAAAAACATAAATTGAGCTCTAAGGAACAATATTTTTTAGATGGCATGAAAAATTTCGTCAAATTTGAAAAATTTCGTCAAATAGTTAAAATGTCGCAAATTGACTGAATAAGAATACGACCCCGAGCATAAGTATTCTACACTTTCTTCGAAAACCGGATCAAAAACACAACAGTGGCAGTTATCAAATTAAAATGAAAGGGAAGTTTCAGAAAGCCATTGCGAATCTGAGAGAAAACTAAATTGGGAAACAAACATGAGCTTGTGAAAAATAGAAAAAAAATTGGCAGCTGAAAAGTTTCCTTTTTTAAAATAAAACTTACTACTTTCGGCGAAAAGCTATCATTTTTTACTCCTGACATGCCCATTTTTGCTGGCGACAATCAAATGGGATTGAAAACTTGACAAATAAGCAATAAAATTTAAGTAAAACTAATTGGCCAAAGATATTCGAAAAAAGAGAACTTTAATTTGCAAAACAATTTGTTCTTCAATAGTTACGAACCTTGATAAGCATATAAAAGCTGGTGTGATAAATAATTCATAAAACTCTCGAAAATAAGTCATCGATTCTCGTAAAAGGTATTTGTTTTTATGAATTCCAAACTTTTTGGTGATGCTGTGTTTAGTGAGAACTATAATTATAACAAGTCGATTAAGTCAATCTTACAATTCAGTCCCAGTCATTGCAAACAGACAACTTGGAAAGTGTAAATGAAACAAATCTTGAAACTGTAAAAAAAATTGACTAATTTAGAGCACTCAAAAACTAAAAACTGTTTAAAATGAATCTGAAAAAAATATAAAATTGAGTTGATAGAAATTTCTACTACAGTATTTAGCGTAAGAAAACATAGAAAAAAACACGGTTTTTTTAGTTTCAGTCAAAAATTTAGAGAATCTTAACATAGCCAATAGACAGAAGGAAAAAAGCCAATGAACGCAATGAAACAAAAAAACTTGTTGTTTGAAAAGCTTTCATTTTTAAAAACATAATAGTATAATTAATACTTTTTTTGATAAAATTAACATAGCTTGATAAAACTGGATCAAAACATATTTTTTATTCTCTTGAAAATCTGAAATTTAAAGTCCACTTTGAAATTAGAAAGCGATCACGTCTTAAGTTACTTTTGCACTTTTGATGTTCAATAGTAAGTTTTGCCTTCCTTTTGCCAAACATCGAAAATAAGCATGAACAACTTTAATGACTTTAACTGAAAAAAGATCTGAAATGAGCTATATAAGAGTCTAAACTAAGTTCATTATCTTTTAACCAACTAAATGCAAAAATTGAAGCAAATCGTGGAAAGTAGTTCCATTAAAATCTAAACAAAGAATTAATTTCAGAAAGTTGGCCGAAAGACTCATGAATGAAAGTAAATGAACTGTTTTATTATTTTGCTGTGAATTCTCAAGACTTAAAGAATTTTTCATACTAAAAGCCAATCACAAAAGGTTCCTGACATTTTGTTTTTGTTTCTGGAGAGTGTATTTTGTCTTTCAATTGGCAGATAAAATATCAAACCAGTCAAAATCAAAAGAACTCAGACGTCAAACGGCTAAAAATCATTTTGTTTAAAAAAAGCTAAAAAGTGCTATAAATTTTTTAAATTTTTCACTGAAAAATAAATATAAAAGTTGCATAATCGAAATATTGAACTGTTCACTTCGCTCATTGACACCTCAATTATTGTCATTGCGTTAAAATACTCGATGAAGCAAAAGCGGAATCTTTTAAACCAAAAAAACTGAATGCAGGAAAACTATGTGAGCCAGTGGTGATCAGTATATCAAAATACGAAGGAAATTAGCTGGAAAACGATTTAGTTTCGAACATTTTAAAGGGCGCTGATTGGCTGAAACAAAACCAATATGATCCTTCATTATAAATTTAGCGCCAGATTTATTTACCTCATTTAATAGCAATCATAAAAATAATTATAATAATGACAATATTACTGATAAAAATTATAAAAATAATCACAATAATTATCATAATAAACCTTACAATAAACATTATTTCTGCCTCGTTTTGGTTCTGAAGTAGATTGGTTTGGGGTAGCTTGCTGATTGACAACATTTCTTAATTGCAAATTAACCGAAATTATCGGAAATTACAAGTCAATAAAGAATATAGAATGGCCATAAATTTTATTTAGAAGCAGAATTCAAGTTCATAAAATACCCACAAGGAGAACAATGATAAATCAATTTTAAAACAACGCCTCAAAAGCTTCTGAACTTTGTTTCGGTCTTTCAGTTTTCGACTGTTCCCACTCACTGTTCTTCGTTCACCAGAAAACTCATTGGTTACGACCCACAAAATTCTAGCGAGAACATCCTCATCCGCCAGCAGAGCGAGAAAAAGTAAGAGCTCCAAGGTCAACCGGGTCAGCTCTCATATCCAGTAGCTGCTCCTGTTCGGGTCGGCTAACCACATTTCTGTCTCATTTCGGTTCTGAGGTAGATCGGTTTTGGGTAGCTGGCTGATTGACACCATTTCATTTCAAACGTTAATTAACAGTAATTATCGGAAATAACATGTCAACAAAGATTAAAAAACTGCCATAAATTCCTGTATTTAAAAGGAAAATTCTATGTCATAACATACGCAAAATGAAAACATTGATAAATCCGTTTTAAAACAGCGCCCCAAAAACTTCCGAGCTTTGCTTCGGTCGTTCAGTTTTCGACTTTTCTCACTCATTGTTCTTCGTTCACCAGAAAAATCATTGGTTACGACCTTGGTTTTTCTTGCTGAAGTTCTAACAATTTTAATAATCATAACAATAACAATAATGATGATAATAATAAGCATAATAATCATAAAAACAATCATAGCACAGAGGCGAAGCTGCGCTTTGCCAACACTTGCGAGAACACGACCGAAAAGCAGCTCTATCAGGTGACTTAAAAAAGTAGAAATAAGCCTCGAATTTGCAAAAATTCGAGACTTAGCAAAAACTCCAATTTGAAAAATTTTGCGAATAATCAATTTTGAGTCTCACGCACTAACCATTCAGCCACGGATGCCTAGAATCCCCAAAAACTAACCACCAAAAACGCAGCTACAATGCTAATAATTTGCCAAATTGATGCAGCAAATGTAGCACCAATTACAAAAATATACAACTTTGCATGAAATAAATCGCAAATCATAAAGCAAAGTTATGCATAATTTAAACATTTCAAAAAATTGCGAGATATTTCGAGTAATTAAATTTTCTGAAATCGAGATTTTATTATTGTTATGTTGTTTGAAACAAGTATCTTTCTTCGGTTCATTTGATGAATAAAAAATGCATCAACTGTGTTAACTTATAACTATTCAAATGTCAAAGCACGTGTTATCATCAAGCTGTAAAAGTGCAACAAATTGCCATTCTTTTTGTATTGCCAATTCGACGCAGCAAATACTGTTGCCTTAAGTCGCAATAACATTTGCAACAATATTTGCGACTTAGGTTGGAAAAAAAAGAAAGCTCGTACTATAACACATTGCTTCGCAAGTGTAATCATAATCATAATCACAATAATAATGATAATAATAATCATAATAATAAAAAAACAATCATGATAACAATACTTAATTATTATTATTATTATTATTATTAAGAGCATAGCGCCATGTTTATTTACCTCATATGAGTCGGACTTGAGGGTGGAGTATGACTTGGTCTCAAAGGGCGTGTATGCAGTCCATGAATCATTAACACTCACGACAGCCCAAGTCTCTACAATCAAACATGTCAAAGTAGGATGGAATTGAACAGGTCTTTGAAAAACTCAACTTCGATGCTAAACATGAAATTTTAATCAACCAATGGTATTCGTTTCCAGTTTTCAAGAAATCAAATATGTTTTCATGCTAGAAATTGTCAGCTTGTGGTTATATTCTAATCGTAAGCAGAGATTTCAAATTGGAAGAAGCAGCGAAGAATGGCTATAAGTCCCCGCATCACAATCCAAAGGTTGGTAGTTCGAGGCCACAATGAGCCGTGGTTGACGAGGGAAAAGAAACATAACCCAGAAATTACAAGAAAAATAAACATTGCGTGAAAATTTTTACACGGTACACAACAGCGGTTCTCCGTGTAGAGCTGAACAGCTCGTATGTTTTCTGTTTCCTTGTGGATAAATAATAGTCTTTAATTATAGTCAAAAAGAGTCAACTGGTATTTGTAAAAAACAAAAAGACTATCATACCTGGATTTTCCATCGTGTCTGTTTCATTCACAGCCGATACCAGTATTTTGTACTGTGTAATACTAGTGTCCAGGCCAAACGGAAGCCCATCCACCAATATCTTCAGAGTAGTGTAGGGGTCATCGAGATCTTCGGTCGAATGAGTCACCGTAATATTCGGCAACACCTCAGTCGTGAAATCTCTTCTCTGAGTTTCATCGCTGTCAGTCTTATTGAACACACACTCGACTGTGTAATTAGTTCGAGGATCCAAACCTGCGAAAGTTAGCAAGCAGTAGTTGAGAAAGGCGGCCTGCGGGCAAAGGGGGTTGTCGCCAGTCAAATTGGTATAGGTTGTGATCGGGTTGTTCGCATCTCCAGCCGGGTAAATCTAAACAATTGACGTTCAGCAGTGTCGTATCCACGTATATCAATTGAGCGTCTACTTTTAAGCAGCATTAGCTGAAGCTTTGATTAGATGTCATATGAATATTTGATGTTCGGCAAAGGTTTATAAGCACCTGTTATCAAAGCATTTTGCAACTCAAGCCTTCAAGCAGAACTTTTTTAAAACCATTTAGATGAAGCAGTAGTGAATATGAAAAGCACATTCTGCCATCCAATATAGTTATGCTGCGGCCATTTGGGAGAGAACTCTTTATTGTTTTCCATAAATCTATGATTAAGATCAAACTTTTATATAATTTGGTTCCCAAAAAATTACAGAGAAAAAGGAACCATTTTGAACCACTTTGTTCTAACCCTCACTTATCTCCGTTTAAAGCATACCCGAATTGACAAGATGGCATAAGATCGATTTTAGAATCAACACTGATTAAGACAAGAAGTCCGAATTATGTCTAAGTGAGATCATTATCATTAGATCAGTATCATCGCCCTGATATTTTCTCAAATTTTATGGAGTTCTTTCTAAATTTCTTTAATAGTTCTTTCAACCCTTGCGGTAGTTAAAAGCAGACTAAATTTCGTCCAGGGAATCATTCGAAAATAGGTTGATTCAATAGAATTAGGTGAACTCCGCATAAGTTTTTGGGCAAAATAATAGAAACCATAAAGATGTAAGCTGCCTTCGCGGACTTGATTGAATGAACTAAGTACTAATTTTTTACACCGAATCGGAGCTCCTCTTTGAAAAAAAGCCCTCATAACAAAAGCGGGACTAGAAGTATCAAGTGGGTTTAACTTTTGGAAACTTACGTTCATCCATTTTACTTCCTCAGTAAAATTAAGACAAGAATGAAGAATAGTTTCTGAAAAAACTGTTAAATAAGTGGTACAATCTGCGCCATGACCAGGGGCGGATCTAAAATTTTCAAGAGGGGGGCGGATTTTCAAAAAATTTTCGAAAAAATTTGTCGACCTTTTTTTTTTAGGTCGACCGATTGATTTTTCGAGCTCGGCTCTTTTTCCTCCCCCCCCCCCCCCCCCCCCCATCACACGAACATGAATTTTATGGTGTACCGGGTGGTTTTACAAGGTTAATTATGGAGACCAGATATGTTTGTCGTAAATTAATTAGTCCGTATGTCAATTTTCATAACAATAAGTACCAAAGGGGACCCTTTGGGTCGGCAGGGGGTCGAATCCCTGAAGGGAAAGCGTACTCGCCCCCCCCTAAATCCGCCCCTGGCCATGACAATCGAAGTTTGGCGCAAATTTTCTTCTGTCTTTACCTTAGGCTTAATCAACCCATTTTTAAAAATTGCCCTCAATCACCTGCTCAATTAAAAATTTTGGCAAAGGGGGATTAATTGCGGTTCGATCCATTCTAAGTAGTGCAAACTTGATTTTTTGTGAGCAATTCAGGAGTTTCTGCTTGTATTTTCATCATATTGCTACCTCTTATAGTGCTGTGGGTTGACCATCCTACAAAAAAAATCCTTTTCTTAGAACTTCCATTTTAAAAGTTGCATGACAGCAATTTTTGGTCATAACCCGGGCTCCTATAAATCAAATGAAACTTTCAATTTGCAGACACGGAATGGCAATTTCGAAACGATAGACATTTCAGTTATAAAGAGAGCGGGTTTTAAAACATACCTCAATTAAAATACCATCCTGTTAAACAAAACAATGAAATAAGTTGACATATAGACACGATAACAAATGTAGAAACGGTTTGAAGCCGAAGTAAAGTTTTTTTAATTCCATGTAAAAATTGGATTTGTTTTGTCACCCCCTGCTGTGGTATAAATATCCAATAAACTCGCATAGATATAACTACTACTTAAACTTCAATATCTATGTAGCATTGTGAGCATTATTGTACCTAGCAACAAAGTTCCCGTATTGCAATAAAAACGGAAGGTAGTAGAAGAAATCCCAAAAATCTTATATGGTTGTAGTGCTCATATCAGGGAAAAAATCTGAATGTTCTGATTGTTCATTAAGTTATCTTAGTTTTTGTGAAACAAAATTTTGATGAAAATATAATTTAAAAAAACTCTCATTTTTATAACTTGAGGCCAGTTGAAATTTTATACGTTCGTCAATCTTGCATCATTTCATATCGATTACTAAGCTGTGATTGATTTACAGCATACGATTCGAGAATGGGGGAGTACTCTCATGATGAAGGGACCGAATGATGAAAAAACTTCAACCAATCAGTATCGTTAGACACTCCTCCTGGCTGAATGACTTTCGAACAACACCGAAGCCATTATTCACAGAAAACGAATTATTAAAAGAGAGGAAAATTTTTCTGTACATTTCGTGTAGATATTCAATAAATTTTTGTTTATTTTTCACTTTTTTGAAACCGTTTCAGGATTTTTTTTTCCAAATCCCGACTTCGATTTACTTTGGAAATTCAGTTATCTGTGCTCATTTTCTAAACAGTCAATATTATTTTAGTGGTCTAAATTTATTCGCTTTCTTTAAGATTTAAAAACACTGAGTTTTGATAGGCTGAAATTAAGTGAAAATAATTTTACGGCTTTCCCGATTTCGAGTTCGCAATCCCAACTTCGATTTTGAAATTTTTGATATTTATCTGCTCATTTTCTTTGAGAATTCTAAATACTCAATCCTGATTGGCTAGAAATAACTGAAAATAAGTTTCCAGCATTTGTTCTCTGCATCATGAGTGACGCAATCTTCAATAACTATACGTTAACCGTAAGACAGTGTGCATTTATTTATTAAGCGTAAACTGATAAACATACAAAATATACCTAAATTGGGCGCTGGCTGACCATCATTTTTTAGTGGCTGGTCAAGGAGCAGAATGCTCAAAGAGCAGAAAAGGTCTAAGAGCAGTAAAAAAACAGACAAAAGTTGGATTTAACGAGCTAATCGATAAAAACACGTATCTGAACCTCTGCATTACAACTAAAAAAATTTAACTTGTACATAATATGATTGAATTGATCGAAATGTTTCAAACTTCCTGAATAAATTGGCTAAAAATTGATTAGCCCATAAATATCCAATTTTTTCTGTTTTTCTTCTCTTAGACCCTTTCTGATCTTTGACTACTCTCTTGATTGCTCCCCCTCTCATTATAATTTTGGGCTGAAGATAACGATACCTTCCTTGAGGGAAAACAAGATGTTTTTGAGAATGTCAAGGATAACACGCAGCAAACTTTTGTTAAAATTTCTTTTACCGTGTCGCAGAAATGTCAAACACCCTCGCAAGATCAAACATTTTGCCTGGCTATGATCCTTTTCAAAAACCTTTAATCTTTAGTAATCTTTAGAAAGAATTTGAACCTGTTATTGCTTGACAAACTACAAACATTTAAATACTCGATATATCCAGAGTCATAGTTTTTAAGTTCATTTTATTAACTTTGTTATCAATGACTAAGAGCCACTAATCCCCGCCTTGCGGGTTTAATTCAATCTTAATATGATTATTATGGTTATTATTAAAGATGATTTTTTCAATAACAGATTTTTGAACCAATGGTGAATAATTGTGTTGGGTGGATGACTGAATTCAATGTTCAAATGAAAATAGCCCGTTTGCAAAAGAGCACCAAGTTTTTGCGCCTTAATTTTTTTTCCGAGTTTAGAGAAATTTGAAACTGAATAAGTTTCATAGTGCGTTTAAATTTTACTATTTTTTTTGCGAATGTGAGGGGAACGTGCAATTGTATCAAACCGCTAAAATTATTTATATCAGCTTCCTAAATTTTTTTTTGCTCTGCATAAAAAACTTAGAATCACTTTTAAACTAACTCAGTCTTCACTCACCTAAAATGGCCTCCATAGCAAAGAAGAGCCAATATAAAGATTTAGAAAAAAATATCAAATTTCGAATTTCTAGAGTTTTGGGTAATCAGCAAATCTAGAAAAGTAACCCTCAAAGCAAGCCTCCATGAACTTAATTAGCGAAAAATTAAACTCTTCATTAACATTTTCAGCTTCAGATTTTTTTTCTCGATAAGTTTTGTTCGAGTTTTGTGACTGCATCTCGTATCATGCCTAAAAAACAGCTTCAAAAATTGTTATCACTTGACCCCGCCTGACGTTCTCTAGAGGAAACTGAGAAAAAAACATAGCTGAAGTACTCTCTTACTCTCGGTGGTCGAAAAAAAAATAAGACAAAAAGCAGAATTATTTTTAAAATTTCTCAAAAAAAAATTCATTCATATTAACAAGTCAGTCAAAATTGATTGATGAAATTAGAAAAACTACAGGATCGATCAAATTTGGAATAACCTCAAAAAACTAGACCACAATAAATTAACTTGAAGAAGTTTTATGCAGGATGACAGCTTTCAATATTTAATCATAAAATCGAGAAAAACTTCACAGAACACTAGGTGGACATAATTGATAAAAACTAAAAGTAAGGCAGATGTAGCCCATTGTTGAAAAAAAGTTATCCGCAATTAGAGAGATAAGCTGAACAGACGTGTATGGCTAACTTACTGTGGCAGAAGTGACTTCGTTTTCTAGCACCGGAAAAGCGAAGGTCACACTGGTCAAAGTGGACGAGATAACAGTGAGTCCAGACACAGTCGCTAAAATAAATGAAATTTAGATATAACATCTTTTAGCTTTTTGTGCACAGAAAAAAAAACTGTACAATGTTCTGCATATTTGATTCTTTGTATTTTTCAAACCAAATAAATTGTGAAATAAACACTCATTTAACTGTTGAAAACCAAAAAAAAAAGTGTAAAATTTTTCTGAACAATTAGACAAAAGGAATAAATAATGTCTCAAACAATTCGCTGACTTTAAATTCTGAAACCAACCAGGAAAAGTGGAGAAACCAGTGTATGGCCCTCTGACTATGGCATCTGCGTTGCCCTCGGGATAAGTTGCCAGCCATATCTTGAAGTTCGAGTTCCGTGGCAGGGGTCCGTTGCAGAACCCAGTCTCAGTGCCATTACAACCTTCGGATCCGATGACGAGGGAGAAAGTGTCGTCTACTGTGTTTTCAGGAGGGTAAGTCTGGTTACCCCACGGCAAGTAGGGCGGAATAGACGTCGTCTGATTATCCGGATCGATACCCGCTTCTGCGTACGTCGTGGCTACATTTTTGAATAAGTTATGATAAAATCCATCAAACTTTTAAACTAAAATCAAGAATCAGTTGTCGGTTCTTTCTCATCATTTATGTTTAAATTTCGTATAATTTCTAACTTAAAGATCTCAAACTAGTCAGGGGCAGATCTAGGATTTTCTCGAGGGGGGGGCGGATTTTCAAAAAATTTTCGAAATTTTTGTCGACCTTTTTTATTTTTTTTTTAGGTCGACCGAGTTGATTTTTCGAGCTCTACCTAAGCCTGTTTAGTCCCTATTTTGGCCAAATTTTATGCGCCGCAGGCAGAATTTTGAAAAAAAGACAGCAAAAAAAAGACATTTTGACCAAAAAATCGCGTTTTTTCGGCGCGCGCTCCACCCTTGAATTTAGTATATATTGGCGCCCAAGGCGCCTTTAGAAGAGTTTTATGGTTGGTTGGCCAAAACTAGATTTCTTAAAAGTACCAAAGGGGGGACCCTTTGGGTCGGCAGGGGGCCGAATCCCTGAGGGGGGTCGAATCCCAAATCCGCCCCTGAAACTAGTATTAACTGGCTTTTCTTTTGATCTATGTTCTACCTGATGTCCGGATTTGTAAATTGATCATTTGTGAATTGATAAGTTTTCCGCCTTTCCGCTCACCCCCAAACCCCCCACCCCTCCCCTTACCCTGATTTTTTGTGCCTTGAGGGTATATGATTTTGTGAACTAGATATCGCCATTCCTATAAGATATTTAAAGGATGAAGTTTAATGAAGGTTATTAAGTGCTATGAAGTTATGACTTAATCAGGCTTAACTTAAACCCAATTAAAACTAATTTGAATTTTTTTTCGCTCTGCGACGACTAAAAGCGGAGCATTTTGGTGAAATGACATTGTTTCAGGCTTAAGGCTGGGTCATAAAAGGTACAAAACATTATTTTTTTCTGATTATAAGCTTGCTAACAAATTATAATTATTAACTAACTTGGGAGAGTATTGTTTAACTCATCAGTAGGATGGTCCTCCGAGGCCACTATGACCAGGTAGGAGGACACGAACTCGTCCTCTCCGAACGGCAGTCCGCTCACTGTCACTTTGAACGAGGAGGAGGGGTTCTCGATGTTGAACTCCGGCGCCACCACCACCCCGTCCGGCAGAAGACCTAATTGGCAGAAAACATAATTGACAGAAGGCCTAATTGGCAGGAGGACAAATTGGCAAATAGGAGTTGTATTAGCCAACATTTATACCACAGATCTTGTTTGTTTTTATCTGCCTTGTTATTTTCGTTGCTTTGTTTCAAAAGTCGAAACCAGCCAAAAACCATGAAATTTTCTACTTTGTTCTTCTTTCTTCTTTTTTCTGGTTGTTTGCGCGATTTTTTTTAAATACGAGATATTTCTGCTGTTGAAATTCTGCCACCAGGGAGCTCAAAAATGAGGTTTGTCGATATCTATGATGAGGTGATATAAGAGCCCAAACCGTCAGTTTACCTGTTGCTGAAATAGTTTTGAGAAAGGAATTAGGAGCCGCGTTAGAGAGGAAATTGTTGACTTGGCTAAGATCAATCCTTTTCAGCCATTATCAGAATTCAGCTTTTTACACGTTTACTTATTGCATAATGATGCCGTTTAATTCTACTCGGGAGATCGCCGTTTAATTCTACTCGGGAGATCGTTTAGGTTAGTTTTTTAATGGGGGGAGGTAATGGCTTACAATGTTAAAAAGCCTGCCTATTAATATACAAAAATATAAAGCCAAAGGCTGTGCCTAAGAACCGATTAAGCTTGATTCTCAAAGCGAACATTATACTAACTGGATGACACCACTACAGTCTCCGACCGTCTCTCCACCCCCGAGTAGAAGGGGGTGATGATGACGTCATAATCGGTGGCTGGCTGCAGGCCAGTCAACTCCACCGAGCAGTTGGGACTGCAGGAGGACCCTTGGATGTTAGAAAAGGAAATCTCGCCAGTCAGAGTATTAATCGCCTGAAACAAAACATGAAATTGGCCCAAAAATACGAAGAAAACAGGTCAAATAAAAGCATTTAAAATAGGAGACAATTAGACAATTAAAATCAAAAAGAAGATTTGGGCGGGCTTTTTTCCACTTTCCCCTCTCCACATTTCAAATTTTCATTTTTCTTAAATTTTTTCCGTGTGATTATGGCTAAACGTGTGATGTTAAGAGGTAAGGTATGAAGAACAAATCTGTTCACAATAATTTTCTTTTGATTTTTTAATCTTTCTTGAAACTATCGTGACAGACCTTATTGAATTTTAATATTTGCTCGGGTTAAACATTCTTAAACAAAGTCAACAGAAAATTGGAAAAGTGTAAGTGAAAGCGAGGAAAGAAAAAGTTGACCAGCTTGTTTTAAAAGCTTCTTTTCGAGTTACAATGAAATACTGACTTATAGGTTTTTGAATTTCAAGAAAAAAAATCATGGACACTTTTTTGATGAAATTGAGTGAATTTGAGAAAACTGAATCAGTACGTAAACCTTGAAGAAATCAATTTCGAAATAAGAAATCGATCAAGTTTATCGTTACTTTTTTTTCTGTTTGGTAGTCGCGTTTCCCTTTCTTTTAAAAACGGCAATGAACTGCACTTGAAAACATTCTATATTGAAAACACAAGAAACGCTCAAAAACAACAATTTAAGTATTTATTCCACTCCCCACACTTAACGATTTCATAACGTAAAGAATTTTTGAATGAATAAACTAACTGTTGTGACCACATTTTTTCTTCATACCTGACATTGTAAGATCACGCATAAAGCCATAAAAAAAGACGTTAGACATCTGAGAAAAGGAAAATTTCAAATATTCAAATGCGGGCGGGGAGTGGGAAAGAGCCAAATTTAATGTTTCCTGAAAGAAAAACAAAAAAAAACATCGCCTCAAAGCTAGTTTAATTAAAAAATATTGAAAGAAAAATAGTTTCATGATTCCGCCGAAAAATTTTTATGGAGTTTTTTGTGCAGTGAAATTTCTAATTTTCTAATCGTTCTTCGAAATAATATTTTAATTTGGATAATAGATCTTGCTGCCAGTTGATAACAGTTCAAAATTTTTTATGGCAGACTTGTCAAGCGACAATTTGTCGAAGTTCAATTTCTTCAAACAAAATAACACCTCACTACAAAATACTTTTATCATCAGATAACTAATATTTTTGCTCATTCTCATACGAAAAAAAGAGCAAATCAGAAAAAATATAAAAAATACTTTTGTGCCAACAAAATATAGTCAAGATTTACTACACTGTAGCATTTTTCGAGTATTTTGTAAAACGTATGAAACCAAACTCCATTCTTCCATTGCGTTGCCAACTCCACGGAAACCCATTTAATATTGAGTTACAAAAAAAAACAGTGAAAACTAACCCGTTAAGTTCCACTATACGCTTATGTAATGCTAACTTGACTGTGGAATTCCTGGCGAATTACAAAAACTGTGCTTCACAAGAAACCACATTTTGGTTGCTTAGTGTCAATTACTTCATTCGAAAAAACATCAGAAAACCTGAATATTTGACTGCATTTTAAGCCCGATCAAAAAATGTTCGTATTTTAAAAATGGAGGAATTTATCAATGAAAAGTTAAATTTTTTTTTGACGATTTTTATTTATCTACCCCACACGCCATGTACAGTTAAATGTGATTTTTTTGCATGTTGTAAAGTATTCAATAGAGCAAATAGCTTGCTTCAGTTATATTTGGAACAACTTCTAAGACGGATTAAAACCTCAGTGTACGTGTTTGTAACGCAAAATATATCGCGCGCTAGATGTCCTAAGTTGGCCAAATTTACTTTCTTTTAACTGCGATAACTTTGCTGAAAAACTGTTAAAAAAAAAGTTTGTCTGGAGAAATCAAAATTGCGCAAACACAACTGTTCCAACTTTTTTTGTTCGAAAGTCGGAACATAAACTTTTGTCTATTGATTTTTTTTCGATATTTGATTGTCAATATAAATCTAATTTTTTCACCCTAAAACTTTTTCTAACAAATTCTCGCCACTGATATTTGTTTATCACAGTTAGCCTATTTGAGAATGAAGGAGTAAGAGAGTTCTCATAAGAACGGTTATATGAAATACTAGAACAAATTTTAAAACTAAATTTTTAAATTTTTAGCCAATATTACCGCGCTTCGAAAACCACCGTTCTTTATAAATTAATTGATTTTTTGCTTTTGTGAAGTATGTTGAAATTCAAATCCAGAAAAATTATAGAAAAAACTGAAAAGGGTTAATGGTACCTGATATTTTTAAAACTTGAGTTGAACCAAAAGAACGAATTTCAAGGGATAAAAGAGAGACATTTTTAGCAGGCCATTGAGTGATATGTTACAATAAGTGGTAGTAACAATAAGTGGAGTTTAGTACATGTATTAGATTTGAGAGCTATGATTGCATATTATAGTCATTTCATTTTCAGTCAATCGCACTGCAACTAAGATAGTTTTTGTTAATGCATTACTCTGCCAAATGAGATGCTTATCAAAAATTCAAATTTCACACTTCTTTTGCCAAAAAACTTAGTTTTTGAAACAAACTAATGTGCGAAGTATAACAAAAAGCGATCCAGCTATTTAAATTGAACCTACTACCTATTGTAATATATCACCTATTATTGATTAAAATTCTAGCTGAAATACGATCTTCTTGTATATTTTTTATGAAACTCTCGAAACTCTCATGAGAAAGGGCATTGCATTTATTGTTCCAATCACTTCACAAAATGAGAGAAAAAAACTCAAGCTTCGACTACCTCAGACTAAGTTAGACAGCAGTCTAAACTCCTCGCAAAAATTTAATGTTATTTTACCGTTAGAATATTAGAATTACGTAAGTAATTATTAACTCAAATTCATGAAGTTTATCACCTTTTTCAGTCGCCTTTTTTTTCAAGAAAAAACCAGAAAAAAAATTTGGAAAAACCAAAATTGGATTAAATTTTTGTTTTCAATTTTTTGTTGGAACCAGGGGCGGATTAAGGGGGGGGGGGGGGGGCGTACGCCCTTTTTTCTCAAGGATTCGACCCCTGCCGACCCAAAGGGTCCCCCCTTTGATACTTTTTAAGAAATCCTTTTTGTGGCCAACCGACCCTATTTTTTTTAAAGGCGCCTTTGGCGCCAATATATACTAATTTTGAGGGGGGAGCGCTCGCCGAAAAAACGCAATTTTTTGGTCAAAATTTCCAAAAAGTGTCTAAAAACGCCCTTTTTTGACTGTTTTTTTCTCAAAAACTTGCCTGCGGCGGAAAAAATTTAACCCAAAATAAGGAAAAAGCAGTGCTTTGGGAGAGCTCGAAAAATCAATTTTGTCGACCTAAAAAAAAGGTCGTCAAAATTTTCGAATTTTTTTAATCCGCCCCCCCCTCAAGAAAAACCTAGATCCGCCCCTTGTTGGAACATTCTTCCTGTGCTACTTGCACAGCAACGGGCTATCCAAGAAATTTTAATTGAAAAAGATATCTTATAATTGCTCCACCCGCTTGGAATTACATCCAACATATTCGGAAAAAAAGACAAACGAACCATTAATTGGAAAGCCTAATTTTGCTCCGCTGATCTGACAAATAAATGATTGACTTTCACTTTAGCTGGGTGAACTGTAGAGCTATTTAAACATGTTCATGTTTTTTGGACAGTTTGTCACTTCATAAAAGACTGAACTTTTCTGAAGATGCTTTGGTATCTTTGATAAATCTTCACAAATCTTCAAGAGCTTAAAAAGACTTCAAAGGTGATAGTGGAGAAGTTAGTTTGTGGGTATCGAACCTGGACTGTGTAAGTGGCGTCTTCTGGGAGAACTGGATCGAACACAGCAGTGAATGCAGTCAGACTCTTGTTCACAATCGCCGGCTCCGAAATTCCATCTGCAACACATCGTATCATTATTACGATTTCACACATTTATCATAAAATTGTTAAAGACCATCCCCTCACCCCCCCCCCCCCCGCGCATGCTTCCTCCCACCTGTCAACTTAGATTTGTATTACAATGTCCAATTGTTATAATATAAAATTGGTGCGCTAAATAATTGAGCCATTTCGAAGACATTTGGTTTTCCTAATCGACCTTGTAAAACCATTCGTTACGTCATAATCTTGAGGCTTATGCGAGGTGGGTAGGGGAGCTTGAAAAAATCTCTTTTAAGTTGGACATCTCTCAAACTGATTGGCATTGAATCAATCCAGCATGTATAATTTGCAATCTACCCAGGCATGGAGGAGAGGGGGAGGGGGGTGGGGGTGTTTAAACTAACCAGCAATAGTAGTTAGCCCGCCAATTTTCACACTCAGAATAGCATGACCCGTTGCAGTGACCCCTGCAACCCAAAGAGAGTACTCAGTCATGGACATGAGAGGGCCATTACACACTTGGCGGATGGACACATCGGGGTCACATATGTCCACGCCTATGTCCACGAACCAGGACTGGTCAGTTTGCTCGATGTTGAAGGTCATTGGGTAGTTTTCAAGGGGGAGAACTTGGTAGGGATCCTCAGTGTCGATGTAGTTGGACCAGTACATAGCTGAAACATAAAACTGTCTTTTATAGCTGTCGGTGATAGCGCTCTTCGATCAAAGAGTTTTTTCCTTGGGTATTTTATATTGCAAGTTTTTTCTAAAATACAAGGCAGGGGATAAAAGAATATATATCTATATTGCAAGAGTTGGGGAAAAAACATATGATTAAAAAGCAAAGCATTTGCTTAAAATCTTCATATACTATTTAAGCTTATTTGGGTTGCACTTTATATTTTAACTATGTTGTTCATTATTATTATTATTATTTAAAAGTAACATATATGCCAAGCAGTTATTTAAAACTTTTTGTTCTAAAAAAATAAATAAAATTTTTTAAGGATGACTGACTGTTGACGGCGTTGTCGGCCTTGAAGTTAGAGCCCCCCGACTTCTCTGCCATGACAACAGTATACTGTACTATCTCATCCGTGTCTCCAAAAGGGAGGTTCTCGAAGTTCACCCTCATCATGTAGGAGGAGGCATTGTGAGAAGTGCTGATGAAGTCATCTGGCAGAGAAGCTAGAAGTGAAAGAAATGCAAAATGTTTCCTTTACCATACACATGTGGCGAGACTATATACAAACGAGATAAATTCCTCAATTACTTGTTCAGCCAACTGGGAAAGTAACACTCAAATAATCAAACGGATCGTATTTTTTATCACATTTAAGTTAAGACGAGTAGTTTGGCTTTAAAAAAAACACCTTATTCAGAGGGTATTTTGATTCAGATAACAAGTATGCTGTTTTTTTTCTGCGCATCAATGATCAAACTGCTCGTGTTATAGCAGAACATTTTGTAAGAACCATATATTGTTTAAGAAACTCTGATATCATCTAAGCAAAATACAGAGGACTGACAATTATCAATGTATGCAATCTATTATTCCGATAAGCAGCTAACTGGCGTTTTAGGTGTTCGTCAAATATGGTCTTTTTTGTTGGTATGAGTTGTGTAAAAAAAATCGAGTCTGTTGTCTTCTTGAAAACAAACTGTGGTAAATTATTTTTTTTTCACTCACCAGTGGAAAACAGGTCCCCAGTGAATGACATCTTGTATGGGCTGGGAGTGGACACTACATACACAGTGGCAGTATAGTCTGTGCCCGGGTCAAGGTCAATAAAGGTCACGGGACATCTGCTGGGGTAATCTGTGCAGTCGGCTGCATTCACTGAGATGTTTACCAGAGATTCACCAGTTGACGCTTTCTTCAGCTGAAGAAAACAACAAACAAAATTTCTTTCTTTTGGCCGTGCAATTTAGTTGAAAATATAGCGTTAAGATACGATGTGTAACACGTTAGCTTTAAAGTTACCTTAGTGAAATATAAATTATGTCTCATTGATGTTACCCATACCTAAAAAAATCCGGTTTTATTCTACCTTTCAAACTTGTTCTAAGCTATCGCGTTAGCTAATTATTATATTAGTATAAACAAGCTTAAAAAATATAACTTGAAAAATAAATAACAAAAAGTGAAATATAAATATTATGTCTCTGTGGGTAAATGAGGTAACATTGGCAATGAACGGGATCATGAACCTATTTTGAAAGGATTGAAATTTGGGCTGTGATTGGGGTTGAGATTGTGTTAATATGCTTATATACTCACATTGGCGAGGAAGGTAGACTCGTCTCCGAATGCAGACACATTAATGTATGCTGTGATTTTAGTCAGAGTAGCGTTATAGTCCACGATCTCAGGCAGATCTAAGTAAATAACTAAGGATACCCGAACTGCCAAACTTGAAATTTTAATCGCTTTAAAAAGACTTTTGCAAGGTAATGAAATCTATCAAAAATTTTACAAAATTAGTTTAACTGAACTATTCTTTTTGTTTCGAAACTTGAGCAAAATTTTGTTCTCAAGAAATATCTCGATCAAAGCTACCGAGAGCAAGGAGAATTTTTTTAGAGCTAACTATTGTGGAACCAGATCCAAACTATAATTTATTATTGGTTATAATTTAGATACTTTATCCCTATAAAATATTAAAGACTAAACCAATCACACTCCATCGAACTAACAACCCACTTATTTGTAAGTGCTGAAATTACTTGTAATTTCAGCACCAGAGCTATTTGAATTTAACTTACAACTTAGTTGCTTTCTCCAAGAGACCGAATCGTAACAAACCAGTATACTCTAGATCTATTGAGACTAAGAGATATAAGAGTAAGATTATTATCGGTATTAGACTAAGAAATTGCATGAATCTATCCGGCCAAAAATAAGATAGCGTGACGAGCAGACGGTGTACCCTATCTAAAATTACTCTATGAGTTGGACATCCATCCCAACTCAATTGAGTTTACGGGAATCATTTTTGATATTTGCATTTCTAAGCGTTCCCATGGCAAGTAAACGAAAAAAAACTGCATGAAGAATTACTCATTTATCCTTTTCATTATCAACTTTCTAGGCTCAGTTTTGTTTAAAAAAAATGACATTTAAATGAAAACTTTTATTAAATCAACACATTTTTGGTACAAACAATCTACAAAGTTAGCTAAACTGATAGTTTTTTCTAAAGTCAAACTTCAAACGAAAAGATATTTGAAAAACATACGATACACTATCAGCTGATTGATACAAATCAATTTTCTTGTTACCGATATCTGTATGCAAATGAAACAAAAAAGCCAAAAAATGGATTCAAACCAATTTAGAATTAGTTCGGATTTTAGAATCAATTGAGGCTGCATTTCTCTATCAAATTACAAACTAATCAAACAATTTAAATCAATTGAAAACTATTTTTTTTCGTGGTTTCTGGACCATTTTCTGTATAAAAATGATTGCGAGTAGTTTCATGTCAATAACGGGCACTATTTGCCTCATATTAATTAAGAACCAACTGCTGCAGGGGTAAAACCAGCATTGTGTTGTAAGGGTGATTGTTAAGAGTCCCTACTTTAGCCCAACTAAGATTTGTGGCCTAAATATTATGTTCCGAATTTCGAAGAAAGTCACAGAATATTTGTGCTCAGGGTCATTTTTTTCTCCACGACAATTTTTGAATTATCAACTAGCAAGTTTTGAACAAATTTTACTAAATCAACCGGTATGTTTTGTTGTCTTGAAGTCAAACTTTGAAACCTGTCCTCATATTCGTTAACTTATTGGTTTTAAGATTTTTAATTGGGCCAATTTGTTATAATCAACGCGCAATATATTTAGTGCTATGAACGCAGCGGAGATTCAAAATTGAAAAATTGTTCAAAATTGAATTGAGACAAGCTATTTGGTCTTTTTAACACTTTGCTATATGCGAAATATATAACTTTGCTCTTTTTTATAGCGTATTAAAAATGGTTTTAAAAATTTTGCAAGTTTTTTTTTATAGCAGATACTACTCAATATAGCTTAAATGGCAGTCGCAAATTTCAGATTTTGCACCTTACGAGCAGTATTGTTAAAGTTGAAAATACTCTATAATCCTCACTGCAAATTAATGCTTGTACATTTATGATTATATTTCATCACAATTCATCCATTCGTAAACTTATAGGTTCTAAGATTTTCATCACAATTCATCCATATAAAAAATCAAACTTTTGATAGAAATGAAAACTGGAAAAAATTGAACGGTTATCAAAAACCTTTTCATTTGAAAAAAAAGAAACTGATAAAAAAGAAGAAATTGAAAAACTAGACGAAAAACTAATTCCATCTGCGGTATTAGATACCTTCTCATCAGACCATTTAAAAGAATGAAATCGAAATACCAAAACTGATGCCTAGATTTTTTTCTAGATTGTTCTAGAAGAAGATTATTCTAGACCTGGTGTGATGAAGAACTGTGCAGGATCGGAGTCTGCAGTGAGTGAGACATCGGGGTATTCGACCTCTGTGATCACCTGCACTCTGAACTCCGAGATGGAATCTAAGCTACTGATGTCCAGCTCAAATGTTCCCGAGGAAGCCTGGAGCAAGCGATTTAACAATCAAGGGCGAATTTAGAAGGAAGAATCTATTTGGAAGAAGAAAGGGGGATAGGTTTTCAAAGAATGTTCGAACAAATAGTCGACTAAGACGTATATAGGAGTATTCACTACGTTCATTACTCTTAATATCAAAATTCACTTTTGAAATTAGAAGTTGATCACATTTTTTTGTTCCGACTTTCGATACGAAAATAACGGAAAATTTGGGAATATTTGTGCTCGGGGTGGGTTTTTTTTTCTTCAGACAAATTTCGACTTTTTAACTAGCCATTTTTGACGAATTTTTTTTATCATTCGAAAGGTATTGTTGTCCTGAGCTCAAATTTGAAAAAATATTTCACCTGTGATCAATTTTCGCAAAAATACGGGGGTTTAAAGATTGCCATTTTGGCCAATTTGGGAAAATTAATGCGCGATATATTTCGCGCTACTAACGCGTGAGCGGAGAGTTAATCCGTCTTAGAAATCGTTCCATGATGGTGGTTGAAAGAAGCTTATTTGCCATAATTGATTTGTTACAAGGGGCGAAATCTATCCTTAATATGGCGCTTGGGGGTAATTTTCATTTAAAAAAATTCAAATTTTAGTAGAAAAAAAATTTTTCATTTTATTTTCATTCAATTTTTCAAAGATATTACTGCTCCATAAACATTAAAAGGCAGTCGGAACATTCAGGGCTTCACCCTGATACGAGCAGTCTTGTTTACTTTTGCTGTTCAATAGTGGAGCTTGCCTTCCTTTTAACCGTGGCGTGCTCAAAATTTTTCTATTTTAAATTTTGCGAACTTTTCTTTTAGGTTGACCAATTTAACTTTCCGCGCTCTCCCAAAATAGTTTAAGGACCCTATTTTGTGGAAAAAAAAATTCTTTGAAATAGGCAAATTTTTCAAACGTCGTTCGGACTAAAAAAGGCGTTTTTAGGCATTTTTTTGGAAAATTTTGACCAAAACATTGCTCTTTTTCCGGCGCTCAACTTTGTCATATCGGCGCCAAATGCGGCTTTACAAAAATTTTCAGGTTGTTCGGCAAAACATGGATGTCAAAAGGCCACACCAAAAAGCTAAAAACTACCCCAAAACCTGTGCTACTTGCTCAGCAACCGGCTATCCTTGTACCATTTTGGCTAAAAATGTCTCAGGAAAAATTAAGTTTGCTTTAATTCAGTCAAGGTGATTAGTCAACTGTTTTGTGTTCTTACCTGTCCGCCAATTTCGAAGGTTTCGTTGGCAAGGAGTTCATCAGTGTCGTTGTTGTACACTTGAACCAGGAACCCGTTGAAGTTGTTGTCGTGTCTGTCTAGACTCCAGTTGGCCCGCAGAATCTGGTCGTCCAAGTATGCAATCGTAAATGACTCCAGCGACTTTGGCTCTGGATGAAAAAGAACATAACTAACCAGAGAAAAGCATATAACTAAACTATAAATAAAGCTTCCTATTGCACAATAATTCGGCCTTGTGGTGTTCTCTCAAAAAATGGTTTTGAAAAGAACTCCTTATTTCTAAGTTGGTTTGTTATGGTTATTGTCATCAGGTTTTCTTTGTGAGGAACAAAGTTGACAACATTGAAATCTCGTTGTCAAGCTGGCGTGTTTCTCCTAACCAGTTATGATTTTGTACGATGTCGGCTCGCTCTCTAGATCTCCGTTTTCCGACAACGTGACCACGTCCGCCTCATAGAGTGTCCCGTACTTCATGTACGTCACCGGAAAGTCATCAGTACCCGACGACACATTGGCCGGAAACTCAGGTGTGAGTGTAACATTTGTTAGATCAAAGTTCCGGGTCCCGTTATAGTACAGTTCCCAGGTGTACAGTCGGAATCCAGACCACCCGATGCGGTCGGGGTTCGGCGGCTGGAAGTTGAAGGAGATAACTCGGGGGTCTTCATCCTCTGTTGAATGGTCTCCGAGAGCACCGAAGGTCAACACAGGTAGGGGAACTGAAATTATGATAAGAAGTCAGGTATAGTTGATTCTGTGTAATCAAGAGTGAGTTGACGGATCAACCGTACAATCTCCCTCTTAGCTGTCCTCCCCGAGCATGTAATAATTCTGAAAAATACTGGAAGAGACTGGAATCTTCTTCATAAATTTTTAAAAATTCAATATCTCTATAGAATTTTTTCCACGCAATCAACTCAGTGCAATCAAAATAAAAAAGGAAAGTGAGTTTTTGCACCACTTTATTCCCATTTCAATTGACTTTTTTGTTTTCATTTTTGACACAATTGCAAAAAAAAATCACGTGAAAAGCAGTGTCCCGAAATACTGTCGCTCTTTTTTTCAAAAAATTCAAGTTTTTAAGAGCTGCATAAAGTAAGCATAAGAAAAGCAGGAAAAAATCGTCATGCTGTAAATTTTTATAGTGTCAATTTTGATCGAATTAAGCGTCGAAAAGTTTTCAAAAAATCAATTAAATTGCTTCAAATGTAGATACAGATCTAATTGTAATAATTTCAAACAGAATTAATTGAATCAGTTTAAAATCGATTAAGTTTGATTTTTTGAAATTAGCTTTAGCTAATTTTTGTTTTAAATCAATCATTTTTAAACTCATTCAAATTTGCTATTTTTAGGCTTTTTCTACATTTTTTGATAAAACTGATTGCAGTCCATTTCTGTCAGTACATGCAGGCTCGAACCTTTAATCTCTTGAAATTGAGTATAAGAGCTCTTTCGATTTCAGTCTCTTGACTACTACACAAGCCTCCCACAGTAAAGCGAATCAATAATTGCAGAACGACAAGTTAGTTGGTTATAAATAAATACTAACCTGTTTCCTCAGTTAGTTCCACTGTCTGTGAAGCGGATTCTTGGTAGGATATTGTGGTCACACTCACTTTGTAGACAACCCCGGGGGTCAAACCAGTCCTGTTCAGAACCGAATCGCTCCTGAAATCACTACAAAGTTACTCTCCTGCAATAGCGAACATCGTAACATAAAACTTCTTTTCAAAAAAGTACGAAATAATGCAGACAGTTTATATAAATAAAAATGTATTATACTTAAGTACACCAAGCAGCAACTAATTTTTCGACCGCCGCGACTAATTTTTTGGCCATCGCGACCAAGATAAGGTATTTCCAGAATTTGTCCGCGACTTGAAACCCTGTCCAGACTATGGATATTTGGCCACGGAATCAACATTTCCGCGACCGACAAAGTCAAAAAATTAGTCAAGGACCTCGACCGGGGTTGTTTTGAAGGAACACCAAAAGAGCCACTTAGCCACGCCTATCGAGTGATGTCTTCAATTACCATGCCTCTCATTATGAGGGAGGATAGATGACATAGATTTTTCACAATCCCTAGAGACAAACACTGGCTCAAACCTTACCTAAATATTGAGTTCATTAGAACTTATTAATGTTGTTATAAACATCAATTCATCAGAAGAAATTCATCATTAAAAACATGAATTTAAAAACATGGTCATTAAAAACATGATCCGCAAAACTGACGTGCAAAACAGAATCAAATTAAGAGGAAAATACCCAACGATGTTGACCGTTTGTTGAGACGACCTTTTTGGCGTGATGAATTCCCATACCATGCTTCTTTCAAAACAAGTGCTAATTTTACTGTCCAAGAACTTTGTTCAGTGTGATTTACTCGAATCCAAACAATCAAAAAACCCAAACTGAATTCTAAATCTAAAAAATTGTCATAGAACTCTCTGTTGTTTCTGCATCTAGAGTTTTTCATAATTTCGTCTGATCGATTGGAGTGAAAAATTCCGACGGTCAGCCCCCTAAATTTGCGCCCTGTCATCGTGATTGAGTTGATTCGCTGGTTTGACTTTTTTTGGTCGTCAGTCCCTCGGATTTTGGAGGGCCGACATTCTTTCTTGGTCTCTAAAACTTTTCGATTGAGATTTGATCCGTCGCTGTAACTCTAGTTGGTGTATTCTATCGCCCAAATTTGGTGGCTGTTCGATGAGAGATAGAGAGTTGGAATCTAAACAGCTTTCAGAACTGATAGAAAAGGATTACGGAACAATACTTTCTCCCAATGTTCACGATCCAAAGTTGCAGGCATGTCCAACGTATAATTAAGGTAACTTTTCTCAAATGTCTGCCTTCGTGCTTGTCTTCTCGTCAGTTTTGATGCTCGCCCGATCGAGGGCTTACTGATAGAAAGTCCAGGGTGGTCAGTGCCCTGTTTTTTGATTGGGTATGCCCATGTCATACTGCTACTGCAATAGCAGTAATTGCATGATGTAATACTAACCTTCAGTGGTATCAATTATTATGGTTATGATGTGTCCAAGGTCATGCGTGCAGTGACATTGGTACACAGCTAAAAACCCAGAGCTTGAATCTGCAATATCACTCTCAGTGACTAACTTTAGAAAACATAAAACAATTAATTCAAGCAACAAAGAATACATTCTTGAATTATTACTAGTTTTACGACCCGATACCGTATAGGATATCACATGACGCAGCCAGCAGGATTCGCAGCTCAGGATAACCGTACGGATATGGAAATACCCGTATTTTGGGCGTCAGCGAACATAGATCCTCCATGGCAATTTAGAATCTGGTTCGAGCAATTTCTAATGGCAGTAACTGTAAAAGAGAACGTAAACCCAGAAGTTAAGTTGGAGGAACCAAAAGACATACTAGAAAACCACCTCCACGACCAGAAACACCACGAGATGGAGAGAATGAAGATGCGGCGAGAGCCAGAAATCTTAGAGATAAGTTGGCAAGAGATAGAGTAATGCTGGAAAATGAGGAGAGAAGAAGACGGAGCCCAAAGGTTAACCACAACGTTTTTTACAGTGAAGTACAAAACAAACTGGTATCCAGATTATCTTCTCTCTCGAAACAGAAGGGAAAAAAACGATTTTTACAGAAAAATCCACACACCGAAATCTCATAAAATGTCATTCAGGGACATTACAGAGCTAGCAGCGGTCTCGTTTCAAAAGGTAGAGGGCTTGACCTATGAAAGATTAAATTGTTCACACGATTGCAAGAATCCGGGGAAACACTGGAGGCATTCCATGCAGCGTTAACTGCTCAAGCAGCTAGATCAGAACTGGGAACACTGGAAAGTGAGATAGTTCGTGTCCTATTCATTTCGAAAATAAAAAAATATGACGTTTCAGGATACCCCGACATTTGAAACGCTAGACCCAGAGGAAGTGTTGAAGCGGGCTATAAAATTCGAACACAGCAAATTGACTACAATGGCATTTCAGAAGACAAACGCAGCAGCAGCAGGAGGAAAGAGTAACAACTACAACTCTGGGGTGAGGATATAACAAGAACCAGTGATGGCCGTCAGGAATACAACAGGAAACACAAAAAATCAACAACATAAGAGGGAAACGAATAAACGACAAAATAACAACAGAAACTCTAATGCGAAAACAAAACTGTAACAGATGTGGAAGAGCATTCGACCAGGGACATCTAAAAAGCTGTTCAGCACTGGGCAAAACTTATAAAAATTATGGAAAACCCAATCAATTTGCAAAAACATGTAGATCTCAGCAAGTGAGTGAAGTCGCGGAAGAAGCCGAAGGATCAGAAGAGGAATGTGATCTGACAAGAGAAAGCTTCGGCTCATGAAGTGACTTTGAAGTAATGTCAATACAAACACATCAGCCGGAGAACGAAAGAATCTCGAAATAAGTGGGAGATAGAATCAAAGAAAACAATAAGAAGTTAAATGGGGAGAAGATTCAAGTCCGAAAAATTGATTTACTCCGAGATCCAACGTCGAATAGAGTAAAATCACTAAAAACCATGGTGAGAATAGACAATCCAATCATACAACTGACGGTAGATACCGGAAGTCCAGTCTTTTTCATAAGCTGGGCGACGACAAAAGAAATAATTGATAAATCGAACAAGGCAAGATTCATTCCGTCAGACAAACTGAACTTGGCTACTCTATTCGTCGACTACAATAAACAACCAATCTGTGTATTGGGGGCATTGAAGACAAATCTTCGTTCGGCAGGCTGGGAGGTGAAAGGAGCTACTTTTCTGGTGACAGAACGTAAAACCAGATGCATAATGAAGAACTACCCGATGAAGAATTACGACGGGCCGTGGAAATTGCCGATTTTGTGAACCCGGTAGATCGGTTTCGACAAAGCCACACGGTTATAACCTCAAAGGACACAGAAACTGGAGGTGGACTGAACCTGGCCATCAAAAGAGCGAAGCCAAATACAGCGGGCCCTAGTTCGATATCTGGACCTAAAACTCAGGAAGAGGTTGTACTAAAGAAGTGTGAGAAAAAGATGAAGGGAAAAAAATCAGACGACAAACCGGAAAAACTGCCAAACAAACTGCAAACTACTATCGCAGTAGACCAGAGCAACGAACAATCAAGATCCACTATGGTTACCTCGAACAAAGACGTTCATGCGAGCTCCACTCCGAAAACCAAACAGAAGGCCAAACTAAAGACGATAGACTCACAAACACGTCCGGAGGACATCCTGGACACGTTTCAAAACCGTAACCTGGCACCTGCGGAGTGGGAGAATCTGGCAGACCAACTTCTAAAAAGGGGGGTCTAAAAGGTTGCGGACGATCTCAGAGGAAATGTTCAGCCAGCATCCGAACGAAATGCAATACTCGAGCCCCTTCAGGGGTTTTCTGACGACTCTAGAGCTGAAGAATCGGGAGTACGACAAAGCTCTAGATAAAGTAAGAGTAAAGCGCCGAAGCGATTTGGAGACCCAGTCAAACATTCCATCAAGGAAGTATCGGAGGAGTTGTCAGGGGGAGCACTTCCTAAGGCTGCACTCCAGGAATATCGGAAAAGAGTAACAGACTTCCAAGAACGAATTGACAGGCCCGTAGAGTCCAAATTACGACTATTACAGAGACACTTATTCCGGAGGAAATTAGGCTATGCAACGCTGGTGAAAGGAACAAATTACAATCCTTGCTGGAGAATCGACTCGAAGAAAACTAAGAACTTGAGAATCTAAATTACAAATCTTCCAAATTCAGAAACTCCTTGTGAACCGAGTGTATAAAACTCTTCATAGCATAGGTTATTTCATATATGGAAAAATTTGTTTTCTCTTGAGGGGGGTATGTCATACTGCTACTGCAATAGCAGTAATTGCATGATGTAATACTAGCCTTCAGTGGTATCATTTATTATTATTATGTTGTGTCCAAGGTCATGTGTGCAGTGACATTGGTACACAGCTAAGAACTCAGAGTTTGAATCTGCAGTATCACTCTCAGTGACTAACTTTAGAAAACAAGAAACAAGTAATTCAAGCAAAAAAGAATACATTCTTGAATTATTACTAGTTTTACGACCCGATACCGTATAGGATATCACAGCCTGTACCAGTGGTTTTGCAAATTTAAATTGATCAATCCAGTTGCTCCATGGTCAAAAAGCAGGGATCTACCGCAAATTGGAATCAGATGACTGAGGCCTGAAAACTTTTGAGATACCATGGGTAGGCTAAGGGTGACTATCTAGGGTTTCAAGAATAAAAACAAGAAAAGGTTGATTTACAACTGTATATTTTGTATTCATCCTGAAAGACTAAAATGCAAACTCACAAACTAATCTTGCTATTTTCATTCAATTTTGTTTTTTGGAATAGTATAGAATTATATAACAAACATTTTTTTATAAACAAATTTTGAGTAAGAATAATTTTTCTGACAGCGGCAGCGGCAAAAATATAATATTTTATTTTTTTTTTCGATTAAGTTCTGATTCAAAACGCAATGACTCTTCTCTGGGGGCTAAATCGATCTTAAATTTTCTTTAGTTTCAAAGTTTACAGTATTTTAAATGCAGTTGATTAAGTCATTCTAAATTATTATACTGAAATATGACATATGATCATGATGACAGAATCTCCCAGTAAAGAAAACAAGACTGCTCGTATCAGGGCGAAGCCCTGAATGTTCTGACTGCCTTTAAGGTTTATGGAGCAGCAGTAATAACATTTGAAAAAAATTAAAAGAAATAAAATTAAAGAAAAATTTTTTTTTCTAAAACTTGAAATTTTTTCTGAAAATCATCCCCCCACACGCCATATAAAGTACAGAAAGAGAGACTTCGTTCCTTGTATTAAATCAATTATGGCAGATAGGCTTCTTTTAACCAATTTGGAACAATTTCTAAGATGGATTAACTCTCCGCTTACGCGTTAATAACGCGAAATATATCGCGCGTTAATTGTCCCAAATTAGCCCAAATGTTAATCTTTTAACCCTCATAACTTTACGAAAAATGATCACAGGTGAAATTTCAAATTTGAGCTCAGGACAACACTACCTTTCGAATGATATAAAAAAATTCCGTCAAAAATGGCTAGTTAAAAAGTCGAAATTTGTCTGAAGAAAAAAAAACCCACCCCGAGCACAAATATTCCGTTTCTTTCGTATCGAAAGTCGGAACAAAAATGTATTTGTTATAGATAAATTTATCTAAAAATTTTTGAAACATGACACACGATGACAGAAACTCCCTGTAAAGAAAAAATAAATTTGAAATCTTAAATATATAGTCTTCTTAACTATACATGGCACCATTTCGCAAGCAAGCAATTTCATTTGAGCAATAAGCGTAACTACAATATTGTTCTAGCAGTTAAATAAAGAAATTTATTTGTTGATAATTTGTTCTTGGAGCTGTAAATATATAGTCTTCATAACGATAATTTATTCTTGGAGCTGTAACGCTCGGACTATTCTCCTTCAGTCGGAAAAAAATTCAGAAGAACTTGAGGAAAAAAAATTGTTCGTAATGGAAAACTGCTAAACCTGCAAGGGACATGTCACAGGCTAAAAGTTTGACAGCTTTTACAAACTATACCTGCAAAGCATAAGCACAGAATCAACAGCACGAAGGCGACAGAAAATAGACGCCAGAATCAAAGTTCAAATGAGCTGCAAGCTGCAACCTACCGTTCAGTTCTGAAAGACATGCATATTACACTAAATTAAATTCATTCTAAAATGTAAGATAGCAAAATTTTTGTTACCGATTTACAAGCAGAATCATTTTCGGAGACCATACTCTTAAATAGTTCTTAAACAATTTTGAAAAGGTTTGAAGAGACAGCCTGAATTAAATTCAACGAGCAATCTGGTAATTTTTAACAATTTTCCAAATTTCAAAGTTGCTTCTAAATCTTCAGGTGACCTTGAGGTAATAAAGTCTGAAAAAGTTTTGTGAAAGAAACCTGCTGTTTTTGATTAATTCCGTCTGTAATTTAGTTTCCAATGAAATGTTTAAAACAGGCAAACTTCGAAGGCAGGCAAACGGCAATTGCCAGTCATTACTACGCTCTGAGCAAGATTCGCCACTTCTAGAAACGCCCTATTATGAAACAAAGAGAGGAAAAAATATTTCCGCTTTATCTGCACAAAAATGTCTTCTTAATGTTTTGCAACTGTCTATGAATTCATATATATTCTTACGTCTCATCTGTTAAGAGCGAATCTCCCTGAGTGAATTGCACCCGGAAGAAGTTATACTGTCCCTGAGAGGGGGGATCCCACGTGAATGTCAGACTGTCAGTGCCACGCTCAATCAGCCTCAAATTAGTCACCGGGTCAGGATCTGCAAAAACAATTTATCTTCTAAGAGATTAAAAACAAGTCATTTTTGCTACGCGACAGCGCGTTTCTCCTTTTAAAAAAAACAGGAGACACATTGTTTTCAAGCTAGAAGCACTGATTCAGGCTTTAAATGATACTACACTTTCCAAAAAAATAATTTGAGACGCTTTTCGAATACCAGCGTATAATTTCTTGTGCAGTTGAAATGGAACTTTTATTCATCCGTAGTTCTTCTGACCAGTTCTTTCAGGTGGCTTGTGATCGAGATTTATCTACCCTGTCTAAGCATAGTCCGTTTTTTTTTATTTCTGCACACTCCAGTTTCAGTTTTTTGTTGAGCGAAGCTCTTTTTTGCGTCTCAAGGCCGTTTTTTTGCGTCTAGAGCTTTCAAGGTACCACTATTGCGGCCGTATTCAATCAGGTACCACTATTGCAGCCGTAATCGGTCAGGCTGTGGTAGACCTGAAGCTAGAGGTCAAATGAGAGCTCGTCCTCACACACTATCAATGTCACGGCAGGGGATCGATTACACGCTCTCACGATCTCAAAGTGAACGCCCTACGACTTTGCTAAGTTCCACTTCTACTATATTACTATCTTTCAAAATGTAACTTTCTGTAACTCTTAGATGAAAAAGTGCGAAATTGGACAAATCTAGCGTAGATAACGTTTTCAAAACTTTTTTGGGTTCTTTCGCCTGACGACAGACTGCATAGTGGTCTTTGACAAATCTTCTGCCACAATTCTCAGAGCTGTTTCTGCTACCTATAGCTAACGCTGGCTCCCTCTTTTACATAATTCGAGAGAATTGCTTTCAATTGTATAGCCTCATTGAAACGTTTAAGGTTATTTGTCAACTTCAGATGATAGCCAATCTCTTTTTTGTCGATCAGGGCTACATTCAGTGCAGGTAGTGTTCTTGTTAATGATTGTTGTTGAACTTCGCAGCTCTTTATTTCTTTATTTTATTTATTTGACTATTCTTAATTCATCCTTCTCTTACTGATCGATATTCCGTTTAATTTCGCCATTTCGGCCTGCGACCCGTAAAATATTTCGAGGTTCTCTCCATATCTCTCTCTCTCTCTCTCTCTCTCTCTCTGTCTCTTGTTGTTTAACATTTTGTGACGCTCAAATGTCACATTTGGTTGTCTGATGAACGCTTGGTAGTTTTTGGCTTTCATAATTTTTTTTGCTAAAGAATTTTTTTTTCCTAATTTTCTGAGCCAAAAAGATTTTGCGCGAATCATCTTGTTCCTTTCTTCTTTAGGCATGCCGTTGACTGGTTGACTATCTTCATTTTGGATTTTACTCTCGCGTTTTTTCTGCCGTCCAACTATTGCTAATTATCTGTCCTTTCTAGTGTGCTCTCATTTTCAGGTTCGTTCTCAATTTTAAAGTGTGTGGTTTGATCTGATCCGATGAGCTTTAAAAGTGTTATATGTCCACGTTTTCTTTACCAATGACTGCTAATTGAACCATATGACGCTAGTGGAGTGCGGTTTGTATTTAGACAACCGCGTATTCATACTCGTCAGTAAGCAGACAATTACCATATTAATCAATCAGAATCGAGATGAGAAAGCAAATTTACGAAAAAAATAATTATTAATTATTCATTTTTTCCTTGTCTCGAATCTGATTGGTTTATACAGTATTTGTCTCAATACTGACAAGTCTGAACACGCGGTTCTCTAAATACGGGGAGGGTTCTTATGCTTGAAGGACCGAATGCTTGAAAAGTTCAACCAATCAAAATCGCTAAGCGTTCCTATTGGCTTAATGCCTTTCTCAAAAAATCGAAGTCGATTTTCTTGCTATGAGATTTTTGTGATTTACTTTGAGATTTTGAATACTCAAATCTGATTGGCTGAAAGCAAGCTAAAATTAATTTCAAGCATTCGGTCCTTCAAGCATGAGGGACGCCACCTCTAAATTCTGTTACGTAACCGACGCTAGTATCTCTATGGAATGGGAGGATTAAATGTAGGGGTGGAATCCCTCATGCGCGAAGGACCGAATGCGCGAAAATACAAATCAGCCAATCACATTTCAGTAATCTAAAATTTGGAAAAAAAGTAAACGTTTCCAGGGACTGAAGTATTGATATTGACCGAATAGAAAAACGGCAGAAATATGCAAAATTTTCAATTTGTCATTGAACGTTGCAAAACTGGGACGAATTTTACATTTCAAAGGTTTTGTAACGAAAGAAGCAAATTATTGCTTCATTTATTTCATTTTAACTGAATGGCAATTGTTTCTTTTTAAAAATTGAGTTTCGGCTAATTTTGTTTTCGGTCTTTGGCCCACAAGTTTTTTCGCCCATTCGGTCCTTCGCGCATGAGAATAACCCCCAATTTAGGTACCCTGAGTTGAAGACGGAGCAAAAAGCAGAATGGTCTAAGAGCAGAATTGTCCAAGAGCAGATAAACAGAAAAATATTAAATTTTTTTAATTTATAAGGGCTAAATGATAAAACAATTGGGATCAAGTTAAAATCCTCCACCCCAGCGCTTGAATTAAATTAAATTTGCTAATCGCTGCATGTAAAATGCTCAATTCTGATTTGCTGAAAATTCCCAACTTAGAACCAAATTAACATCCTCTCCCTAAACGTGTTTAGGGGGGAGGATGTTAACTTGGTCGAACAATTGTTATGATAGTCAGTAATACCAAAAAAATAAACAAAATATGCATGAATTGAATAATTTTATCAGCGTATTTTAAAATGAAATTTAGAAAAACTCTTGATTTAGTTATTCAAATTATGCATAAACTATTGCTTCTTCGGTAGTATTGACAATTTTTATACTTAATTTACCATTTAGATTATAAAATTTGATACTTTTCTGCTGTTGGACCCATTCTGCTTTTAGACCATTCTGTTTAATGACTGGCCATCTCTGAGTTGAGTGCCTGATTCGGTGGAATCCCTCATGCGCGAAGAACCGAATGCGCGAAAATAAAAATCAGCCAATCACATTTCAGTAATCTACAATTTGGAAAGAAAGTAAACGTTTCCAGTGACTGAGGCATTGATATTGGCCGAATAAAAAAACGGAAGAAATATGCAAAATTTTCAAATTGTCACTGAACGCCGCAAAATTGGGACAAATTTTACATTTCAAGGGTTTCGTAATGAAAGAAGCAAAATATTGCTTCATTTAGTTCATTTTAACTGAATGGCAATTGTTTCTTTTTAAAAATTGACATTCGGCTAATTTTGCCTTCGGTCCTTGGCTCATAATTTTTTCGCCCATTCGGTCCTTCGCGCATGAGAATAGCCCCCCCCCCTCCCCCACCTGATTCCTTGTTAGCTGATTGCGTCATAATCAAATGGTCTATTGAACTATTTATAGCAAGGTAGTAATCTAATAAGGCTTAGAAAGTCAGAAAATATATAAATTTTAAGGCGCATGTTAGTTGTAATTAATCGGTTAAAAGTGAAAGTAACCACTTCAATGCATTGGTTCGGTTCAGACACCAAAGTCAGACAAGACTTGTTCACAATATAATTTAAGTTAACTCATCACAACAATCCATTTGCGACTTTTGGCATAGGAGAATGGGACACGGGTTACTGTCGTAATTCCACTCAATTTCATTTGGTTGTTGTTATAAATTTTATAACTGTAACTTGCCTGTAATCATCTCGAGTGGCACTCCAACCCCTGGGAGGACATTGAACCCTTGCACTACAAACAGGTACCAAGTGCCAGGCTCAGCCACGCCCAGATCCATATTCTGGAACTGGTTATTCTCACTGTTGATGATCACATTTGAGAGTTCAAAAACAGCAACAAGAACTTCTTCATTGTCGAAGTTTTTAAATTCATCTATGTTGCGACGAGATCTTCTCCGATCTATACAAATACAATTGACGAAGGTTAAGCAAAGAATTAAAAATTTAAAAAGTAACAGCAGAAATCATCAGATTCGTCAGTTTATAGTCGATTCGGAGATTACATAAAATTTAGAATGCGTTTTCGCTAAAGCTCGCGAATAAAAACTATTTTATTTCTATTAAGCAATTTACCCAGGTTGACAAAAAAATGTTTATCATACAGATCCATAATGGAAAAGAATCCTTATCAAACAATACCATACAATTTCATGGAACAAAAGCTCATAATATAAAATAGGCACTAATAAAAACCGATTTAAGTTGATCTAAACTTACCTAATAATTTTTTTCAAAGGATATCTAAAAAAAAAACAGAGAAAAAATGCATATGGTACAATTTTCATAAATGGAAATTGGATGATCAGCATTTTTTCCATAGAAACCATGCATGGAATTGTATAACAGACATTCTTTCTATGGAGGTCAACTCAGATAGCTTTAATGAAGTTCTTGAAATATGCAGTGAGCTCACCCGATTCATGTACGTATTGAATTGCTCGTTGCACTTTCACTTCTATCGATTGGCAGGTTGTGTCATTTAGCATAATCCCGTTTAGGATGAAGTTTCCATTTTCAACACTGACAGATAGCTCGTTATTCTCCACGGAAAAACCGTTGGGTTCTGAAATTGCAATATTTTTTTGAAAAAGTTCTTCAGTCATGATACACTCTCGGGACATAAAATTTGTAACCATTTGAGTTCAACAAGCAAATAAACGAACTTTTTCTTCGCTCTTTGGTCATTTCCTCTGCAAACATTCAAGATATAGGGTTGAGATTTTTACAGATGCTAGATGGTACTATTTGAAGAGAATTAGCTGAGCCAAACAAAGTTGTTTCGAAAAAGCCAGTATATCATAACTAGCTTCAGAGGTGTTCTTGCTGCGAAAGCAGCTTTGTAAAAGAATTCGAATTAATGGGTTCACAATGGTTATTTGAAATGGTGATGAAATTAACATACTCTTCATGTTGCGAAAAAACAATGGACAAAAGTATTGCAAGCATTACTAGATCCGGCGTCGGACAATAGTCATATTTATTTTGACGACACAGATATCAAAAGTTTTTGGCAGCTTATACCAGAAAGTTGGACAAAATATAGGAACAATACAACTGATATTGATAATATTGAGCAGGAATCGGAGCAGTACATTTTCCAAAAAATTTTGCTTGGAACAGTGTTTTTGTTGGCTCATTTCGATCATCAGTGCGAAATTATTCATTTTTATTTAGCTTTCTTATGCCAGACCAAGTCACTCTTTCAGTTTTTTATCTGTCTTTTGTCTGCGGTACAAAACGTAAATCAAGCTCATCAGCTTCTCAATTAATTTTTATGAACAGAAAAAAAAACAAATTCTTTTTATTTTATGCAACAACTTTCACTGCTAGAACACCTCTGAAACCAGTTATGATAAAGTGACTGTTTCGAGCTTTCGAAACATTATTTCTCCTGTTTCGGCCCGACTAATTCCTTTTAACCAGTTTGATCAATCATCTGTGGAAATCTGAACCATATTTTTTTTTAAAAATGAAGAGAAAATCACAAAAAACTGAAAAAATTATCTACTCGTTGAAATCAAAATCTTACAACTTCTAAGTCTTGTGACTGTAGTTTCATAATCAACTTTGGTCTCATAGTAACATACAAAAAACAATTTTTATTTTCAATTTTGTCATTGTTTTAACATCCATTTGCACTGTAGTGTCGATTCCCATTTGACTCGACAAGAACAATCAAGCCAAATACTGTTTTTGATTTTTCGCAAGCAAATTTATTTGCAAGCCGTCCCAAATCATAATCAAAGAAATATTAAAACTCATAACCATCAGTATAATAATCCATGTAACCATTAAAAAAGCATCACAAAAAAATAACCAGAACGGCAAGAAAGTAATAACTAGACTGTTCATATTTCAGGGCAAAACTTCTTTTCGACTTCACTTTAAGGTTAACTTCAGAAAACGTTGGTTGAAAATTTGTTGAAAAATTGAAAAGCAAGAAAAATGTTTCCCATTTTCTTCAACCACACGCTATCGAAAGTACCACAAGATGTGTCTAGAGTCTCGAATTCTAACGTTAAGACAAAATTATTCTTTCATTCAGTTTTGGAACGGTTGAATGGAATATAACGGTTTTAATAACGCAATATATCACGTTTTACTTTGAGAAAAATTTGCCGTTATAGCAATTTTCAAACCCCCCAAACTTGATTTAAAAAATCAAAAGTAAAACTTTACATTCTTCTATATTTGAGTTCCGGTCAACAGTGTCTTTTAGATGTTACAAACGTTTTCGTCAAAAAACTCCAAAGATGATTGAATAGACAACCACCCCAAGTTGAAATGTTTTGTCGTTTCCTGGAGAAAACGAACAATAGGAGACTTTGCCAGCAGACAGTAGCAAAAATGTCAAGGATCGCAAGAAAATATAGACTTCTTTTTCAAAATAATTGCAATTTCTATGTCCTGTGACTGTAGTCATGTAACAATTTTGGTCTACTAGTAACCTACAGAAAACAATTTCTACTTTTCATATTTTTAACATCTATCTGTACTGCAGTATGGATTCCTTTTTGACTCGAAAAGAACAAGCAAGCAGAATATCGCTTTCGAGTGTTTGCGAGCATGTAAATTTTTTATCATTAATATATGCAGGCCAGCCCAAAACATAATCATAAAAAATTAAATTTCATTAAAATCTTAAAAAGAATTTTATACTTTCTTAGAAAATCGTTACAAACATCATTAGAACCAGAACGACAAGAAAGTTATTACAAGACTGTTCGTGTTTCAGGAGGAAGAACTGAATGTTCTGACTGCACTTTAACTTTATTTTCATTCAGTCAAACGCTATCGAAATTACCGCGAGAAGTGTTAAGCGTCTCGAATCCTAATGTTGAGGCTAAAATTAATTACTCTTCCATTTTCATTCGGAACGGTTGATTCAGCCGCTCCCGTGCATCACAATAACGCATTATGTTACTCTTATTTTTGAAAAAAATTTTCCGATGTAGCAATTTTCAAAAACAAAATCAAAGAAAAATTTTACCTTTTTCAACATTTGATATCTGGTCAACGATATCTTTCGGATGTTACAAAAAGTATTCGTCAAACAAATCGAAAGATGACTTATTTAAAAACCAACCCAAGTTGAAATATTTTGTATTTTCTGAGAGAAACAGAACATTAAAAAACTTTGCCACCAGAGAGAAGCAAAAAAGCCAATGATCGCAAAAAAATCTACAAACTTGTATTTCAAACATTTTTACTAGTTTTGTATTGTGTCCCGGAACCTAACGGGGATCCTATATAAAGCAAAGTCCTAGGAAAGGGGTCCTTAATTTTTTGGAGGACCATCATCCTAGGATTTTGAAAACGAAAGAAATTTTCGAACCAAAAAGCCAAAGGCCCCCTACTTAATTATATGAATCATTTTAGTTGTTATAATTGTTTCGGGCAAAACATTTCTAAATTCCGCGGTCGTTTCTGGGCAATTATAGCAGTTTCGGGAAAACTTGGGGGAAAATCTGGAGCAAACAATAGTTCTAATAAATTGAAAAACTTGAACATGAAACTAAAAACCGTTAAATCTAAGTAAACATCTAAGTTTAAACACAAAAATTTTTCGATTGATAGTCCATCAGTTTTTTCGAGATTTTTTGTGTATCTTATAACAGTATGAATTTATTAATTTTTGTTCGAGCGATTACTGTAATTTAACATGCCGTTGTCTTTGTTGATTATTTTATACTTATGATAATTTCGTTTTGTGGCAGCATGTATGTTTAACCAAGTTATTATTTTGAGTTTACATGTTTGTGAAAAAAAAACTCGTTTTTGGTCTCTAAAAGTTAATGGTTCCTTTTCCCATTTCTGATCGGACTTTTGGAGGTGAAAAAAAGTTTTTTGATATTCAAATTTTTAGTTTTTTAAACTCAAGAGCGGATCATGTTTGATTATTGGCTTTGCGAATAAGATATTGTCTATTTCTACAAACAGGTTTGTTATTTTAAAAAAGCATATTTTTTCCGACTTGACCAAGCATGGGTCAGATCTGCGCACCCAGGCCATAGTGCAAGAAAAACTGTCCTAAAGCTAGGCAGTTCTGAGTTCAAAGTATTCCTTATATACCGGCTGCCCGCACTGGAGTTCCATGGATAATAATCGATTATATTGTCATTTTATAGTCAGTATCTATAAAGTTACAAAAATAATCGATTAGAATCCATCAAAAATGGATTATAATCCATTATTTTTTATATCGATTTAATCCATTGTAACCGATTATAACTGATTATAATCCAATAAAAATGGATTATATTTCTTATATTTTTTAAACAAAATAATCCCTTATGATCGATTATAATCAATTATATTAGACTTTTTCGAGAAGTTGAAAAAGTCTAATATTTTCAACTTTAAAATAAAATTTCTCGGCTCTTTTCCAGTCCCCCCCTTTAAAATTCAATTTTGAAAAGTCTATTTAACGTTGTCACAATGCAATAAAATTTGGCGTGGTGAACGAATCGACAATTCTGAACAGATTTGTTCTTCATACTTTACAGCGTAACATCACGCATTTAGCCGTAAAAACACGTAAAACAAACATAAACCTCGGTGTTTTAAAGGGGGGGGGGAACTTGAAAAGAGCCCATTTCTCTTTTCAATTGTTGTAATTTTTGTCTTATATACCCCATTTACCCCCTCCCTGTTTACTCTCTCCCACTCCATGTTCCTCCCTGTTTACATCCCCCCGTTTACCCCGCCCCACCTCCCTGTCAGTTTACCACAACCGCCATTCGCCCCCTATATGGGGGTTATATATTGGTAGACGTTGGGGAGGGGGGTTTATGATTTACATCCCCCAGTTTACCCCATCCCCCCGAACCCCCCCCCCCCCTCCACAGTTTACCCACCCCCTCAGTTTTCAATTTATCCCCCCCCCCCTCATCATCTTAGTTTACTCCCCCCCCCCCCCCCCCCCCCCCCCCACCACGTTTACTGGGGGAGGGGGGTTGGGCAAATGCGGCGGACGGATGGGAGGGCAAAGTGGAGGGGGGGGGGGTTAAACTAAGATGAGGGGGGGCTAAATTGAGGAGGCGTTAACTGTGGGGAGGGGGGGGGGTAAACTGTGGGTGGGGGTAAACTGGGGGGATGTAAATCATTAACCCCCCTCCCCAAAGTCTACCAATAAATGACAATAGATGGGGACAAAGTTGGGGGAGGGGGGGAGGGGTTAATTCGAGTAGGCTTAGATTGCGAGCAGGCCGTGAGTAACGCAGAAATGTTGCATGTTTTGCAAATGATTTAGCAAAAAAATGTATAGATTATAATCCGCTATAATCAATTATATTGGTTTTAAATGGATTATAATCCTTTTTAATGGATTTTAAATGGATTATAATCCATTATAATGGATTTTAAAGGATTGTGTTTTTACGAAAACAATCAATTAAAATGACAATATAATCAATTTCGTGGTCTAAATTTGCCACAATATTGGATTATAATGACAACATTTTAGACAACAGTTTCGATTATTATCCATGGAACTCCGGTGCGGGTGTGCTCTCTAAGGATAGTCGGTTTTGAACTAGATGCTGCTTATGAAAACGGCTATCCAGGCAAAAAAAAACATTAAACGCTTTTTCTTCAGTTTCACATTTTCATTATCAATGATTTTTGTCAATTTTTCGGTTTTAATTAACCCAATTATTGAAAAAATTTTCAAAAAGCTTAAGTGAGTTTTGAAGAAGTTTGTTTCCAAATAGAGCTTCTTTTCATCAATCCGTTCACTTTCATCCATGCATAGGTGGGGGCGGAGGATGTTGCATAGAGTAAATTAATATTGAACCCAAAATCATTCATTCATAAATTGTGCCCGTTTTGTCAATTGAGGCTTTCTTCTGTGTTTGTGAATTTGGATCTCTGAAATTATACCCCCTCCTCTTGCAAAAGGCGGGAGATGCGTTTATCAGATACAAAGTTCTCATATGCTTAACCGTTGAATTGTTTCTTTCTAGGGAAGGAGATTCGTTATTAGGTACCACAGGGATTGAAATAATTAAAGTGATCAGTGAATCCTAATGATTCTGTGAAGCTAAAAATACCTACCAGTGAAACCAATTGCGAATATCTCCACTGCGACCGGATTGGCTACAATTGTGACATTATATGCCAATCCTGCGTTCAGTCCCGTCAAATTCACGGCATTTTGAGTCGTCAACTCGGTTATGTTATCCAGGGAATCTGTGTCAACCAATCGGGCTGCAACTTCATTGAAAGCCCAGGGGACAGCATTGATAGTGTAACTGTCGGCGTCTGGGACAGGGTCCCATGCGAAGCGAAGACTTTCGTTGCTTCTGTCCAGAAGATAGATACCCTGTACAACGCCCGCGGCTAAAATCAGTTGATTTTTAAAATTTTTAAAGTAATTTTTCTCTATTTTTTGCACTTTCGGATTCAATTCTGATTCGATTGAAATTATGTTGAACATCATTTGGAGCTTCGGCTTTGCTTGTTGTAGCTTGATTTCTTTAAGTGGTAAGATGTTTCTACCCAAGATGCTGGCTCTCTGTCCTTTTGTTAGAAAAATATTCTACAAAATTTAATCTTAGTTAAGAATCAATCTAAAATTAAAACCATAACAACAACACACGGTACATGATGAAACAAAAAATAAGAACAGTCATGAAAGTTTCTCCCATGAGGTAGCGACCTTGAGTGCGAAACAAAGAAGGGAGAGCGAGGAAAGATTAACATCGATTTTGACTAATCGTCTGCAGAGCCTACACAAAGATAGTAAGACCAAATTTCATGCAAGAAAAAGCCACCAAAATTCTTTTTAGCTTAGACATCAATCCACGTGAATTTGAGCTTCAACAAAAAATTACCTGCAACACAACACACTTAATCTTTAATGTTCATAAATCTTTGAAATCAGAGTCAAGTTCATGAAAAAGTGACTATGCCTCCAGAAATTACCCAGCACCCACGCATTAAAAATCAACCGCGCAAGAGAATTTTTTAATCATAACTGAAACTTTTTTTTACCATGACCGGTATTTTTAAGTAGAAAAAAGTACATCGATCATCATATCGATTTTCTCTCAAGCTTAGATATGTTTACTAGACAGTTAAGGGGTCGGTCCTTTACAATCATTGATGTTGTCTAATTGCGCAATTTTCATTTTGTTATGGAAAAGCTCAACCTTTTTTGATTTTTCAAAACAAATTTCTAATGATCGCTATCACATTAACCATTACGAGGCAAAACTATGCCCAATTTTGTGTCTGTATGTTCCTGGATTCCAGATACAGTGCTGATTTAATTTATCCGGACAAAACGAACAAAATTTGAACTTTCAAACGCGTTTTTCTCAATTTGGGTTAAGTTGAGACAAAAAGTGAAGAAAACAATAATTGCTTAGAATTTCATCAGTGTTACTATGGTGCATTTTCCCCCCAAAACTCTCAACTAAAATTTTACCCCAAAAATGGGTCATTTTTTTTAATTAATCAAAAATAACGCTAAAACTATTTGGTTAATTGATGAAAAATATATATGATAAGACCCTCTTACACAGCCCAACAAAGTTCTAGAAGGGTTAAGTCTCCAAAAATTTCAGTAAATTAATTAAAATTTGTTTTGAGCACATATTTTGAGTTTTATATAGTAACAAACACATTTCTTGACTATCAAGCGAAAATATTTTCTCTTATACAGGTTTTTGGAGATTTAACCCTTCTAGAACTTTGTTGGGCTGTGTAATAGGCTTTTTGTTTTGTAAAATTTTTATCCATTAACTATGTAGTTTCAGCGTAATTTTTGATTATTTGAAAAACCGAAGTGACCCATTTTTAAGTTAAAAGTTTGGTTGAGAATTTCGGAGAAAAAATTATACCATAATAATTCTGATGAAATTCTAAGCAACTTTTGTTCTGTTCTGTTTTTGTCTTATCTTAAGCCAATTTGAGAAAAACGTGTATGAAAACTCAAGTTTTGTTCATTTTGTTCCGATAATTTAAATAAGCACTGTACAAGTCTTTAGCATGTTAAAATTTTGTCGAAACGGTCGAAGAAAACGAAAGAACAAAAGAAGAACGAAGGGATCTGAATCCACTTACAATTCACACGTTACACAGTTTGGCCTCGTAATGACACAAAGCGCTTCAATATAAATAGCGCTTTGTGTTTTAATCAAAGATTGACATTAAATAAATGATTCGAAAAGTCCAAAAAAAATTGAGCACGAGCGAAGTCAAAACGTTTTTCTTGAAAATTATGATTAATAGTGCATAAACACTTTCCAAAAAAAACAAAATTGGGCACAAAAAACAGTTGAAACTTCGGCAATAAAGGTATTTCAGGGACAAAATCGTATTTTTTAAAATGATTTCCGGTTAGGGTCTGGTTTCACGTCTTAGATATTTTCTGTTAAACGACCTGAACAAACAAACTTTTTAATTAAATCTTGTCTTAAAACAATTTCAGAATCTATTTGTTATAGTAAATAACAGAAATGGAGATTTAGGCATTGCGATATACTTTTTAAAACATCGAGAAAAAAAATAAAATTTGAGCCGTTTAGTAGAAGATTTTTTTTTTGGAATAAAAAAACCCATTAACTTAATTGAAAATCCACATGAATTTTTTTGCTACAAAAAAATGCCAATAAATAATCTCCACAGCGTAAACAAAGAGAATGAATAGTTGCCCAAGTAGCTACGATTGTTCTGGCGACTATGATTTCAAAAAAAAAACTCGAGCAAAACGAAACTTTTTATCAAAAAATTGACCAACTTTTTTTCTAACTTTTCCTGTAATTTTTTTGTAGTAAATGGCATCTAAAAAAAAACTAGAGGTGATAATTTCTAGCTTAATATTAACATTGTAATAACTAAGTGTGGTGTCAGACTCTCATTATCAGCTAGATCTAGATGTTTCAAACTACATTATTTGTCTATTTTGTTTTGAAAACGTAAAATTTTCCTAGCTGTTTGTTTTTATTAACAAAAAACGAAATTTGTTTTTTTTTCTTTATAATCTGAATAACGACTAGAAGGGCTTTAATTTGATGTCAGATTTGACCAGTTTTCCATTCCAATCTCCAAGGCTGTCGGCTGGTTGGAACAAAAAACGGTGATTTCAAACAATTTTGCAGGCTATATTGAATATTTTGTCCTGGACTAGATTTTTTTTGATAAGAAACCACAAAATATAACAAAACAACTACTGAAGCACTTTATGCTATTCAAATCAAAATACAAAGTTTGTTTTTGCTTTAGTTCTTAATTTTTTTATTAAGTATCACTATCCTTATTTACCAGTTCAATTTTATCGCAACTTTTTATTTTGCCTGATATATGCAAACTTTTTTTACAAGTTTCAAATAAATCATATCATTCAAAAACACAACTATAATATAAATAATACAAGACTGCTTGTATCAGGGCGAGACCCGGAATGTTCCGACTGCCTTTTAAAGAGCAGTGTTCGCTTTATACAATTTTTTTGAAATCATCCACCCACACGCCATACAAAGTACAAAGTGACAGAATTCGCTTCTAGAAACAAAGCAATTTATGGCAAATAACCTGATTCAACCATGTTGGAACAACTTCTATGACGGATTAAATCTCAGCTGAAATGTTAATAGCGAGAAATATATCGCGAGCTAATTGTCCCAAATTGGCAAAAATGGCAATCTTTAAACCACCATAACTTTTCTACTTTTCAGATGATAAAAAAAATGCCGTCAAAAATAGCTAGTTAAAAGTTAAGTTTTGTCTGAAGAAAAAAAACAACTCCGTGCACAAATATTCCGTCACTTTCATCAAAATTCCGAAAAATAGTATTGAGTCTTACCAGCCGACCAAACATTTTCAAGGTGATTTCAAGTTGAAACCGCAGTCGAAAATTTCTTTTAGAGAAATTAAGGAAAAATCAGAGTTTTCCCCAATTTTCCAGGCGGTACAGAAAAATTTAGTCGATCTATAAACTTTTGTATGTTTTTGTGGAAATCCCGCTCCACTTCTCCATCCTTCGAAAATCTTAGATCCACCCAATGGTTGCGTCAATACATTCAATCGAATATACTTTTTGTAGTTTACTATAAATTCTTACTTTCCATTGAAAACTCACCAAGAACATGGAAATAGTCTGTTAAAACCCACAGTTCCACAAAAGCAGATGAAAAAACAAACAGAGAAAAATTCTCATGCAACAAGAAATTCAAACTGTTTTTGTCATTAAACAATCCAAATCAGCGGGGATGCATTCAGAAATTCCCACTGAAACCTTCATTGGTTGAATCGTTTGATTGGATGATTGACAACAAAGAAGTGCCCGCATAACTTAACAAGTAAATAGGATGTGCTTTTTTCAGAACAAATTGATGCAATTTAGGTGTAATTTGAAGAACTCGGTTCTGAAACCTATAGCAAGCAAAAATGGATCAAGTAGCATATGGGGGATCTCCGTAACTATATCCCCCTTTGCAGAGCAACTTTTATTCTCCATTTAACCGAGAAAGAGTTCACATTGATGCAAAATTAAGTGTTGATGGTGAACTCGACCCGGAAAAAACTGTTAAGTCTCTACAATCAAATTTTCCTAATTTTTTTAGAGGGCTGCTCTGATCGTTTGCTCTTGGTCTATGAACAAATTTTGTTTAGATTCACAGCGAATGTTTCCCTAAACCATCCTTGTAAACCGGCATTTTAGCGAGTAAAAACTTGAATTCGTGCTTAATGTTGTCCACTAGTTTAGAATAAATTCGTCAAGTCGAAAACCATTTGAAAGTATGCATGCTAAGATTTCATATTTAAGTTCTACAAATTGCACCTCACTTTTTTGTGTGATTTGGAGAAACCGGAAGCAATATCAAAACAGATATCAAAACAGATATGAAAACCAAATGATTTCATAACATGTATTATATTTTTCACGTTTTCTTCCAGCTTTTTTAAATCACTACAATTGTTCCTTGCTGACAGAATACTTACACGTAAGATCTAAACGGAAGTCATAGTGTTTTAAATAAGACAAGACTGCTCGTATCAGGGCGAAGCCCTGAATGTTCCGACTGCCTTTTAAGGTTTATGGAGCAGCAGTGATAACATAAAAAAATTAAATGAAATAAAATAAATAAAATTTTTTTTTCTAAAATTTGAAATTTTTTATAAAAATCATCCCCCCCCCACACGCCATCTAAAGTACAAAAAGATAGATTTCGTTCCTTGTAACAAATCAATTATGGCAAATAAGCTGCTTCGTCCAACCAGTTTGAAACGATTTATAAGAAGGATTAAATCTACGCGTTAATAGCGCGAATCATATCGCGCGTTAATTGTCCCAAATTGGTCAAAATGGCAATTTTAAAACCCTCATAACTTTACGAAAAGTGATCACAGGTGAACTATCTTTTCAAATTTAAGCTCAGGAAAACAATACCTTTCGAATGATGGAAAAATATTCCGTCAAAAATTGCTAGTTAAAAAGTCGACGTTTGTCTGAAGAAAAAAAACCCACCCCGAGCACAAATTTTCCGTTACTTTCGTATCGAAAGTCGGAACAACAAGACTGCTCGTATCAGGGCAAAACCCTGAATGTTTCGACTGCCTTTTAAGGTCTATGAAGCAGTAATAACGTGAAAAAATAAAATATAATGAAATAAAATTTAAATTTTGTTTTTAATTGAGATTTTTTTGTGAACGTCATATTAGGAACAAAATGATAGATTTTGCTCCTATTCACAAATCAATTATGGCATAAAAACTTCCTTGAACCAATTTGGAACAACTTCTCAGACGGATTAAATTTCGCTTACGCGTTAATAGCGCGAAATATATCACGCGCTCATTGTCCCAAATTGGCCAAAATGGCAACCTTTAAACCACCATAACTTTTCTACTTTTCAGATGATATGAAAAATGCCGTCAAAAATAGCTAGTTAAAAGTTAAGTTTTGTCTGAAGAAAAAAAAACAACTCCGAGCACAAATATTCCGTCACTTTCATCAAAGTTCCGAAAAATAGTATTGAGTTTTACCAGCCGACCAAACCTTTTCAAGGTGATTTCAAGTTGAAACCGAAGTCGAAAATTTCTTTAACGGAAGTCGAAAATTTAAACCCCCATAACTTTACGAAAAACAATCACAGGTGAAATATATTTTCAAATTTAAGCTCAGGACAACAATAGCTTTTGGATGATTTTAAAAAGCTTCGTCAAAATGGCTAGTTAAAACAGTTGAAAGTTGTCTGAAGAAAAAAACCCACCCCGAGCACAAATATGCCGTTACTTTCAAATATCTTCTTTCTCCTGCAAATTTTTATATATTATGTTTTAAAATAACTTCTGTAAAAAAGGTATCTCGAAGAAATCAAAATACAAACAAGACTGCTTGTATCAGGGCGAAGCCCTGAATATTCCGACTGCCTTTTAAAATTTATGGAGCAATGAAAACATCAAAAAATTAAATTTAAAAAAAAAACGAAAATTTTTTCTAAAATTTGAATTTTTTGAAATAAAAATCATCCTTTCACATGTCATATATAGTACAAAAATATAGATTTCATTCCTTGTAATAAATCAATTATGGCAAATACGCTGCTTTCAACCAATTTGGAACGATTTCTAAGACGGATTAAATCTCCGCTTACGCGTTAATAGCGCGAAATATTTCGCGTGTTAATTGACACAAATTGGCCAAAGTGACCACCTTTAAACCCCCATAACCTTACAAAGAAAAATAGGTGAAATATCTTTTCAAATTATAGCTCAGGACAACATTAACTTTTGAATGATATAAAAGATTTCCGTCAAAAATGGCTAGTTGAAAAGTCGAAATTTGTCTGAAGAAAAAAAACCCACCCCGAGCACAAATATTCCGTAACTTTCGTATCGAAAGTCGGAACAATAAAGAATTATGATTGGCTGAAAGCTTTTTACACTTTCAGTTCTTTGCGTTTGAGGGGATCCCCAAATTCCGTTACATGATGCAAGAGCTTATCAGCAAAAACGAGCAAGTCAAGTTTTTGTGTAAAACTATTCAGGATGGCTCTGGAATGTACAGGCCCTGGAACGCACAAATATGCAGTGGAAAGGTCTTCCCCCACCATGGTTTGATTTAGAAAAAAAAACTATTTTTAATGTATATATTGTGTACTGACAAGTGAGGAACTCCATCGAGTAGAATTCGGGATCCCTTCGGCCGAAGGAGTTGATAAACAGCTGCACCACATAGAGAGTGTCCGTGGCCAAATCAGTCAGCACAAAGTCTGAAACAGCAGCAAAAATAACTGCTGCAGAATCAGCAGCATACAATAGCTACAATATCATATTAGTGTGCAGCTTGCCTCGACGGCATCAACCACTGTAAATTTTGGCACGAAAAAAATTTAAAGAGAAGAAAATATTTCCAAGCATTTTTTCGTTTCGATTATTCGGTTTTTTGATGACTTTGTTTTTAAGAGAAATCAAGAATTAAAGCGAGATTTAATTGGCAGCCAAAAAGATTACTAAAAGTTATCTCTAAAACTATTTTAGTTGTTTCCCGGACTCAGTAAAAAGAGAAAACAATCGATTATATTATAATTATGTTCATTATTTTAGCAAAATTATAATTAATTATAAGCGCCAAATTTAGATGTTGAAACGATTTATAATCCATTATGATGATAACATTTTTGGTGACATTTTAACAAATTATAATCAAATAAAATTGATTATAAATTTTTTGAAAATCTCCTATAGTTTATCATAATAGATTATAATCCCCTTTTTCTATCAAAATATTATCTCACAAAAAAGTCAAGTATAATGAATTATAATTTAGCATGAAAACACAATAAAACTCAAATTTAATTCAAGTTTAAGCTATAAGCAGGGGCGGATCGGGGTTTTTCTCGAGGGGGATTTTAAAAAAGGGCGAAGCTTTAAAAAGAGCCTGTTTCCTTCATTTTTTCTGGCCGCAGGCAAAACTTTGATAGTTATTTGAAAAAAAATAGGCCAAAAAAAGCGTTTTTAGGCACTTTTTGGAAAATTTTGAGACAAAAATTCCGTTTTTTTTGGCCGATTTTTTTTCAAAATTTTGCCTGCGGCGCAGAATATTGGACGAAGGCATTTTAAGAACGTTTTTAGACTCCGTCACCAAAATTGGATATCTCAAGATGGTTGAAATGGGGACCGTTTGGGTCGGCAGAGGCTCGAATCCTTGAGCGGGGGGCGTCCACCCCCTCCCTAAATTTGCTCCTGGCTATAAGTAGAAAATTACAGTTTCTTTTACTTCAGTATCCAACTGAAAAGCACACAAAACAAAACAAAAAGGAAACAAAATGCAGCGGTGACGTTTGTTGAATAACAACAGGTTATAATCCATTATAATGGATTATAATTCACTAACATTTGAAAAAAAAAATTCAAAAATAATCGATTATTATAGCTTATAATCGATTATAATTATTTTTACTGTTTCGGAAAAAAGTAACATCATAATCCATTTTTAATCGATTATAATCAATTCTTTTTGAAGTATTAATCAATTCTTTTTTTTTCTTTTTACTGCGTACGGATTTTTTTATAATGCCGTAAAAAACTCTCTCAAGAACTCTCGTAGCCAAAACTTAAGCCAAAAATAGAAAATCTCAGGCCACATTGTTTTAACAGCGAAAAAATTTAGGCGTAGAATTTCGAATACGTCCTCAAAAAATTTAGGCATAGAATTTCGATTACGTCCTCAAAAAAGACAATGACAAAATTTTTTACAAAATGACAAAGTTTTTCCTCAAAGCAAAAATTGAATAAAAAAATTGAATAAAATAACTCTTCCCATGCGCCCCGTAGTTTTGAAATTATTTTTCTAGCTCGGAAAACATTTATTCTATAAATCTTTATTTCCGTAATTGATGCGATGATTACGTAAATCGGTTTACTGATCTGATAATTTACTGACACATCGGTTTACTGTATAGACGGGGGCCTAGGAAATTAGACGATATGCAAATAAGACGGATGCCACAAAAACAAAAGTAGACGAAATTTTTATTTTTCAGATCTGGCATATTAGACGTCACTGCTATGAAAAGGAAAGACCCAACAAAATTTTTTCGTTTGAGTCAAGAACATAAAATGTCAATACCTATCAAAACAATTAGCTTAAATGAACATAAAATTTCATATCGAATATAACAGGAGAGTTTTGAATTGAATAAATTATGCATGATTGACATGTAAAATTTTTGGCCACCAAAGTTTAACTGTTTTCTGCAAACAATTTTATTTTTCTCACGCTTTTTGTCTATTTTCTCAAAATTGCAGTTTTACAAATTCGTCCAATTTCTTTTTAAGTGCCTCCGTCTAATTTGCTTATCGTCTAATTTCTCAACCCCCGTACGGACGCCATTAGTCACTTACTATTCTCATTTCTTGTGGATCCCATTTCTTGTCCATTGAGCAATATAGTGACTGTGTCCCAGTTGGCACTGGACAACTCCCAGAAGACGTTGAAGGAGCCAGGAGTGGCGTCTACGGGCGAGATGACTTGGGTGTTCGAATTGAAAGTGGGAAATGGGGGTACTAAAATATTTCAACAAATTGTTTGTGTTTTGACATGTTTGATATGAAATTTTTTTTTAGGGGTATGAAATTTTTGCTCAGGTTTTTCATTTAAGCAATATTTTGCTGAAGTACGAGAGTTGAATTTTAAATATGAGTGTTTTCATTACAATCATGGCAAAGTACTGATTGCCCTCCTATTTATGTACGCTGGGCGAAAAATTGAAAAAAGTATTTTTTTTGAGAAACTTAAAACATGAGTTCAAATCACGACAGTGCTTTGCCATTGATGTTGAAAGGGACAAAAACACCAACCACATCTGACGTTGCTCATGTCGCAGAATATCTTAGTGCCCTCCACTGTCTTGCAGGAAGCTTCGGTGTCACCCCCCAGTCGCCAACAGGAGTTGTACTCCTGTCCCCCCTCACTGAAGGGGAAATGACAGATGGCTGTCTTGTCCACGCTCAGACACAGACCAGCATTTTCTGGGGAAATAGGAATCAAAAACATTTGTTTGTCAGTTGAAAATGGTTTTCAAAATCTATTTTTCGATCACGATAAGTTGATAAAATAAATCCTAAACGGAAAAAAAATCTTTCAAAGCTAAAGTCCAATTCTCCAAATTGACAGGATTTTTGCTAGAATAAACCTATATAAATTTAGTTTTCAGATCAATGCCAAAATTATTTTGCGGAGCTTTCTAAAATACCAAAAACATCCCATTTTTGACGCTGCAAAACTTTTATTAAATTTAAGAACTTCTGAATCGACAGTGTTTTGGCTTACAAGTCGTCTGTAAATTAAAGTAACGAGCAGCGCAAATAAGACGCCACAGAAAATTTTAGGGTTTGGTCGGTTACAATTGGATAATAGTACCAAATGGTTTGTCCAATTTTCCTGACAAGGATGGGGGTCTAAAATCCTGAAGAGGTCAACCTGATTCTCTTTTGCTTCAGCTCACCGAATATCTGTGAGTTGTTGCTCACATCCAGATAAGAGATTGAGAGTTTGAAGTTGGTGTGTAAGTTGTAGTAGTAGCCAGATGTGAAGTCCACAGTGCCAGTTCTGTCTGTGAACACGAAGGGTATCGATGACTCATCCGCAGAGGTCAACATAGTCCAATTCTGCAAACACAGAAAGTGAAACGATTAAAAATAAAACGGATTTAAAGGTTAAAAATATAGCTGAATACAATTTTTTTATTCATAGCAAAAATAAAATTCCAAATTTTCTTTGAAGTCTTCGTAAATATTCAATCTAGAAGTCGTGCTAGGATTTGAAGAAAAAAAAACCTTTTTATTTCCGCGGAAACGGTCCAGATCTAACTTTTGAAAAAAAAATTCTTCTTAGAGTAAAAGAGAGCCTGAAAAAAAATCTAATATTCAAAAAATTTTGATAACCTTGAATCTTACAACTTCCGGAGCAGCCCAACAAATTGCGTACTTCTTGTCACCCAAATAAATTTTTTTGAAATATTTTTTTTCCAAAATTGTTAGAGCGTAGTAGTGAAAACCGGGTTAAAAAACACTATATTTTTTCCTCAAAAGTTTCCAAACCAGCATCAAAGGTTCAGAAAAAAAACATTTCTTACCACATCATTTTGTTGTCCGTCGCCAATCACAATCGTATCATTCTCCTGCTCTTCCAGTATTTCAGAGGTGACGCCCAAATCCATCTGCACCATCTGCAGAACGGGGAACAGGGTGGGGTTGTTGGAATCGGGGGAGATGGTCCATCTGCAGGACAGACCAGTCGGGTAGATGTGGGGGAAGTTGTAGCTCAAAATGTCGGTTGGCGAGGTGATTTCCTGGCAAAGGAGAGATTTTAAAAGAATGCTTATGATTAAAAGAGTGGTTAAAAGATTAAGGTTATCGAGATAGGCTATCTTCGAAGATATTGGAAGGATCATGCGGGACCTTGATTGAAAAAAACTTTCTCTTGGAATTAATTTTCAAGTGTCCTGCAAACACTCAAGATATATAATACCTCATATCACAAAAAAATATCAAGTTTTATCATTTTCATGGACTTCGGAATTCCTGGGAATTTTCCATGGAAAAAAATTGATCAATCTTGCATCGACCTTGCAAAAATTTCAAAAGAATTTTGCCAGACTGAATAAAGATATCTTCTAAAGTTTGGTACAAATTTTGCGAAAAAATATTGCAAGAAACGAAGTTTTCTGCCAGAATCTGGAAAGAATAGTAAAAACTTTGCAAGTTATCGCCCATTTTTGTCAACAGTCAAAATAGTTTGGACGAAATTATTTTTTAAATGGTTAAACAAATTATATATACCTGTATATTATTATAGCTATCAAATGCTTTTCAATAAAAACAATTCCAGAATAACTTTATTAGCAAAAAATGAAGAATACTTACAAATCCGTTTGTATTGTCGCACGCTTCGTTCTGAGTCGAGTCCTCAAACGGGGGGCACAACACTGAAACGGAAACATGAAGTTAAGGGTTCAGTCAGCAGTGCTGTTTGTTGAATGGGCAATTTTTAGTGAAAAATTTACTCAACAACAGCGAGGGGTCATTAACACTATAGTGTTGTTTTGCTCATTTTCAATCTGAGCTTCAATTATGTCGTAAAGTGGCATCCATCACAGTAAATGCACTCTTAAGCAGTTTTTTTTTTCAAAATTTTGGACGACAATAAAGAAAAGGTTGAGTTAAATTGGGTTCAAAAAGCTTGATAAAAATTTGTACTAATGCAATAATTATTTCCGTGAGGCAAAAATTCGTAACAATCGACAATTCTTAACAAAAGATTAAGCGTGGAACACTCAGTATTCCTATAGTGCCGAATGTAAGTGCAGCACAGTTAAGCAGATCAAGCGTATTCTGCTTGCCAACGCCTTGTTTCGAATTGTCTCCCTACCGTCCAAACAGCCCTCTCCCCTTGAATTCAAATGAAGCCAGGCCAGGCAGATACTCGGGTCTTAATTTGTTTATCAGTGGAGCCCAAAATTGCTTTTAAAATCTTCTGAATTATTCATTCAGAAAAAAAGCAAGCAGTAGTATTTAATTGTTGACAAATTATTAAACAAATGGTAGGAGATTATCAGGTCTACTACCTGTTTCTAATCCATTAAAGTGCGCCATAATTTCCAGCAATCAAAACAATAGATTAACTAAAACACCCAAACGAGATGACAAACCATCAGATATCCTACAAATGTGAATTAGATTAAGGCAGAAAATAGGGTTTTCATTGGTCTATCAGTCGAGCTCGAACTTGCATTCGAACGATTTAATAAGTATTTAGTCTTACCTTCGTCGTTGGTGGCAAAAAACTCCACGTAGAGTCCAGAGTAACCGCCCTTCTCGCCTGGTCCGCTGACTAATTCCAAATTCAAATACAAGTCCACTTCTGTGCTCAAAGGTTTCATCACACAGAACGAGATTGTGGAAAAAGGCATGTTTTCGTAGTTGCCACAAAGTCGGAAGTCCGTACTTGAAGCTGATTGGCTGGATACTCGGAAGTAGTCTTGTAGATCGCATCGGATTTGCAGATTGTGGATTGTGACGTAATAGCTCATGGATTCCTGGGGAAAAAATCTATATTACGTCATTTGCGAGAACTAGAATAAAGGATTTGCCCAGAAAATTCTCGAGGTGGGGACAATTTTTTAATTCTTCTCTTTTTTGACAAAATTGATTTTCCGAGCTCCTAGAGCAATAACACTTTTTGGCAAAAGTTCTGCGCCACATACAATTTTTCATTTTTTTGAAAAAAATACTTGCCCAGTTGATGTTGTGGGGCTTTTTTTGTTTTGGCTGTTTGAATGTTTTGAGTGTTTTGGCAAAAATTGAGTTTTTCTTTTCGGCTCGTGTTCCCCCCTCAATTTTAATATATTTTGCAGCCAAAAGCTTCTCTGCAAAAACTTAAAGAAGATGTTCAAAGACATAAGATAACACCAAAGAAACGATCACTTAGAGGAGGAACACGTTATTTAATAGACTTGAAACTTTTTGATCGAAAACGCCGAAAAAATATCTACAAAAATTGAATTTCATCAAAAAAGCTAAACTTTTTAAATAAAGCTTCAGAACCGGTCAAAGTTTTTTCAGATTTCTCCTTAATTCTAACTATATCCTGCTTTGCTTAAGGTTTCCGAGAAAAAAATAGTCCGTCTTCGCATACTATTACTACATGCCAAAGCTCTGAGATTTCTTGCAATGTCCTTGGCGATTTCTCCTCTTTTTTTATATAAAAAAAAATTCATAATTTGCGGTTTTTTGCTATTGAGAGATTGTCAAGTTTTGCGTTCTTTCACCACAAAAAGCAATCAAGTCGGAGATTTTTTTTGTACTAATTTGCTGTTAGAGTATTTCACAACACTGATTTAAATTATCCGGACAAACTCAAACTAGAAACTTCAAAAGAGTTTCTTTCAATTTGGAGAACTTTATGTTGCCAGAGTTATCATGCTGCAATTTTTTTTGCAAAATTTACACCAAAAAATTGGGTCATTTTAGGTTTTTTTTTGGTAATCAAGAATTGCGCTGAAATTATTAAATTAATTGATGAAACAGTTCTTTCAAAAGCAGTCTCTTGCATAACCTAACAAAATTCTAGAAGGTTAAAATCTCCAAAATCTGCGTACGAGAATATATTTTTGCTTTATATTTAATAAATATCATTTTACATAAGACTCAAAATCTTTGCTTAAAAATAAAATTTAAACGTTGCGCAAATTTTTGAAGAACTATGTCCTTCTACAATTTTGTTAGTTTGTGTGAAGGTCTTTTTTGATGGAATTGTTTCATCAATTAACTTGGTAATTTTAACGTATTTCTTGATTAAGTAAAAATCGCCAAATTGACCCATTTTCGGGAAAAAAACTTTGGTTATGAACTATGCAAATTAAATTGCACCCTGATAGTTTTGGTAAAGTTCTAATCAACTTTTGTTCAATTCAATTTTCGTCTAATCTCAACCCAATTTGAAAAAAAACGCCTATGAAAGTTCAAGATTTGTTTTTTTTTGTCCGGATAACTTAAATCATTACTTTATTGTCCGCCAATATTTTCAACTTTTATACTTTTGGTTTATGATGAAATTTTTTCTGTTCCCGGTCAATTGGAAAAATGTAAATACGAAAGCAGACTGAAAAAACTTACTTAGAAATTTAACCACAATAGTTATCAAAAGAAATAATATCACTCTAATCCTTGATATTTCTTTTTCACTATTCCTCTTTTGAAAATAAAAATAAAAAAAAATTATTTTTGTTTTCAATTGCGGCGTTTGCATTGCTGCTACCGGTGATATTAATCTGACTTCCTTTTAGCAAATGAATTTGAAGGAAATAGAAAAACAAATCAAACAAACAGCCGCAAAACATTGAATTTTGGTGTGAATCTCTCTAAAAAAATTTTCTGGAAAAAACACAGGACTGTAATAAGTATCTTTCATCTCTTTCATTGACACTTAATAGTTTATTTTCAGGCGACGCAATTTAAGTAATTCTGGTCTTTTTAATACCATAGCTTGAGACACCGTCATCAGTCCATTTTATTTGACCTTCGAAAGTTTGATACGGAAAAAACTGTATTACTGCAATAGGGTTAGCAGCGAACCGCTTATGAAAAAAAAAACTAAAAAATGCTCAGCGAAACGTGAGACAACTCAGGAATATTTTAGGCCAGCAAAATTTTCTCGTTTGGAAAATGAAAGTGGGTTTTACTAGCCTGTGTGGTAGCGGATGATGAGCATGTGTAGTCTTCGGGATAAGGATTGAGGTTGTTGTAGCCCACGTGTGAAAAGTATAGTCCATTTTTCAGAGGCAAAGCGAGCTGAAAATTAAAATTTGAGGCAATTCCAACACATCAGGTACTTTGACCAGGATAGATCTTTTTTGACGCATCACGAAAGCTGGGGACACATTTGAGTTCAAATTAATGACAAGACTGCTCGTATCAGGGCGAAACATGATTGTTCCAACTGCCATTTAAAATCTATGAAATAGTGTTCCCTTCATGAAAAAGCAAGAACTTTCCAAAAAAATTTCAAACCCCTTAACTTTATCAAAACGTTTAAAGGTGAAAAATCATTTAAATTTTGAGCTCAAAACAAAAAAAATTTGGAAGAGACAAAAAAGATTCCGTTCAAAATTGCTAAAGTTGGAATTTAACTGGAGAAAAAACCACCCGAGCACAAATGTTCCGTCATTTTCTTCAAAAATCGGAACAAAACAGCCGACAAAATTATCATCTCTTTATGACTTTATGGCAAATCGTTCCTTTTTAAGAAATTCCCGATTCAGCAGCTGGTACTGAATATTTCTTTTGAGTAACTGTTCATTTTTTGCTCCAACTCTCGCGAAATTGACTGAATATTTTTGCTCGGGTTGCTTTTTCTCCAAAAATGTTTGATTTATTAAGTAACAAGTTTTGATCAAAAATTTTTACACCTTACAAAAAATTTTGTTGTTCTCAGTTCAAATATAAAAGATATTTCACCAGTGATCATTTTCACTAGCGTTGTTTTGGTTCAAAGATTGGTAATTTGGTCAATTTGTGATAATTAACGCGGGATATATTTCGTGCTATTAACGCGTAAGCGGAGATTTAATCAGCATAGAAATTGTTCTAAATTGAATTGAGACATTCTTTTAGGTCTGCTTAAAACATTTCTAAATGCAAAATAAATCACTTTTTACTTTACATAGCGTATCGGGGAAGTTAAAATTTTTTGAAGGTTTCATCAAGGTTTTTTAGAGCGAATACAACGCCTTAGTCATTAAAAGACAACGAGAACATTCAAGGCAAAAAAACATAATTTTTATTGGCCCGGTTTTTGAAGAAAAGCAAAAAGTTTTGCTCTGGGTAGTTTATGTTCCGACTTTTTAGGAAAATCGGGAATATTAACGTTTGAGCTGTTCTTTTTTTCTTTAAGTAAATTATAAATTTTTGACTTTCGAGCTAAACCTTTTCGGATTGTTTGACTTTTTGGTAGTTGCCTGTTTGGCCATGCTCTGGACTAATTTTTGTACGTTGTGAAAACTTTTTGTATGAAGGTAAAAACGTAACGCAATTTCCTCATGCATGGCAAATCGCTTCGAAAACTTTTCATATTGAACTAAAGCAAACCAATCGGCAGTATTCAGCTTATTTTCGTACTACTTAAATTTTCCCAATTGATTTCGATGTTGGCCGAAAATGGTGGCTTTTAAATTTTTTAAAACCAAAACCTATACATTACAAACTAAGATGCAGAGGGGACGTACAGGGCTTTAACGTGATTTAGGAGTAGTTCAGTTTCATGTTTACAATCAATTAACTTATGAATATAAGTTTTCAGCTTAAGACTTCTCAACTTCACTACACATGTAAAGTTTTGTCGAAGTAATGAAAATTGAAAATTACAAAAGTTTATTGGTTCAGATTTGATTCAGACACGTTAAACGATGATTCAGCTATGCTAAACCGATGTAATTTTTGGGGCTAAATCAAGGATGAAACGGTCACTTTCAGAACAAAATGACGCTTATCAAAGACTGAATCATGGCAAACACTGATTTTTTTCTAAATAATTGATGACTAGCTCTGAAATACCAACCCGAGTAGGCTTCAAACACAAATAATGATTTACACACAGGCGAAGCTGCGCTTCGCAAACACTTGCGAGAGCACGACCAAAAAGCAGTTCCATCAAGTGAAATAAAAAAAAATAATAATAAGCTTCGAATTAGCAAAAGCTCGGCTACGTGTAGGATTCAAATTTGAGAGCTACTACAATCAAAAGAGTTTTAGTCTCATTCACTATTCAATCAGCCACACAACCTTATCAACCAAAAGAAAACTAGTCTCGAATAAAACAGCTACACATGCCTATAAATTGCCAATGCAATTCAACAAAAATGGCACCAAAAACAAATGGTTACAATTTTGCAAATAATAATTTGGAATTTAACAAACTGAAAGCTGACAAACTGAAGGCATCCGCACTAACTTTGCATTTAACGTATAGCAAAATATTAAACCACGTTGCGTTCAAATTATGCATTTTACAAAATTTCGAGATATTTTAAAAAAGAACATTTCTGAAACCGTGTTTTAATTATCGTTGCTGTTTGAAAAAATCACTTTTTTTCTGTTCATTTGATGAATTAAAAATGCATCAACTGTATTAACTTATAACTTTTCGAATGTCTAAGCACATGTTATGAGGCAACTGTAAAGGTGCACCAAAAGTGGCACCAATATTTGCGACTTAGGTTGGAAAAGAAGAAGGTTCGTACAAATACACTTGCTTCGCAAGTGTGATGACAAAGGAAGGCAACAATGTTTTCATCCCAGCTATTTTCCAATCAAATTAGCATGTTTACCTGGTTACACATCAGAACGAATGCTGAAACAGAAAACAAAAATTTCATTGATTTAGAAAAGTTGAGATATATTATTTTGAAAATTGCTCGGAAAACTTAAAAAACTAAATACTTACAGCATCCACTAGTAACTTCACATTCTTGTTTTTTGGCCTGATCTACATCAATTTTCTGGACTCCGTAGCTCCTTCCTTGTAACACGGGACACATCATCAGTTCTTCACCCTCATCATAGCGGCACGAACTGTACTCGAAACCAGCGTCGTCCATGACTGGGAAGGAGCACTCGCGTCCCGACACCGCATAACACTTGGGAACTAAAGCAGCATAAAAAAAAGCCAGTTTATCATTAGTAGCAGTAGCGTAGCGTGCAGTAGCGAAAAAAGAGTAGAAGTCGTGGCCACCCAAAGTTCCCCTTTCTGATACTTTGTTTATATAGCAACCATTAATGACCGATCAATCCAAAAACGTTTCCGGTGCACGCTTGGCGCGACATTCACAAAAATTGAGAGAAAGCATGCGTGAAAAACGCAATTTCTGGGTACAGATTTTTAAAAAATCCGCCGAATTTGTCATTTTTGGTTGTGTTTTTCCCACTTTAAGAAAAAGCAAGAATAACCAATTACCTGCGTGTTGCAAGAGACTCTTCCTGCAAAGGATTTTAGAAAGATCAGTCAAATAAAAATAACACATATTTGACCTTTTTGCTATCATTTAAAATGGGGAGGAATTTATTTATATTCGGGTGTGTTTAGTTTTTTCTTCTTTTCTCTTCTTTTTTGTTTTCCACGCAATATTCAAATAATATTTGGAATGGGTTGGGTGATATATCATATTAAATCCCCTTCAGTCGGGATTCGAACAAAATTTAAAAATTCAAAAATCGGCCCAGTTTCAAAAAAACTCTTATGAAGATTTTGAGTTTTAGTCTTTTTCGTTCTGGTAACGCGATCAATTAATGCTCTTTATAAAGAAAACTTAGTTTTTTTTAGACTGCTAGGATGAAAAACTCAGATTTTATATAAAGAACACTGGGTTTGGGTGTTTCATTCAGCGCTTATTTGACAAAAAAAGCTCTCTGAAGCATTTTGAGAATTTAATATAAAATAATCACATATAAACTTCGATAGAATATAATCAATTAGAATATAATTTTTTGGATTGTTTCATTGCAAAAATGACAAAATATAATGTCCATATAACCAATTTTTTAGTCCAATTGTTTCTATTAGAATCAACTTTTTAAGTGAAAAACCGCTGTGGTGATGCCATCAATATGTTGATACCACGAGAAAAGCTTGATGCCCTACAAGCTGTTATCGGAAAACCTGATTTGTTTGAAAAATTTAAGAAAAACACCATGCTTAGTTTATTTCCCGCTTATCCTTTGGTACAATGTGGACAGTTCGCTTATAGCAACGAGGATATCCGGTAACTGAGCAAGTAGCACAGAATGTTCCGACCATAGTCTTAAAAAATAATACCTTGAAGTTTTTTTCAAATTATTGTCGTTTTTTTTTCGAGCGGTGTGATAAAAGAAGCTAAAAATTGGAAATTAAGTATATTGGGGAGCCATAGTGAAACAAACAAACTGAAAAAAAATTGTAGAAATGTTATTGAAAAACAAAAAAATCAAAAAATCCAAAATTTTATCAAAGTTTTGCAGTTTTTTGATTTTTGAAAATTTTGATTCTAAAGGCGCTAAAATACTCAAATTAAACATACACTTCTCAAGTAAAACAAACTTTTACGCTTTAAATTAACCTTTGGTAAGCTTTTAAGAAAATAAAATAAGTCTGCTCGCTCGCTTTTTTGCTCGAAATAAGACGAAAAATGAAACAACTCAGACAGGTTTTTCTTGACGCTGGGAAAATCTTCGGATGTTTTTTAATGTGGTTTGAACACGACTGTAAGGTCTTTAATATGATATATCACTCTAACCAGTCCAATGTTTGTTTGTGGTACCTGATTTGATTTTGCGTGGAAAACAAAAAGAAAAAAAAAGAAAAAACTTAAGCACACCCGAATACAAAGTTCCTCCCCAATCTCAATAGTCGGAGCAAAAATTCTAAAGAGACGGTGATTGGTTAATTAATTCAACAAATCGAAAGGGATCAAACGATCGCTACTTTTAAGAATTGTCACATGATAGGACTCATCGTCAAGGCAGTAGCGATAAAGGGGAGGATCATGTATATGAGTAACAAATCTGTGATTCAGCATGCGCGCAATTTGAACTTACTAATGACTTTTTGATGTGACCAGCTCTGCACTATGTAAACTTATCAACAGATTTCATTTTGATTCCTATTAATTCACTGTGAATCCTATGCTCCAAGGTTGCCCAAAACTAATTTAAAACGACACCAGTTTCAGAACACTACGTTAAGTTACGAAATATTAACTCTAATTTCTCCATTTCATCTTCGTTGTGAAATAATGCTTGTATGAAAATGTTTGTGCCAGAAATAACTCACAACATGCAGTTGTGTCAGTACAAGTTCCAGCAGCTGTCATCTCAGAATTCCCATCCACAGCTGTGGCACAGTAGGGGGTGGAGACAGCAGAGAATGAGTCACTGGGGGAATCCACTGAGCAGGTGAAGTATGTCTTGTTCTGGTGTTTGAAGGGGAAAATGCAGGGCTCTGGGGATCCAGAAACACTTGCAGTACATGTACATTGGTCTGAAATTTATGATTAATCAGTTTTGGCTATGGCATCTGATGATTTAGAGCCAATTTGAGCTTTTGTTGGAAATTATTCTTCAATTTCTTCTTGTAAACTCTTTCAATCCACAAGCAAGAATTTTTTTCCAACAACGTGTCTAACATAATAATTTGATAGCCGGAATCCTAGAATTCGAATCCAGCCCCGGGTTATGCATTAATCTATTGAGCATGTGATTTAAAAAATAATGAACGCTGATTAGATGCTTCAAGGAAGAAGGTCGACGCCTTTAGCACTCAAACCTCTTCAACCGCCAAATTTTTTAAAATGTCAGCAATAATGCAATCATAAACATCAGCAATTTTTTAATGGCGACTTTATGTTTCAAAATGATAACTGACTGTCAATGTATGTTTCGAAGTTGATCTCCAGTCCTCTGAATCTCTCCGTATAAAGCCCATTTGGACCCATGTAGTCGTCACTGTAGAAATGGAGGGGCACTTCATCCCCATCCTCCCCATTGTAGATGCAGACTGTCTTCTCGGGAATGTACCCACAGTACTTGTACCTTCAAACACGACAAGAAATTAACACAAGACGTCTTGGTGACGACCAGCACCAAAAATGTCTGAGGTGTTGGAACATACTGATTTCAAGCGGTATCTTGAGTCAAAGCTCCTCTAGATTTTTGGATTGAATACCATTCTAGAAAATCCAAATAAAGTTTTAAAGGTTTTTTTAAAAAAATTTAGTAAGGCACACGCTTTTAAACGTTTTAGGAGAGCTCCGAAAAGCATAGTTCTAAGAAATGTCAACCACCAAAAAACATTATATAAAACAGGGGCGCATCTAGGGAAGTGGAGGGGGCGGACGCCTCCCCCCTCAGGAATTCGACCCTCTGCCGACCCAAAGGGTCCCCCTTTTGTACTATTTTGAGATTTCCATTTTTGGTGACGGACCCCAAAATTTTTTTAAGGCGCCTTTGGCGCCAATATATACTAATTTTGAGTGGGGAGAGCACGCCGAAAAAAGCGATTTTTTGGTCAAGAATCGAAATGATTTTCTGACAAAAATGTTGGCCATCCTTCTTCAAATTTGTTGCATATTAGCCAAGAACGGATTTAGTGGGGGGGGGGGGGTTGGGTCCCCTTTTGTGCAATTTTGAGATATCCATATTTGGTGATAGACCGTAAAAACTTTCATATTTACCCCAACATATACAAATATTAAGGGGGAGCGAGCGACAAAAAAATTCAATTTGTTTGTCGAAATTTTCCAAAAAGTGCCTAAAAAAGAGCCGCAGAAAATTTGAACAGAGCGGGGTCTTTTTAGTGCTTTGGGAGAGCTCGGTATATCAATTTGGTCGACCTAAAAAAAGGGCGACAATGTTTTCGAAAATTGTAGAAAATCCTAGATCCGCCCCTTATACTAGTACTGGTTGCTCATCTACAACGCGCGCCAAAAATGCTCCCCCTCCGCCCCAAATCTACACCTGTTTGGAACTATTGCTGTTAAAACAGTTTGATCTTAAAATTTCCGATGGATACTTTGGCTATTTACCCATTGATGGAAAAGTAGTCATATTTGCAGTGTTCATCGCCTGTCCCCTGATCACTGATGATATTAGTCCACTCCATGTCGAAGTACTTGAACGTGAACAGAACCGAACCTTAACAAAATAACAACATAAGTACACGAGTAACGGGTTCACGTGGAAATAGCAGCGCTTGTTCCCACAAATAAATATTGAGCTTACTAACTTCTTCATTTCAAGGCGTATTAAGAGTTTTTGAGGGTAGAGGGGGGAAGATTAGACCCATCTTAAACTCAAAAGTGCTAATTTATTTGCTTCAGCTACTTTGCTGTATCCTTTTTTCTTCGACCAAACTTCTTGTCACAACCTTTTCCAAAAAATACATCACAATTTAATTTCGACTGGTTTCTTTTTGTTCAAAATGTATATATAGTATATATAGAGCGTGAAGAAACCAGCCGAAGTATACCCTAACAGAAAACATACGGAGAATCTGATCCACCAAAAATTTTCTTCCTATATAAACATAAACGCGCCGAAAATTTTGGAGAAGTATGTTGATGAGCCGAAAATTTATGTTCGCAGAAAATAGTAACAAATTGCAGTAGACTAGGCTTATACTAAGCCAAAAAATTTTATATTAGCCAAAATTATTAGCCAAAACAAGAAAAAAGTTCTTCGAAATATCGATGGCACCATTTTAGCAAAATGTATGAAATTTGTATGACTACTAATTTTTCGTAGAATTAGTTTAGGGAATTGTATGATTAGCATTTTTGGTCTATGGTGGTCAACTCGGGTATCAAAATTTCCTAGAAATATAAAATTGTTAGTCTTAGTTTTCTATGCATTGAAACTGTGAACATTTTGAGCTTGTGCACGTGGCCCGTCTCCTAAATTTTTCGAATCAAAATGTTTCTGATTTTTTTGTGAAAATTTTGCACAGCAACCGAAAGTGACAGTTTGTTCCGACTAATATGATTTTTTTCCAGTTGCTGTTTTGAGATTCGCAGACATTTCTTGTACGCAATTTCGGATTTCGATTGAAAAACAAGTCGATTTTGATTTCGAGCAGTTTTGGAGTTCGATTTCGAAGTCGAACAAGATCCCCCGGAACCGAAATTCCAGCATCCCACAAGAGGCTTGAGTCACACAAAGTCGCAACATACCTAATTTGGTTCGCGCAAAGTCGCAAGATACCTAATTTGGGTCGCGCAAATCCGCAACATACCTAATTTGGGTCGCGCAAAGTCGCAACATACCTGGTTTGGGTCGCGCAAAATCGCAACATATCGAATTTGGGTCGCGCAAGTTCGCAACATACCTCTTTTGGGTTGCGCAAAGTCGCAACATAATTAATTTGGGTCGCAAAAGGTCGCAGCATAGCAAAGTCGCACTATTCGTCGCGCAAAGTCGCAATATTGGTCAAGCAAACTCGCAACATGGGTCGCGTAAAGTCTCAACATGGGTGGCGCAAAGTCGCAACATGGGTCGCGCAAAGCTTAAGTAAGAGAATTGTTGTCGGTTTTTTGTCGGAATACCTAATTTGGGTCGCGCAAAGTCGAAAGATACCTAAGTTGGGTCACGCAAAGTCGCAAAATACCTAATTTGGATAGCGGAAAGCCGCAACTTACCTACTTTGGGTCGCGCAAAAACGCAACATAGCTCATTTGGGTCGCACAGAGTCGGAACATAGCTAATTTGGGTCTTGCAAAGTCGAAACATAGCTCATTTGGTTCGCAAAAGGTCTCATAATAACCATTTCGAGCCGCAATGGTAGCAACATAAGTCCCCGGTCATAGATGCGCGCTTGTGAATGCAGTTTCTAGAAAGCTTTTCCGCACACTTTTTAGTATTTTTTTCGCTCTGGGGTTTCAAGAATTTCATCGTATTGGAGCCCTATTACTTTTTATTTGTATGCAAAAAATCAAAAATTCTCGCGGCGAGAAAAAAACAACAGTTTGGATTTTTAGACTTATTTTTTTCTGATGAAGAGTTGTTGATGAAATCGATGAGTTTATTCTGATGAAGAGTTGTTGATGAAACCAATGAAATACATTCAGAATAATTTAAATAAAAGCAAGAAAAAACGATAGTTAATTTCAGAATTAAATCCGAAAAGAACCAAGGCTCAAAATCCGAAAACCAAAATATATAAAAATTGCTTTTATCTTCGGTTTTTTTTCTTTTTTTTTCAAAAACGACGTTGTTGTACAAACAATCTGTGCTATTTGCGCAAAAACCGACTTTTCTTGTTGTTATAATAATTTGACAACTAGTTGGCTTACCTCCTACAGGATAACGCAGAGTGCGTTCACAGTCCTGATTTATCGCATAAGCCACATCTCCCGTCAGCCGGTTCTTGGTCAGGATCGAACCAGTCACCGGAACGTCATTAAGAACTTCCTGAAATCATTCAAAGCTTTATTTTAGAGACAAAGTGGGAAAAGTTGATTTTGAATTCTTGGGCAAGCGTTGTATAACTTTCGCAAAAAAAAACTAACGACATTGGAAAAGGTCAATACAAATCAAGTGAAGAGTTGTAGAGTTTAAAAAATGTGTATTTTAGCTTCAAGAACTAATTTTAAATAAAAAGATCATGACTAAAATAAGCCAAGTTAGCCCAGAAAATTCCACAGTCATCAGTCTTCTAATAAAATAATACATAGTCAAGCAGCACCAAAGTTATTTTACTCCAGAATAAATTATAGTCATAGCAACTTCAAAATTGTTATTTTTTGGTTATTTTTTCTGTTAATTCAATTCAAAGTTGTAATTCAAAATAAAATCAAGTTTTACATTTTTGAGTTTCTTTTTTAAACTCATTTCAATTCTTCTTCAAACGGCAAGAACATAGCCGGATAAAAGTGTAGCAATCTAACGGAGATGGTGTTTATTAGCACCCTAGTGGTGCAAATAATTGAAGCGTAAACTAATCATGCTACCGAAACACAGCTAGCAGCTGATGATTAACAAACAGTAGTAAAAAGAAGAAATGAAGCAAACACTCAAAGACTCAGAAGAAATGAACTCAGAGTAAAAAATTTTCTTCGAAACCCAGAAGGCTTTGAGAGTTTTGCGTGCTTTCTAGTCAGAATATCAGAAGCAATTTTCTGCCACAACGTTATTCAGTTGCAAACATTGTCTAGGTCAGAAAAACAGGAGCTTTTAAGTTCCTCATAAAAGGCCTTGAAATTAATTTGGTTGATGTAAAAAGTTTTTTGAAAACAGCCCAATCCCCATCAAAAGTTTCCGGCATATGCCAGTTCCTTCGAATTTTTGAATACTGAACTCTGATTGGCTGACAAAATTTTCGCGCATTTGGTCCTTGCTTAAAGAACGCTCCCGGCTAATACAGTTTGCGCGACGTGGAAGTGCAAAATATACAACATATTCCTACCGAGAACTGAGATAAACTCTAAAAAGCAGCAACAGATAAAGACAAGACTGCTCGTATCAGGGCGAATCGCTGAATGTTCCGACTGCCTTTTAAGGTTTATGGAGCAGTAATAACCTTAAAAAATTCAATGAAATAAAACAAAATAAAATTTTTTTTCTCTAAAATTGATAATTTTTTTTATGAAAATCATCCCCCCACACGCCATATAAAATACAAAAGGATAGATTTCGCTCCTTGTAACAAACCAATTATGGCAAATAAGCTTCTTGAAACCAATTTGGAGCGATTTCTAAGACGGATTAACTCTCCGCTTAAGCGTTAAGAGCGCGAAATATATCGCGCGTTAATTGTCCCAAATTGGTCAAAATGGCCAAAATGGCAAAGTTTAAACCCCCGTAACTATACCATAAATGATCAGAGGTAAAATATCTTTTTAAATTTGAGCTCAGGACAACAATACCTTTCGAATGATATTTAAAAAAATTCCGTTAAAAATGGCTAGTTAAAAAGTCGAAATTTGTCTGAAGAAAAAAAACCCACCCCGAGCACAAATATTCCGTCACTTTCGTATCGAAAGTCAGAACAATAAAAATCCTTAAAGCAAATTGAAAATCAAGTTGTCAAGATTTAAAAAGGAATTGCGATTGATGAGAGCGAATCAGTAGAAATAATTTATTAGGTTTTAACTACTTTGGTAAGTTTTTTTTTGGAAGCATAAAGCTTGAATGTTTATAAAATAAATGAAATGCAGCCATGTTTAACAATTATTCTGTTAGCTTGAATATCGGCCCTGATTGAAATTTAGAAAAATATGATTTCGAAGGAAACGAGACAGCTGATGTCGAAGGCGAAGCTCCAATTTTTCTGAATGCCTCTCAGAAGCTATTTTTGATTGAATTTTTTTGTCAACGGTTAGGTATTGTTGTCCTGAGTATACACTTGAAAAAGTGTTTCACATGTGATTATTTTTTGTAAATTTATGGGGGTTTAAAGATTGTCTTTTTGACCAATTTGGGACAACTAACGCGCGATATATTTCGCGCTATTAACGCGTAAGCAGAAATTTAATCCGTCTTAGAAATCGTTCCAAGTTGGTTGAACGAAAATTATTTGCCATGTTTGTTTTGTTACTATTTGTGCAATTTCTCACTTTGAATTTTTTATGGCGTGTGGGGGTTGATTTTCTCAAAAAATCTCAATCAAAAATCATTTTTTTACATTTAATTTTCTCATGTTATTATTGCTCCATAGACCTTAAAAGGCAATCAGAACATTTAGGTCTTCGCTCTAATACGAGCAGTCTTGTCTAACTTAAAGATCTCATAAAAAGGGTGAGTTTGGACTATTCATCTTCAATGGACCTAATTTTAGTTTTTAATGAAATATTCTGTAACTAGCAGGGGCGGATTTAAAGGGGGGGTGGTGGGGGCAGGCGCTTGGTCCGTCAGGGATTCGACCCCCTGCCGACCCAAAATGTCCCCCCTTCGTACTTTTTTGAGATATCCATATTTGGTGACGGACCCTAAAATTTTTCTACTGGCGCCAATACATACTATTTTTGAGAGGGAGCGGGCACCAAAAAAAAACGCGATTTTTTGGTCAAATCTTTCCATAAAGTGCATAAAACGCCTTTTTGGCCTGTTTTTTTTTCAAATTTAAAAAAAGGTCGACAAAATGTTTGAAAATTTTTTGAAAATCCCCCCTCGATAAAAATCTTAGATCCGCCCCTGATAACTAGGGATAATGAATAGAATGAAGAGTCACGCAAAGCAGGGAAAGATTAGTATTGGCAAGAATAAAGAGCAAAGATTTTACCAGGTACAGCTGAAATAAAAAGAAAAACCGTCACCTTTGTTGTTAAGAAAAGTATAATTTATTAACATAAGAATCTGCATAACAAATTAATCGGAACGCGGCAGCGCGTAAACCAAAGCACTTGTCTTATCAATTAAAATCCGTCATGGTTTTTACTGATAGATTCCTATTTCGGATAATCTTCTGATGTTTATCGATGTTTGAGTAAATTAAGTAAAAAGATGAAAATTTCGTTGTTTTCGATACGAAATGAACACATAAACTTGTTGAAAAATGTTTTTGCAACTAACCTGCGATCGGCTGCATACTTCCAGCACCAGGTCTGTAGTGGCAAGATCGACCACTTGGCCTCCACAGAAGGGCTGAAAGTAAACTTGAATTCAATAGTTTGCGACAAGTTTTTCAAAATGATTCGCATCAGTTAAAGTAGCCTAAAATGCTTCGAGTCGAGACCCACGACAACTGATGCACAGCCATTTGATTTCATTCAAGTCTAACTTGGAGAGTTTTGGATCAAATTTGAAACAGGGATAGCGGGGCCACCTTTATTTGGTGTAATGGGGGGGGGGGGTGATCGGTTGATTCAAAGAACATCTCTGAATTTTCATTTTTATGGCATTTTTTGCTAAGCTTTTCGCTTGGGAATTTTAGAGCTGCACAATTATAAATAAAAAATCAACCGTGTTCGCTCTACTGTCACTGCATGGTCTCGTTTATACGTGAAATGAACGTTAATAGAAAAAACATTTGTAAAAGTTCCCAGCTGTAGTATTTGCGGAAAAATTAGTATAACAAACTGGTCTCTCGCTTGGCCGGATAAAATTTTTGGGCTCTTTTTTGTCCCTACCCCGCCTGCAAAAAGTTAGGTTTTTTCTTCTGAAAATCTCGCACTGTTCCCCCCAGCCATTTCACACATCTTTGTCTTGGGCATCTCTTTAACTATATCCCCCTTCAGGTACTTAGAAACAAATATCCCACCTAAATAAATCAACGGTTATGCATGAGAGAATTTTATACCTAGTAACGAATCTAATCTCCCCCAACCCCCTTTGCAAAAGGGGATATAAAAAAGAGATCCCATCTTTGTACTAAGGGTATCCTTGTTTCTGGTTTAAGGGAAAGATGAAAACTGAATTGTTTATCTCTCACCAAAAATAGAAGGCTGACAGCGAGAATCATTTGTCCATAGAAAGAGTGACCCCATCCTCCTTTGCGGACTATGGATGTATGGCCTCCCCATAAGACCACTCCGCCTCCTCTCAACATGATTTCACTTTTAGATCGTTCTGTACTAAAAATAATTAAACCCTAGTTAAACCATTACTTAATCACCTCTACTTAAGATTTTGTGGGTTAAAACATACCCTTGATAAAGTTTTTAATTTTAAAGGGACGATTAATAAAATTTTGGGGTTAAAATTTTTGAAGCTCGCAAGCGATGATGAGAAATTCAAATCTATTGTAGTTTTATACAAAAGTTGTTCCTTTTTGACATTGCATTGGGCAATAGCTCCAGTGACATCTTTTCCTTGGAATGTTTTGGCATTTTTGAGAAATTTCATTGAAAATGTTAACCTTGAAGAAGTTCCTTGGTGATAATCTAAACTGATACACGTAATAAATATTTTGAATTATTTATAAGCTGAGTCGCAAAAGTGTATTTTTATGAACTTTTTTTTGCAATTCAAGTCAGATTAATCTCAACAAACCACAACAATACAAGCATTACTATGAGTACACTGATGGTAAAAACACATGTAATGATCTGATAGTTGGTTTTGGCACTGAAGGCGTTCCAAAAGAAAAAGCTTACTTCAATTTTTCATTCAATTTTCTACAATGTATATATGAATATATTTGAAGCTTTGCTCAGTTTTAAATCTATTAAACCTTTGTCAATTTTAGTTTTTTTTGTCATATTAACTTAGTGAAAATAGTCGAACAGTAAACGCAAATATAGACTGTGGTGATTTATTGGCCAAATCAAACTACTTTTTCTCTGTGGTTTTTTTGATATCATGTTGTCATGGTCAATAATAAATAAATAAATGAGGTCTACTTTATTTTTGAACATCTCTGCTGATTAATTAGATTTTGAAGTATTGTTGAAATCATGGGCTTGGCTTTTCAATCAAATTTTAGTGGTAACTGCAATCTATCTGCCTTAGCATGTGTATCGGCTAGCGTATCTACTTATCAAATGAAAATTATTTTGTTCACCAGTCATTTTTTGACGCTCAAACTTACAAAATACAATTTTTGTTTCCAGATAGGGGAATATAAAATAGAGGAAAGTGAAACTTCGCTCTCTCGCTTTTTAATTAAGTGCGTTTGAAAATTATTTGAGGAAATTATTAAGCGAGCATTACTCGGAATTAGTTTATTGAAAACTGTATTCTTGTTCACGAAAACTAACTGATGAGCATTTTCCCCAAATTTTCAGAGCCCAACATCAACAGAAAGTTTGGCTAAAACAATACAATTGAAAGTAAAACAAGACTGCTCGTATCAGGGCGAAGCCCTGAATGTTCCGACGGCCTTTTAAGGTTTATGGAGCAGTAATAACATTTAAAAATTCAATGAAATAAAACAAAATGAAAAAGTTTTTTTTCTAAAATTTGAAATTTTTTAGGAAAATCATCCCCCCACACGCCATATAAAGTACAAAAGGATAAATTTCGCTCCTTGTACCAAACCATTTATGGCAAATAAGCTTCTTTTAACCAATTTGGAACGATTTCTAAGACGGATTAAATCTCCGCTTACGCGTTAATAGCGCGAAATATATCGCGCGTTAATTGTCCCAAATTGGCCAAAATGGCAATCTTTAAACCCCCGTAACTTAACGAAAAATGACCGCAGGTGAAATATCTTTTCAAATTTGAGCTCAGGACAACAATACCTTTTGAATGATATAAAAAAAATTCCGTCAAAAATGGCTAGTTAAAAAGTCGAAATTTGTCTGAAGAAAAAAAAAACCCACCCCGAGCACAAATATTCCGTTATTTTCGTATCGAAAGTCGGAACAAATATTAAACAAATTGCTGGACAAGAAACAGACTTGGAAACCAAAAAAAACTGCTCGCCAGCATTTTAAGGTCTACGGAGTAGTGTTTGCTTTAAAGAAAAGCAAATATTCCGTCATTTCCTGCAAATTTTCCGTCGTTATCTTCAAAAATTGGAAAAACCAGACAAATTGTATCAAGGCAAAGCCTTGAAGGTTTCTACCTATTTTTGGGGTCTATTGAGATTTGTTTGCTTTAAATAATAATTAAAAAAAACCAATGAATTTTTTCAAAAACAATCAATTTTTTTTAAAAAAATTATTGCTCAAACGCTTTGTAAAATTTAAAATTATTTGTTTAGCATGCAACAAAAAAATTTAATTGACTAAGAAGCTTGGCTCAATTGGGATCGATGTATGTTACGGATTAAATCTCAGCTTACGCGTTAGTAGTTTTAATTAAATCGATCGTTGATTGTCTCAAAGTTGCAAAAATGGCAATCGCTAACCCTCCAAATTTGTTTTGAAAAAATCACAGCTGAATTTAAGGAATAGTTGTTAAAATTGCTAGTTAAAAAGTCGAATTTTTTCGGGAGAAAAAAATCACCCGGAGCGCAAACATCCCGTCACTTTCTTTAAAAGTCGGAACAAAAAGACTGCTGCTATATCAAAGAAAAGCCCTGAATGTTCCAACTACCCCTCAACCGGGATCGAATATATTTTACGTAAGATCATAAACCATAAACAAGACTGCTCGTATCAGGGCAAAGCCCGGAATATTCCGAGTGCCTTTTAATGTTTAAGGAGTAGTAATAACCAATAAAAATAAAATGTAATGAAATAAAATGAAATTTTTTTTCTAAAATTTGATTTTTTTTAAATCATCCCCCACACGCCATATAAAGTACAAAAGGATAGATTTTGCTCCTTGTATCAAATCATTTATGGCAAATAAGCTTCTTCCAACCAATTTGGAACAATTTCTAAGACGGATTAAATTTCTGCTTACCCGTTAATAGCGCGAAATATATCGCAAATTTATAGGACAACAGTACCTTATGAATGATTAAAAAATTCCGTCAAAAATGGCTAGTTAAAAAGTCGAAATTTGTCTGAAGAAAAAAAAACCCACGCCGAGCACAAATATTCCGTTACTTTTGTATCGAAAGACGGAACAATTATCAAATATCAAGCGTAGAAAATCGAGTCGTACAAAATTATTGCGTTTAATTAGCTTGCCTGAATTTAATTTGGAAGATTTCTGTAAGGAGCATTCACTACGGGATGATTCACTACGCATAAACAATCTTCGCTACACTTTCAGTCTCATAAAGAAAGCTTCAAAACGCACATAAGGAAGGCAGTTTTCAAATTCTGAGATAAAAGCATTGCTTTATAAGAACTCAGGAGGTCAAAATTTTCAATGGAAAATTGTGTTAAAAAGTCAATTCGATTGCCAAAAATTGACGGAATAAAAAAGTAATTCAAACATAATGTTCTGCATTTTCGAAAGTCGGAACAAAAACTGGAACTGGTCAAGTTGTAAAGACAGACTTAATTTAATCGAACTTTCGGTGACTGGCCTATTAACATTTGTGCCGAATAGCATACTCATGTAAAAAAGAATAAACATCTAAATGAAACAAAAATATAAACAAGCGTCACTTGAGTTTCCTAAGAACAAATCATGAAAAAACCTATTCAGATCATAATTTTCCCACATCAATCCATAAAGTAGATGGGACAAGGAGATAAAAATATTTATAATTTAAATCTATCACAACGATAAAACTAGATGCCAAATTATAAAATTTAACCCAGATTTTCAATTTTGCTCAGCGAAAAGATTTGATCAGAGAAAAATAACATAAAAGTAAACTAAAAAAACTCAATCAAATCAAATTGATGATAATTTTTATATCAAAGGCTTCAAGAAAGATCCTTCAAAATTTTGAAATCGCTTAACTTGAAAGTCTTAAATCAAATGAGCAGTGAGGAAATTTATGGAGTTTTCCTGATACTAGCACTACTCACTTCAAAGAAATCAGCCAATCAGGCTATAACAAATCAAAAATTGGGTAAAAAATTTACACCGACAAAGAAAACTGAAATTTTACACACTTACCCAGAATTTTGATGTATTTGGCAGAATTTTTTGGCAATACATTGACAATTTTTATTAAAGTTACTCGTAGCATCGATAATTTTCAAAAAAATTAATCGGCAATATTGAATTTTTTTCTTTCCAAAATTAGAAAAAAAAACTAAAACAATTTTACAGATTATAATGGAAAAAGATTATTAAAGGGTTCGCTTGTAAGTTATTTGCAATTTAAAACTGGACTCTGAATTAGAGCGAAAAATAATATTGAATTTTATGGTGGATAAACAGGAGGAACAATTCGATGATCAAAGACCTCTGAGAGAATAGACGAATGAGAGACATCTGCTATAAAACTGTGTATAATAATGGTAATATTGGAAGCAGAAAGAAATGCAATTTTTGTTTAACATCTGAATGCAAGCAAGTTGTACTCGTCTCTGATCCAGCTAACTGACCGCATCGTATTTTCTGTTGTCTGGAAGATTTTTTTTTCATGATCCAAATTCAATTCAATTCAAGATGAAACAAAAATTAAAAAAAAACGCTAATAATAAGTTAATTTACTATCCACTTGGACACAATATCTGCTGATTTGCTTTTACTGAGTACATGTTGTCTACTGGACATAGACAATGGCGTATAACTTGATGCAGACAGATAAACATTATAAAGAGAAAATAGGATTTTTATCAATGTTTCTATGTGTTTTTTTTTGTTGAAATTGGATCTGCCAGTTAATAAGTTGGATTATTGTTGATTTTTATAGACTGCATAACGCCATAAATGCAAAAAGCAGATGCAGAATTTAGAAGATAAAAAATCTGTCTCAGATTTTGAAAGAAACAAGTAACTAACTGAGGATCTGCAATCATTCAAATGCGAAAAACGGTGATTTGAATCGAGCATTGAACATCTTTAAAATCTCAAATCAGTTTTTTTTTCAATAAAATTGGATGAATAATTAATGAATTTGCCTTGCAGTTGTTGTAAGCGTTCTCGGAGTTTAGAAAACACTCATCAATAGTAAAAGCAAACCATTTGAACAGTTTTGGAACAGAAAAAAAAGAGGGATATAAAGCTGCTTCAATTTTGCTGGATAAAATCAGATTCGTTCAATTAAATCTAAAAACAATCAGTTATTTTGGCACACAAAACTGTATCGCTCTAAGCAAGATTTAAAAAAATGGAAATCATTCGTATTGACAAAGCAATTTTTTTTTGCTTCAAAGCGAAAACTAGTTCACCATTTTTAATGCTTTCGGAACCCACAGCAAGAAACGTTATTCAACGGAGTAAAGTTAAAAATGGCCGGCCGGAATAGCAATTCAAATCCAGAATAATTTTTTTTTCATTTAGTTTGATATTTTCACTTAAAGTTGCCATAAATCTGCTTACAAGTTAACGTTTTTTTTTTTCAAACACGTGAATAGAACAAAATTCTATGAAGTAACATTATGAATGATCCCATATGGTAAAAGCTTCGTTTTGCAAAAGCAGTCTTATAAAACACTATTATAAACAATACAGCATTTTGAACATTGTGACGAAAACAATTAGCAAAATATTTGATACACTTTGAGTGGTTTGTTTGAATGTTTTAGCTGGAATAGCCGATTCATTCATTATTTGG